GGATTCGGGGGTTGAGAGAGAGTGGAAATAAAAAGAAAAAAGGGTTGATTTTTTTTATTTTTAGCGAACTGCGTTTTACGGGTTTTCTAGGTTGATGTTCTTGAGGTTCGGGTTTGGGCATCGTCCGTCGGTCCCTTTTCATCCTGTGTTTGGTGTGTTTTCGGGTTTAATTTTCCATCCTCAAGTGTTTATCAATACCACTTCCTAAAATATGGATTCCAATTCCTCAAATTCGGGTTTTCCCTTTAGGAGTTACGGACAACCTTGCTTTTGTTCTTGTTTTTCCTAGGTTTTTTGTTCTTCGTTACGGGTTGGCGTTCGTCTTTCCCTAGGTCGATCGAAGGGTGTTCAAGCTCGTTTTGAGGGAGATCATCATTTCTGGGTGAAGTAAAAGAGAAATCGAGGGTTAAGATTCGAAAAATCGCATGAAATTTTTGTTTTTGGGTTCGCCAGTTCTTTATTTTTTACGGGTTTGTTTGGTGTTCTTTAGTCGTGTTTTCCGGGTCAACTTTCGTTTTCGATCTTTCCATTTTGATTTCATTATTGCTTTAGTGTTAATTGTTTGCTTGCTAGTGTCTTCGAGCCATGAACTCGGTAGTTTGTGTAGTTAATCGTTTGTTCCTAAAAGTTTGAAGAAACAGAGAGAGGAAGTTAAGAACGTGAAGAACGGGAGAGAGAAAGATCGAAACTTAAAAAATATTTTGTGATCGAAACATGGAGGAAATGGGCCTTTTTTACGATTTGTAGCTCGGAGAAGTGAAAAACAAGTGGCCGAGCCGATTTCAACCCAGTCCGGCCCGATCCACAAAAAAAAAAAAAAAATGAAATAAAATGGGCTGGATTGACTTGTATGCTCGCCCATGTAGATAAATTAAAAAAAAAAAAACAAGAGGGTTGGAATCAATCCAGCCTCTCCAAAAAAATAAAATAATAATAATAATAAAGACAAGAGAAGGGGAAAAATAAAAATGAAGAAATAGAGATAGGGAAGAAGAGAAAATTTATTTTCATTGTGTGGGTTCTATTTTTTTTATTTTATTTATTTATCCGTTTATTTATTTTATTATTTATTTTTATTTTTTACCTTGGCTTACGTCTAATTATTTTTGGTTTCCCCTTTATTTATTTATTTAATATTCATTTTTTAGATGATTTTTTTTATATTTTTTTATTTTATATTAAAGTATTAGAGTTTGTGTTATTTATTAGGTTAGATAATTATTCGATAAAAGAACTATCGAGTCTCCTAAATTTTCGAGGATCGAAGATAAATTTTTTATCAACAATAAATAATAAAATAAAAATTCTTGACGAAGTCTCCTATCCGATAGGGACCGACGTCACAAAAAAAATCATCCGTTAATTAGGATGTCCTCCGACACACCGGTTGTGTCGAGCTTATAGTGGATCCGATGTTTGAATTGACGTGTCATCCGACGAAAAGGACGACGATCGTTTCAATATGATGCCACACCCAAAAATTAAAAATTCAATTCGGCTTTAAAAAAATAAGACTTTAGAAATCAGAAAATAATTTGATATTTTAGGAGATGAATTTAGAATTAAACCACACATGATACCTTTTTTCAAAAAGGGCACTTTTTGGTGATTAAATATCTTTAAAAAGTGTAACCAACTCCTCTTGTAGAATCTCTAAACCGAGTGCCTATTTTGGCTTCCTAGTTTCTTCAATACTAAGTGGCGACTCCAAACTCGTAAATAGAAATCTTAATTGATTCTTTTTTCGAGAGTCTCGTCCGATATCGAGTACCGACAATATATAAGATATTGGTTGAAATATATGTTTGGTTTTCATTCCGTATAGACAAATTAAGATCCCATGATTTATTTATGAATGCGCGAACATTATGAATTTCACATGCATTTATATCTTCATCGACTATAAATCTAAATAACATGATTTTTTGTTTATGAAAAATAGTGGATAAAATGAATTTAATAGTAATATTAACTTTTAATCTTATCATTTTAGTTTATTTTTGGAGGGTTTACTTGGTTGCTCTTGATTTGTTATCCTCGTCATAGGTTTCGAAAAAATAATCTTATAGATATACGATGTAGATAGTCAAATTTAAGATCTGATTAAATAATGTTTTAATTTGGTATGTAAAAACTGAATGAAGGATTTTCTTATCATTAAAACATAAAATGTAACAATAAGTTATTATCAAGTGATAAACAAGCTTGCTTATAAGTAAATTCTTATTTATACCTAGAATTTGAATTTTAAAATAGTATTTTTGAAAAGAGTTAAACCCCGTCGTTCTTATTCTAAATAATTTAATTATATCTTCAATATGAGACATGAATATTTAGGAAAAATAAAAATACATACACAAAATGTAAATATTTAATCACGTCATCAAACTAAACTAGCCAAAGGGCCACGGGGATTTTTTGTCTTATTATTTGCATGTAGCATTTTATATTCTAAAATTTCTCTTTTTACTTTTTTTTCTATTGGTAAATCAGTAAAAGCAGAATATCTTTCATTTTTTTGTAAAAGCCAACTTGTTGTCACATTAATCGATATTATGGTCAAAGAGATGCCATTTCGATGCAGCAGATATGAGGGATGAGGACAGACGACAATTCATAACGCAATATATCAGATGCTTTCAAACAAAATAGTGTTGTGAGTTTATTAAAAAAAATAATTAATTGTAGTTTGAGAATTAATTTGCTATTTGTTCTCTTCCTGTATAAACATAAATATTATTCAACATCTGATATGAGAAGAAAAATAAATAATGATGTTTTCCCTTAAGAAATAGTGTTTTATTGAAAAAAAAATTAAACACAATTCTTTTTGGCTATTAGATGAAGAAAATTACAATAATACTAATATAATTAATTATTATGTTATTAAATAATTTTAGTTATTATTAATATTTATTACAACCATTACTAGTCATTGTATAGCCATTGTAAGTTTATTAAGGTTTTATAATTAATTTTTTTTATTTATTCTCACCGTATATAAGTATAAATATTTTTTAGCATTTGGTATGATAAAAAAAATTAAAATAATGATTTTTTCGGTTAAAAAATAGTGCTTTGTTTTTTAAAGTTTTCAAACACTATTCTGTAGAGTGGGATTGAGCATTCACATCTGTCTATTTATTGCAAGCGTACGCTTGCATGTGATCGGTGGTTGAAGGATAAATTGCTTTAACATATTGCACCAAAAAACAGGCTTAATGGTCTAGAATTCCTCTACTATTTTGTTTGTTTTAATTAATTTCATCCTTCTACTTTTATTTGTCTTAATTGCATTCTTCTGGCTAAATTTTCAGGTAATCACATCAATTCTTGACGACAAATGCACAAAATACTTTAAAAATTTTTTAAAAAATAATAAATTTCTAAAACAAAATAAAAAATCACAAAAAGCCTTACTCTTTCTCTGCATTTATGTACTCTTTCTCTGCATTTATGTATAAAAATAAATAAATAATTTAGTCTCTCAATTTTTTTTTGCTTTCTCTCAAATCCAAACAAAAAAAGAAAATTTTTTTTGTATAAGAGGGAACAAATTTTTATTTATTTAAAAAATTTATTATGAAAATTTATTTCAAATCAAAACCCAAAGAAATTTTTTTTTTATGAAAATGTTTTCATAACATATGAACATAAGCAAACGGCAGAGTAAAAGATGAACATTTTGGATTTATTTATTATAATTTTTTTTCGAAAAGAAATTGTTATATATTAACATCATGTGTGTTTATCGTCGATAATTCAGTCGTTATCTAAAAACTTAAACGGATAATGAAATTAAAATACCAATTAAAATAGAGGAATACGATTAATGAAAAAATTAGTAGAGAGATAAGATTAAAATAAACGAAATAATTGAAGGATGTCCTGATCATTAACTCCCATGAAATACTCTTCGAAGAACGTGACTTACTGTTAAGGACAGTGACTATATGCTACAACCGATAAATCTATTCAATTTTTCTATCGATATTTTTATTTATCCTATCCTATTTTATTTTTTCTACTAATGCCTTCCAACTTTTTCAATAATGGACTTCTTTTCTCTTGAAATGCCGTATTGCACGCGCGCCCGCGCGCACACACACATATATATATATTTTGTAAAAACTTTCATTTTGAAGTAATTTCTAAGCAAACTAAATAGTCATGTTTGGAAGATTGAAAGTGATAATTAACTTTTGAGGAATGAAGTTAACATATTACAATATTGAAATTTATTGGTGTTCCATAGAGAGTACTTGAGTTTGAAGATCATCGAGAGATCAAATTATTCGATTAGATTTTATAAATTTAATTAATTAAGCGATTAATGGTTCAATCTATTTTTATATAATAATATGATTATCTAATTTATCATTATATTCATAATTGAATCAATTTATCCTAAAATATATATTAAGTGTCTAATTTTCTTCTAACAATATTTTCAAACTAAATTATTGAAATTAGTTACTCAATTTGTACATAAAAACCATCTATTTGATTGAATTGCAAGGATTTTTAAAAATAATAATTAGTAATATGTAAATCATGTGAATGATTCCGATAAATTAATCTAAAAATTTTAACAAAAAGATAAATTAAGAACGAAATATATGTTTAAGGATAAATTTGATTTAATTAAGAATATAAAAACAAATTGTAAAATTATCTCATTATACAATAATAGATTGAGCCATTAACTTTTTTTTTTTGAAGAATATTATATTTTTATTTCATTGCTTAACAAGTTTAACCTAAATTGGCTTAAACACGTTTTAATCAGTGAGATTTCGATCAGATTACCTTGATGCTGATTGGCGAGGGATCATAATAACTAATTCTTTATTTAATAAATAATAATATATCTTGGTCGCATTATTATTTTTGTCGTTAATGTCTAATTGGTGATAATTTAGATGCACGTCGTCCTCGTGCAAGACCTTTGTTTTGACTCCTCAGACCAAATAAGGCAAAGAGAAACTTCGTTTTTCAATTCATTCCTGGGCTCCTCCATTGAGCCAGCTTATGATTCTTACGCAATGTGAAGTGTCATCCAAAGTACTAAAAGAACTTCGTGATCCCTTTCCGTGAGTTGATGGCCCCTCGGTGCAACCGCCTACGATCCTTCCTTGTTTCTTTTAATTGATGTGTTTTGATGTTTTTTTAGGCAATTTTTTTTTCAAGGTCAAATAATATTTTTAGTGTTATAAAAAAATAAAAAAATAGAATTAAAGAGAAAGATGATAAGAAAATGAATTCGTTATAAAATAAAGTGAATATAAGTGATAAGAACTTTAAATTATTCTTATAATCTCTCCAAAATACTTGTATAAAAACTAACGAATAATTAAACCTAAAACTAACCAACATTGAAGCCTATTTATATGTCGTAAGATAAAAAAGATAATTGAAATGGAATATTAACTATTAAAATATGCATAAATAATTAAATAAATTATATAATATTTTTAACTTATAATATTAAATGGTGAATTGAATCACATGAGTAATTAAAATATAAAATAATTATGGATGTTCGTTATTTTATAACATTCCGATCAATTTATGTATTGAAACAGATTTTTTTTAATTATTTTTAAAGCATATCTTTTATATTAATTTAGTATATTTAACATAATAAATTTTATTAAAACAATTTAGTTTTAAGGTTCGAATCTTAAAATTGAAAAAAAAAATCCTTAACTACTAGATAAACAATTTAGTTACGATTCGAACCTTAAAATAGAAGACAGTTTTAAGATTCGAAAAAACAGACAATGAAGAAAACAAATATCCTTAACTACTAGATAAACAATTCAATGATTTAAACCATAGACCATCAATTGTCTTATTACTTTTAAAAGAAATGGTATGTCTAGTTCAGTTGTATTCATTAGGCCTGCCTAGAATATCCTAGAATTTGAAGGGAGCTAAAGACAAGAATATGATTAGGTCTGCTGTTCAATTTTATCCATATCAATTTAGACAATAAATTTGAGACAGCATAATTCAAGATTAATTTTTTTTTCTAATCGTAGTTAGAGGATATTTTTTAATATATGATTTCGAATTATGAACATAACTTATAAATTGACACTTACTTACTAGCGAACTACCATTTTGTGAAAGAAAATTAATATATCTTTTATATTTGCTATTTTATGTGTAAAAAAGAAAATAAAATTTGAAAACATTATGGTTTTAAAAATATATATTTTATTACTTGAAACATTACAATACATATGTTTTATATATAAACACAAATATAGAAGGAGAGACTTTTAACTTTGAAAAGAAGAAAAATTATCAATCAAGTATCCAATTGCAAAAATACATATTTTGAAAAAATCACATAAACTTTAATTTTTTTTTTTTAAAAAAAGGAAAATCCTACGTACGGGAGGCTAATATTCCACCTTGACTCTTCCTAACAATGCTAGGCATAGTGTTCAACATTGCTGGAAAGTTATTTTGTGTAGTTTCAGAATTCAACATGCTAATTTTTTCAAAACGTCAACATAGTATTTTTTTTCCCTAAAATATATATATATATATTTGGAATTCTTATACAAAGGTAGCAATATTAAAATTAAATATGACTGTGGAAGGAAAATGCAATCTTTGCAATACGATAGAGATGGATAATATCAAACATCATCATTCTTTTTTTCTTTTATTTTTTCTTTTATTAACAGCAAACTTTTCTCACAATTGCCTTTCAATTCAACACAAACAAACCAAAAATATATATAAAAAAAAAAAAAACAAAAAGCAAAAAAATCCATCTTACAAATGGATTCATTCGAGAAAGAATTGGCAAAAAAATAAGAGGTACAAACTTTTGATATATAAATATTGTAAGCAACTTCAATTTTCAGCACTTGCTTCGAGACGTGTCTTGGCTTGACTTGAAATTCTTTCTGTAGCATTTCTTTGAATGGCATTTCCCTGGCATAGCTGCATCAAGAACTTTCCCACGAGACAATTGAGGCATGTTTTGCTTAATAAGGTTGTAACATCCTCTCACCATTTCCTGTGTCCATTTTTGTCATTAAACGTTAATTTTGTTACTTTGTCATTTAATTAGCTTAATAGGTCAATCTATGATTTTTTTTTTAATTTATACTTACACTCTTAATTTAGTTAATTTTATTTTTGAATATTTGTCAAATTTTTCATATGTAAATTAAGAGATAAATTTCGATAGTTTAACTTAAAAATCTTATCATAATGATATATTATACGCTTAATGTATATTTAAAATAAAATTAATTTAATTAAAGATAAAAAATAAATTAGAGAATTCCGTATTATGCACGGACAAGTTGAACCAATAATCTTTTAACTTATTACAGACAAAAGTTGAGATACATAAGAACAAATTAATCATCAAAAGAGTCATTTTTACTGCCTTGACTGATGACTGGTGACTAATACCGATTGCAACAAATAGATATCGTGAGATTAGAATGACAGCTTACACAATTCGAAATTAGAATTTTTGCAGTTAAAACTTAGATTTTGTACTCATTTGGCTACAAGGTTTTTTCTTTTTTCTTTTTTTCCCCTTTTAAAAGCTTTATTTTGGAGTTTTTTACCTTGTTCATCCTTTTGTGAAAGCACTCCAATTTGGGGCCATCAATAGTCTGATCAGTCACCCATAGCACTGCAGCTGCTGCTATTGTGGATGGAGTATAAGCCAAGATATTCATCACTGATAAGAATTCAAGCAAGCTAGCTTTAACTTTTGTATGGATAAAAAGAGGTAGGTAGAACGATTTCATTAATTACTCTAGGAATTACCTCTACATATGCTGATGATAAGATCGGATGAACGAGTCCAAATGAAATTTTGACTTCTGGGGCTGAGATGTGAAAGCTTTGCAATGAAATAATGCAGAAAACAGAAAGGTGTAATGATGTGTAATCGCCACTTGAGATTGCCCATGACCAAAAGTTCCATTCTTTGAACTGTACTTGGTTTGAATAAAAATCTGGGTTCCAATATTTGTACGTCTAAAAGAGTTGGGACTCTTGTTTCCTCCATTTTTGCTGCTAGAGATAGGCATGCCACTGCTAATAGTTGCAGGGGCCATCCTTTACCTTGCTGCATCAAACAACAATTGATGACCAATCAATGAGAATTTGAGAGGCTAAATTTTGTCACGTCCTAATACAAATTAGAATAGAAACAATTAAGGATTTTGATGCCTATTTCTTTTTCTAGTCACATTATGCTTGTATGATGAGTTAGGCCATGATGATCATGTTTCAAGTTAAGAACACATTACCTGCAAGGTACGAGATAATATGAAACAATGAAAATAGTTAACAGAAAGATATGCTGTTTCAGGCCTAAACCGGTAGTAAGCATGCACCTGCAAAGCAGAAATACTATAAATTACCAAGGAAGAAAGAAAAATTGCACAAGGAAGTAGAATCAAAAGAGTAGCATCAACCTTTAACATCCAATTCAGTGTATCTTGGTGAGCAGTACCAACTTCTGGCATGTCAAGAAATCGGTTAATTAGCTCAGTTTCTGGCATTTGTTGAAGCTCAGAAACGAGGATATCATCGATATAGCTCTCGTCGAAATCAACTGGGAAATCTGTAGATGAAAGGCTATTGATTTCGTCATCAGCATTATTGGAACAAAGTGCATCACCAGCTGTTTCATTGCAGTACAAATTAACAGGAGAACTAATAGAAACATCTGCCGAGACAGACATATTGGAGCTGATTTTTTGCATAATGCAACTCATCAACATCATTTTTCCCTGTCACACATCGGAGGAAGGGTTCAGAATTTTTTTGCTGCTTGTGGTGTTGTTGTATCCAAGTTATTTATACCGAATATTACTTCATTGTTGATTCTGACATGATCTAGCATTGAGGTAACTTGCATGAAGCTTCCTTAAAGAGCAGCCAAAATGCTGTAGGCCCAATTCCAGGATAGGTGGGTGACTAAAGTCCTGTTGCTGTCTCTGTCTTGTATCCAAATTTCCCGCAATAATAGAAGCTTAATTTAGTAGTTTAAAGGGTTTTCTTTACATTTGGACCTCTATTGAAACCCTTTTTTTTTTTTTTTACTTAATTAAAACTCTCTATTTTTTTTATATTTTTCCTTTAGACTCTCCATTATAGAGTTACTAATCAATGATTAACATGTATTATTGTAAAATAAGAAATCTTAAAGAGTAAATGTAATGTGTTGATTACTGATTGGTGACGTTATTAAAAAGAATATGAAGCAAGAAATCTCAAAAAATAAAAGATCTCAATCAAGATAAAAAAGAATAAAGCATTTTAATAAAAAAAAATGAAAAAACACACAATCTAAATGTCAAGAAAACTCATAATTTAAAGATAGTTTTTTTGTCCAAAATCTAGAGCGCAACTACCAAAGAGCTTATAACCCAAGTGGTCTCTTGTAATACAAGTTTATGAATTCAAATCTTAATAGATTATTTCTGTTAGGAGTCTTGGGTGTGTGAATTAAAAAAAAAAAAATCCAAAGAGCAAAAAGAATTTACAACCTTAGGATATTTCTAGGAGGGGAAAATAATTCTAAGTAACATTCACCATACGTAAAAGCAGCGATGTAGTGTTGATGTTGGAGATTACAAAGAAGATTTTGCTTTAATTTGCTTGCACTTCTTTTTCATATTTTGTTACAATAATTTGTGCCTCGAGAACTCAACCGTACAAGGACTATAGCTCAAGGGTTATGGCGTTGTCTGAGAACTTGGGCCGGGGAGATTGGGTAGGGTGACCACACCCAGCAAGTTAAAATGCACACTATTAATCCTTTGAGGAAGGCTTGTGAATTACTGTTCTTGTAAATGGACTACAATCCATTTTCCGGAAAAGCACGACTAACCTTTCTTCACCATAACATGATTTCTCTAACTTAGAATGGATAATTAAGCATTATACAAATTATTGAGGAAACTTAAAAAGGAAAATTTAAATGCATAAATCTTTAAATTAATAAATTTCTACTTTTTATGAAACAATATAAGAAATCTTAAAAAAAAATTCGGAACATTGTATTCATCAATATGGACATTATTATTATTATTAAACGTCTCAAAAAAAATAAAAAAATAAAAATAAACAAACAAACTTTTTAAGAGCTAAATCGCACAAACATTCTAAATTGTAAGTGTATTTTTGGATAGACATCTTCTAAATTAATTTTTTTCTTCTTATTTTGACCCTTAAGTCAGAGTGCGTTTTCATTGCTGCCTTCTGCGCTAGATTCCTTCCATTTTAATCCTTAAATATCATGTGTAAACCTTGTGTTTTTCTTAAAAATTGTCAAAAAGTCATAAAAACTTATTTCTTGATGACAAACCTTCTAGCATGATGTAATTGGAGATTGAATTCTTGGTTATTTTTAAAATTTTATATAAACACATGTACAATTCATGTGTTAGTATTTAACTTCGTAGTAAAATTTTGTTCCTGTGCCTTAAAGATTATTAGTTGATTAATTAATAGGAGTGCTTTGATAAATGAAAATTTTCTATTATTTACTAATAACCAGGTAATAATTATTCTTTAATGATATCGGATTTCAACTTATTTGGTCTCGGAGTTTAGTAGTCGACCAAAAACTAAATATGTTTTAATGCTATCTTAGTTCGGAAAGTGATGAACTTAGTTTCGATGTGAAAAATTAGGAAAAAAGAGTAATTTGGGCATTAAAACTATTATAACACATTTTTTTAATGGCAAAACTGTAATTTTCTAATGTTGTTTTTTTAGGTGACTATAATGGCAGTGGGAATAAGCAATTTTATATTTCCAGTTTTAGTATCTGAGATGTTCAAGGGAACTCGCGTAAGAAAACTACATATTTTGAAGCGTAATAGATGAAAAATTAAAATGCATAGTATTCATGCGGTTAAACCACACGATGTTTTTAATTAGTGATTGATATCATCGAAGTATAAATATTTGATTGACATTTTTCTTATACTTGTGGGACAGAGAGAATGTTCCGTTAGTTGATGGCAAAGAAAAATTGACATTTCAATCAAAGTTCAGAAAATAATTGATACAGATGAAAGTTTAAGAGAAAATTTAATTTGTTTTTATATAATACTTAAAGTCTCATATATGTTATTCGATTTTTAATTAAATCTTATTTGTCTCTAAAAGCGTTTAAAATAATCAATCTTTCTTTTCAATCAATTTTTAAAACTAAATAAAAAATATCCCCGACTCAAATGAAGAAAAAGAAAAACTAAAGACTTTAAAAAAAAATGCAATTCACGTGACTTTAAGTGTTTTTATTTTTTATTTTTTAGTTTTTTTATATTTTAGTAAATGACATTTTAGTTAAAAAAAATTTTTCCACAGTTGAAAAATTTGGTTGAAATAACATATTGAATATTTTAAAAAATTTTAAAAACAGACGAAAGACTTTAAATATTATATAAAGATAGATAAATTTATTTATTCGAAATTTTTTAAAAAAATAACGATTTTAATAATACATTTCTATCCAATAACATAAATAAATAAAAACTAGCGAAAATAATACCTAATCCCAAGTCTGCAAAATAACAAAGGAATACCTCTTAATTAGACAAAAAAAAAAGTAATATTTATAAAAATAAAATATGAAACAAGAAAATTTTAAAAATAAAAAATTTCAATTAAGATAAAAAAGAATAAAGCATTTCAATTGAAAAAATTCGAAGAATGCACAATCTATATGTGGAGAAATCCTGTTCAAAGATGGTAGTTGTTTTGTCCAAAATCTAGAGAGCCAAAAGAATTTACTACCTTAGGATATTTCCAGGAGAGGAAAGTAATTCTAAGTAGCATTCACCCGTGCAGAAAAGAAGCCATGTAGCGTTGATGTTGGAGATTACAGAGAAGATTTTGCTTTAATTTGCTTGCTCCCCTTCATGTTTTGTTCCAATATTGCTGACAATAACTTGCGCTTCGAGAACTCAACCTTACAAGGACTACAGCTCAAGGGTTATGGCTTTGTCTGACAAATAGCCAAATAGGTGTAGGGAGATTGGTTGGGAAACTTAAGAAAGAACATTTAAATGCATAAATCTTTAAATTACTAAATTTCTACTTTTTATGATACAATATAAGAAATCTTAAAAAAAAAAAAATTCGGAACGTGGCAGTCATCAATATGGACACTATTATTATTAAACGATCTCAATAAATAAATAAATAAAATAAAATAAAATTTAAGAGCTAAATCGCACAAGAATTCTAAATTATAAGTGTATTTTTGGATAGACATCTTCTAAATTAATTTTTTTCTTTCTTATTTTGACTCTTAAATTATAGTGTGTTTTCATTGCTGTGCTAGATTCCTTCCATTTTAATATTTAAATATTACGTGTAAACCTTGTGTTTTTCTTAAAAAGTTGTCAAAAAATCGCATTTTACTTAGTAATAAATTTTATTCCTTAAAGATTATTAGTTGATTAATTAATAGGAGAACTTTAATAAATGAAAATTTTCTACCATTCACGAATAATTAGCAATAATTATTTTTTAGTAGTATCAGATTTTGACCGATTTGATTTTAGAATGAACTCGGTATTTGATTAAAGACTAAACGTGATCTAACGCCACCTTAGTTCAAAAAATAATAGACTTAATTTCAATTAATAAGAACAGTTAGAAATAAAGGAAATAATTTGGGTATTTAAAGTATTATAACACATTTTTAATGGCAAATCTGTAATTTTCTAACGCTGTTTATTAGGTGACTATAATGGCAGTAAACAATTTTAGTACCCAGGATGTTCAAGTGAAATTATGTAAGAAAACTAGATATTTTGAAGTGTAATAGATTAAAAATTAAAATGCAAAGTATTCATGCCGTTAAACCACATGATGTTTTTAGTGATTTATTCGGCTTAAAAACGCCAAATAAAAAATGTCATGATTCAAATGTAAAAAAATAAAAATAAAAATTAAAAAATTAAAAATTAAAGACGTAAAAAAAGAACATATAGATCATGTGACTTTAAGTTTTTTTTGTTTTATTTTAGTAAAGGACATTTCGGCTAAAAAACTTTTTTCCATAGTCGAAAAATTTGATTGAAATAACATATTTAAAATTTGAAAAGAATTCGAGAGACAAATGAGAGACTTTAAGTATTACATAAAGATAGATGGGTATATTTATCCAAAAATTTTAAAAATTTCCTAAATTTGAGAGAGGTAAATAAAAAATATAGCTTAAACAACATGATGTTTTTAGTGATTTATTCAGTTTAATATGATGAAAGTATGAATATTTGATTGACCTTTTCTTAAACTTTTTGAGACATATCACATGATGTCAAAATTCTTTTTCTTTTTCCTTTTTCATCTTTGTTGAGTTTCTTAGATGAATGAGAATGTCTTGTATATATTATAATAATGAGGAATAATTAGATTTGAAGAAAAAAATTGGACACTAAATCTAAAATAAAAAGACAAAAAAAATCATATTACACCGATAAACAATATAGTAAAGATGCACATTTAGTATGCAAATGATTGTTTTCTTATGCTAGCTAATGCAAATGGTGGGTTGCAGCAGCAAGAATACGGTGGGAGAGAGATGGTGTGTAAATGTATGTAGAATGTTTAAGCAAATTAATCATTATCCCGTGTGTATTCTTAGCTAGTTAGTGACCTTTTACCATCCAAAACAATTTTAAGCAGCCAATAAATCAACAAAATGATACAAATTTGAGTGCACTATGACCTGAAAAATCATTATAAATTTTCATTTGTCAAAGCACCTTACCAAATTGAACATGATAAGCATGAGAGTTTGTTAAAATCCCACTTCTACTAACAAGATGATGGCCTAATCAACTAACAAAACTAAGAGTGAATTATAAATTAGTCCCTCTAGTTTTTCAAAAAGAATTAAATAGTTTCTCTAATTTTAATAATTAATTAATCGGTTCTTATATTTTAACCTAATTTTTTTTCAATTTATTTGTTTTTTAATAAATATAAAAAAGTGAAAATATGAAAATATTGATGAAAAAAGAAGATATTTTTTAAATAAAATAATGTTAAATTAATTATAATTAGCCCTTAAAAACAAGAAGAATTATTTAAGTGGTGTTACAAAATTAGAAGCACTAATTTATAATTTACTCGTACACAAACTGAAAAGTAAACGGAACAAAGAGTAGGAAAATTATCTTAATTTAGATAGACTGAAGATTTCACCATGGAATACCTAAAGGGTTGGTGGAAGTTTAGCATTAATTGAATAAGTGACAAGCATACTGCCCCTTTACACAACTTTGACGCGTGAAAAAAAAAACTAAGAAATTAAATAATAAACGAAAAACATCAAAATAATTTTCATTTTTTTTCTTTTTTAATCACGTGTCAATTTTATATGATCTGTCATTTTACGTGATGTTTTTGTCTGAAATAAAATACCACATATCACTAGTTATCAAAAAATTAAACAAAATCTCTCCGAAAAAATCACATTAAAAAAATTTAAAATTAAAAAAACATGATAAAAAAAAGGAGATCATATTAAAAAAAAAAATACAAAGAATAGATATACGAATTATGGGATTAACCTTTTCAAGAAAGCAAATGACAAGGAAAATACAAAATGCAAATGGTAACAATGAGATATACTCTAACAAGTATAATGCTGAAAAGTGCAAAAGTGTCCTGTTATTAGAATAGAATCCCCTTTATTGTAAAATAAAATATTTCGTATTAATTTCCCTGAAAAAAAATTGTTGTGAGTCCCCTCCAAGACTCTCGCATTAATTATACTACTCTAAATGCTTGCATTTAAAACTCTCGTCCTTTCATGTCCACGCTACAGGCGAGGAGGAGTGCCGAACTGAACACGTTATGGTGACATTTAACATCATCTTTATTAGTCGGAAAAAAATATTTATTGCAACGAATTAAATTACATTACAGAGGGTGGTTACGGTACAAATTAATGTGCAATTTTTACGGAAGTCGAGAAAATTTTATAATACTTAAATAATAAATAATGTAAATTGTTTTATAAAAAAAGATGAACACAAAAAAATACAGAGAAATAAAAAATGAAAAATTTTTAAAAAAATTGAATCAACGTAAAAATTTTCTTTAATATTATAAAATTTCTAGTTAAAGAGGCATGTGAATTTTTTTCATTGAATTTCTTGATTCAAGATTTGGAACTAACTTATAAGATTAATAATCAGCTTTGCTAATTAAATTTTCTATCAAGCCAACAGTGCTTTGATGTAATGAAAGTCAGCTATACATAGAACGCCAATAACCTTGAAATTTTGAATTTCTTCTATGATAATTTATATTAATTTAGTGATATATCTATGTATCGATCGTAATTATTTTTAAAAAAACTCTTAAACTATGGCCTCAATATAAATGTGGTGGGGATCGTTTTAAATAAATAAATAAAATAGTGTAATAAATATGGACGCAATGTTCATCGACCAAGATTTAGAGATAGCCTGCTTATTTATCTATATTTTTTTCAACATGATCTATGATAAATTTCTAAATCATTACATATGTTTTGAATCAACTACAAAATTGATAAATGCTTTTATCAATTAATAAAGAGATTGTTATGCATGCATGATAAATTAGTGTCCGGTAAATTATAATAACTCTTTAAAATATCATGAAATTACAAATATTGTTTAAAATTTTAAATATATTATAAAAAAATCCTTTTTTTGTATTCAAAATTCTCTTATAACTTTTAAAATACCTTTATTATTAAACACGATGATTTTAAAAATTAATAGCAAGGACATTTTGAGTTTAAAAAGGAATGTTTACAATACTTTCTTGAATATGCATGAAAGGCTATCAGTAAAATCTTCAACTTTTAAGTGGTTTTGTAATTTCATGGTATTTTAAAAAGTTACTGTAATTTACTCGGAGAAAAATAAAAAAAAAGAAAAAAGAAAAAAGAAAAGACAGTCTGTTTAGCATAAGTACAGATTTTGCTTTAAGTTATGATCAAAATTTTATTTTAAGCAAAATGCTTTAGATTATATTGGATAGTACATTGGATAACGTACAATACTAAAATTGTAAATCAAAAATGAAAATTATATAACTTAATTTTATTCAAATTAGTCATTGTTAATCATAATTATGCATTCAATAGACGTTTACGAGTAAAAAATTTCCAATTATTAGGAGTGAAAAGTTTTTAGTCATGCTTACGTTAAGATTTAATTTAAATACAGAAGAAATATAGTAAAAGAAAGCTACAATTGATGCATTTTTGTAAATTTATTTTGAATTGTTTCGCTTAAGATTAAGAATGTTTTGGATACTAAAAAACAATATAATATTTTTAAATTTTTGAATAATAGTTGTAATTTTATAATACCTTAAGAGGTTCTTGTAATTTATTTTGTTTTTATAAATTACAATTAGAAATCGAATGTTTTTTTTATGAGAAAAAAATAAAAGTTCTAATTTCTAGCTCTCTTTTCTGATCACCGTGATATGGAGGAAATAAAGTTCACATGTGCTTTTTATTTCTAGCTAACAAAGTTTAACGGATGGATGCTTAACAAAGATCCCATATTGTTATGATTTTAAAGTATGAGTGATCAAAATTAAAAAAATCGAAAGATTATAAATTTAATTTTCATGTTGATCGATAATAATTTTATAAAAATGAAATTAGAAAAAGGTTTTTTATTTTTTTCGTCCTGATCATGACTGATGAGAGCTAGGGAGTAAACTATAAATTAATTCTTTTATTTTTTTCAAAAAGAATTAAATGGTTCTTATAGTTTTAAAATAATTGATTAGTTTTTATACTTTAAATTTATTAATAACTTAATTATTTCTATTATTTTTAGATTATTTATTTTTTAATAAATAAAAAATCAGTTAAAAATATGAAACAATTAACAAGAAAAGAATATTTTTTAAAGAGAAAAATACTTTTAAAATAAAATAATATCAAATTAGTCATGAACATATCGGTAAAAAACTAATTAATTAATTTTTTTAAAAATAAGGATTATTTAATTAATTTTGTAAAACCAGAGGGACTACTCGAGAGCCCTGGTCTTTGGTTTCTTCTGACAAGTATAAACAGGAAGCCAGGAATCATACGTGGGCCCATTCTCTCCACCTTTAGACGCTACCCAGGTGGTTTTGCAGATCTAACACGTATCTACAGGCTAAGCTACACTTTCATTTGTTTATTGAAATGGTCCTCGTCAACTTTTTAATAAAATTAAAAAAATATATATGAATTATTACATCATATTAATATTTTTCTTATTTATTTATACCATTCTAATTTTTTTTAAAAAAAATTGTATTTGAATTTTTTTTATAAAATAAACTTTGATTAAAAATATTTTAAAAAATACACCATTTGAATTTTAAATAAACAAATATGTCAGAATATATATATATATATATATATACACACACGCTACACACTGAAGAAGGAGATGATTGGTCACTTAAAAAGATTGGTATGGTGGCTAAATAATTATTTTATTTTTTAATTTTTGAATTCAAAATTTAGTATCTATAAAAATTTATTAATTTCTTTAATGCATTAGATCAATATAAAAAAAACATATCCTTACAATTTTTCAGAGAAAAAATTAATCTACGAAAATTGGCCGGCTCGATGATAATTACCCTCTAATATTTTTTTTTCTTTTTTAAAAAGGAGGATATATTTCTTAGTTAAAAAGTTGGAGTAGGCACTTTCTTTCTTAATTTGCTCGTTCCATTGTCAATAAATCACCCCCACTTCCATCATTTCCTCCATTTTAACTACCAATATCCTAACCTTCTCCTTCTCTTTCTTTCTTTCCCATCCCCCCCAACAGTTAATCTGATCTGAGTCCTCACTTTCAGTCATGACCAAAAGCATTGAGTTACATACGTTGTCCTGAGCTAATCAGCGTAGCTGCAGGTAAACGTAAACTTGTAGTACTTGATGATGATCGATCAAGAAATTCTGCAAAGGTTGTTGTCTTGTGGTTTCTTCTGAATTTTTCTCGATTTTCGATGAATCTCTTTGTCACATCTCTGCTGGATTCTCGCCGTACGTCTTGATCATGAACGTGAACAAGCGTCATCAGCACCATTAAATATTGTCCTGTTGACAGAACCTTACCTCTACCGACTCACCTCCAGCATTCAAGGCTGTCTATATATATATAATTGTTTTACGTAGCTTTCTTGAGCAAAAATAAGTAAGAAGATCATGGGAAATTGTCAAGCAGCAGAGGCAGCAACTGTAGTGATACAACATCCAGGAAACAAGATCGAGAGGATTTACTGGTCTGTTAGTGCTCATGAAATCATGACCTCTAATCCTGGCCATTATGTGGCACTTATTGTTTCATCGCCAACAATGAGGACAGAAAATGGGTTGCCATTGAAACAACTAAAGCTTCTTCGACCTGATGATACCTTGCTCATTGGCCATGTTTATCGACTTGTCAGCTTTGAAGGTAATTAATTACGTTATATATAATTAATGCTTAAATATATCAATTTAATTGGCATTGGGGTTGATTGTTTTTTGCTTCCAGATGTTTTGAAAGAATTTGATGCAAAAAAATGTGTTAAATTGGGAAAGCTGTTGAAAGAGAGTGGAGGGCCAGGAGTAGAAACGAAGAAGAAGAACTCATCAGAGAGGCTTAACCCCATTTCTAATTCTGACAACTCCGATTCCATTGAGGTAAATCATTATTTATTTTAATCCAAGAATTAGTGGTAATCAAAATGATAAATGAAATTAGATTGGAATATTTCCTTTCTTTTTTCTTTTTTTTCCTTCAACTCATAAAAAGCATCTTTCTTTTTAACTCCACAATAGATTTTAGAAATGCATTCTAATTAAAGTAGTAATTAACACTACACAAATGATATTTCTTTATTTTCTTAATCTTTTCCTTAAAATTTCTTGAAATTGTCATCATATATATATATATGAAACACGTTTTTCCAAAGGAAAAAAAAAAGAGAGAGAAGATAAGTCAAATCAGAAGCCGTACCAGCAAGGTGACAATGTCGCTCTCTCTGCGCTGGCTTTTTCGCCTGTATCTTGGCAAAGTTAGCCATTGGGTCCCCGCCTCCCCATCGTGGGTTGATTAAGATTTATAGCAAGATTTTCTTAGAGAAAAAAATATAATGATAGCCCTAGCAATCTACCTTGCGCGATGGGTAAAATGTAAAAGAAAAACTTTTCTAGACCTTTTTTTTTATTATTATTTTACCTACTAAAAAACATGATTTTTTTGAACTTTTTTTTTCGTTAGGATTCTATTAAGAACTAGACGCAAAAACCCATAAAAATCCTCCCAATTTTTTTTATCTACTAACTTAAAAAAAATTACTAATGGAGAAAATAGAAGTATTAAGTAGATTTTTAAGGGTTTGTCGTAAATGTTTCAAATAAATCCTGATAAAAAAAAATAAATTTAAAAATTATATTATTTAGAGAGCAAAATCTGAGATTTTTTAGTTTCTGAAGTATTTATTTTTTTTGCTAGTTAATAGGGGTATTTTACAATTTAACCTTGCATATTCTTTAGATAAGTTTATAAAGTTCTTATATATATATATATATTTTTTTTTTCTTTTACAAATGCGAGAATCTATCAATGGTTCTCATTGATATAGTACTTGCACTATTCAGAGTACCAGGTAAACAGTAGTTCCAAGATGCATGACTTTTAGCTTTTATGAGGGAATTACAGAGCTCTAATCGAAGACGACTTTTTTTTTAATTTTGATTGAAAGGCATGAATAGTCAGTAGAAAATTGGAAGAAAAGAAGAACGCATTTAAAGTTAACTGTCTGTCTCTTCAAATAATGGTTCTGAACGACTGTACCTGCTAGCTAGGATAGTTTCTTGTTGCTTTTTCTGCTGGTTAATAAGTTCTCACGTGCATAAACAGTAAGACATTGTTTGTCCATGGTTGCCGTGTGGAATTTGGGTCAATAAAAATGTCTTGTCAGAACTTTAAAAAGAAATGAGGATGAACAAAAGTACTGCACTTAAGCTTCAAAACCCATCTACTAGTTGAACAAATTGCATCCAAGTTCGTTGTTTTTATTGTGTTTCTGTTCCATAATTTCCTTGTTTAGCTACTCAGGAGAGGCGCAAAAACCAGAAATCTACTCTGTGTCACCTTTCATTCCAAATTCTCAATGATTTGATTGATTTGTTTGCAATTTGGAATCATGATCTCGATAAATCTTTTTGTCACAAAAGAATGTTTTTTATTTATTTTTTACACAAATTTTAAAAAATATTAATTATTTAAATGGCAGGTGCAGCTAGCTAGCTAGTGCATGGTCATGGAATCTTGTCATTATTTGTCCATTTCGCAGGAGACAAAGTTAATGTGTACCCACGAATCAAAAGACGCACGATTTGTTTGCCAACGTTTCAAAGAAATTAACAGTGAATGCAAACTTATTGAAAAGAATAAACCAACAGTGCATGTGTGTAAATCTGAGTTGTTATTGTCTCATACATGGTGTACGTGTTTCTTTTTTCTCTTTTTGCAGGTGGAGCAGGAGTTTAACCGACTGGGAAGCAGTGGTGGCAGTACAAGCAGCGGCAGCAGCAGCAGAGGAGGAGTGGGGAGGCATTATGGCGGCGGTGGTGGTGGAGGGCAATGGAAGCCAGCCTTGCAGAGTATTTCAGAAATTGGAACTTGAAAAGCACTACCTTGCACCCCCACTATCTTTCACACACAAATTATTAAACCCTTTTCATCAGTCAACACTGCCTGCCATTCTCTTCCATGCATGAACCATAATAAAAACAACAAAAACATGCCCATCCTTCCACTCTTCTCAAAACGTTTATATTCTCTAGCTTCCAAACCCTTAATTTCTTCTCCGTTTAGAACATCTACATGCACATTGAATCAGTTTCCACTACTAGACCTAGCTAGGTGTTTCTGTTACTAGATATATGTAATCCTTTGGACTCGTACTTGGAAAGATAATATCAACTTTGCTTAAGTGTAATTAGCCGCTCGTTTTCCCTCTCATATATATATATATATATATATATATAATGTTAATATTAGTCCTTTTGAGTCCCATGTTTGTTTCGTTTTATGATCATGTTTACCAGCTTTACAAAACTTGTTGATTTGGTGGTCTTGCATGGCATTGCGTATCCACCCATTAAATATAATTAGTGGGGCTTAGGCTTTTATTAATTTTCTGAGAAAGGTTGTCTTTCAAGTAAAAGCTTTGAAAATTGTTTTCATAGAATTTGTTTGGTGGGTCCTTATGGTCTCTGAGAATTAAAGGGAGGAGTTGTCATTGTACAGTACAAAATAAACAGAGTCACCGCTTTTAATTTTAGGATGCCATTTGGGTAAGTGATAGGGCCAGCCAGGTTGCCACCTCTTCGCGGAAGGCTAGGTGATCCAAAAAGCATCATCAATTTTCAATCAAATTGAAATAAATTCTTAACTTCTAAAAATTATAGTCAAACTATAATTTTTTTTTTGAAAGATATAGGTATTTTTAACTAGTTTTTCAACGTCGGCAGTACATAAAGATTACTTAATAGTCTTAAAAATTACACGTGTTTCACTAATTAATAATTTAAATTTAAATTAATAAAACACATGTTAACTTTTAAAACTATTTTGAAGTTGACTTCCGGGTAAAAATCAATATAAAAAAACTTGGAAGGATGTATTATTTGCTTAAAAATTGTTCATTGTAGTTAAATTAAAAAAAAAAAAAACATTAGGATTCTATTTGAGTTTAACTGAAAGGTTATGATATTTTAGAATCATTTAGTCCTTCCTAAAATCTAGAGTCTGGACTTTCCACAAATGGAGGGTGCTTTCACTGAAGTAGGCTTTGAGTTTAAATTTTGGGGATGGTAACTAGTTCCTAGACAAATTGAAATCAGCAGAAACAGAAGCATATCAATTTTGAATTTAGGTAGTACTATATTTTTATTAGGTTCTTCCACATAAAGAATTGAGTATTTGATTATAAGTATGAAAAAAAATCTTAATTTTTCAGCTAATTTTTAAGGATGAGAAAACCCAGTAACATCAAACACTAAGTGCTTGATCATATAAGTGTAAGAAAAAATCACACTATTTGGCTAGTTTTTTAAGTTAAGAATGTCTAACATCACCTAATTTCCATAATAGATTAAGCAATTCCTCTCCCCATCCTCCAATTTATGATCGAATGTGTGAAAAGAGAAATTATTGGATCTTCTCATAGCGATTGTAAGAATGACTAAGTGTTTGGTTATAAATTCAAGAAAAAACTCGATCAGTTCGTAGAACTCACTTTTAAGGTTAAAAGGACTCAATAATACTTAATAATTTTTTACGAGTAATATGGAAAATCTTAATGAAGAAACTACCTAAAGTAGCAAAGGGGTTTGGAATTTGGAAGGCATATTAGTACGTAGGTAGTAGCAAATCTAGGTGCTTAAACTTGGAGCATCATTTTCCCACCATATTCCTTAAGAGCCAAAGATTCGAGCATTAGCCTGAATTACGAGAACAATCATGGTTTTGCAAATTGCAATGCTGTATAGGATGGACACGAATCAAAATGATCCTGATTAATTCGAGTGCATGTATGGTAAAAGCAGAATTGACACTTGTGGTTCACAACAATCCAGAGCATAGATAACCACTAAAGCACGAACATATCTTTAGTGCTATCACCCACTAAACTTCCTTTTCCCGTTTAACGAAGTAAGGTTAAGCTCTTCTGTCCATTGAATCATAACATTCAGACGTTTATAGATTTTCTTATTATTGTTATTATTATTATGCACCAATACCACAGCAAAGCAAATTTCAATCATGCATGCGGTGTGATCTTTCTTTTCTTTTATTAGGAGGTACGTTTAATGTTGTTTTTTATAACGAAAATTAATATTTTCTTATTGTATAATAATCAAATAAATTAATATCAAATTTATTTTATTAAAATAATTTAGTGAATACACAATTATTAGATTATTATATCTACTTATGTTTGTTTTCTTCTGTCAAATTAAGTAAGCGTGCAATTTGATTTGGTTGGCTTCCTTTGTATGTATTAAGAATTGAAGCAAAAGGTGGAGTAATCTTTAATCAACTAGTCATGAGAATAATCATTAAGCAAAAGGTGTACATATACTAATGATGGGATTATGGAGTTAATTATTAATAATAATAATCACGAAATAAGCTCTTATATATAACAAAATTTAATATAGTGTGTATAAAAAAAATTAGTTTAAACATAAAGTATTTTACTAATTTAAATAAATAGCTTCAGTTTTGAATTTTTATATACATAGAAAACTTTTTACGTAATCATATCAGTTTTGTACTTTCGACTGAACATCAATTAATTAATCTAAATTTTTGAATTTAACTTTAAAAATCCAATATATATATATATAATCACAATTAGTCTCATGGTGTTCCGTACATGATATTTCTGTACTTTTCTTTATGGCTCTTTACGCTTTAGTTTACTCCGACATTGTAGAATCCGAAATGAATTTTAGACTGTTGATGGTTTGGTGTGGAATATTTTGGACCATTTAATGATAACTTAAGTATACGAAGGAGTGGTTGGTGAATTTTGTTTCATATTATATGTGGAATTTCAAGTTACTCAATGATTGAACATCCTTTGTGCTTTGCTGTTCAGTCCTACTTTCACGCTGTTTCTTGCACTTTCATTATATCGTTTTTGTCTCCTTCCCAGACAAAACAAATAAGAAAAGAAACATGGTTAGAAAATGCATGTTATGATGTTGGATTCATGAAAGAGGCAACGGTTCTGGATTTTTCTACTGCTTTATTTATCTTAATTATGTCATTAATTTTTTTTATTATTATTGTCATCATTGAAAGTTTATTTTGTGTCTTAATTTTGAAATATAAAATCAAAATAAATTGAAAGAAAAGCGAAAAAGATTAAAGTTACAAAGAAAATTTAAAAATTAAGGACTACATAGTTTTGTTTCTGAAAGAAGGGACTAATTAATTATGTTTCGAAATTATAGGGATTAATTTATAGTTTAGTCAACAAAAGCTTGAACATAAATAACTGAAATGGCGAAAATACCCTTCGCCTCACCGTTTTCTATTTTTCCTGGCGCCTTTTCTGTTTCACCAAACCCAGAAACAAAAACCAATGTATACTGCAAAACCCTACCGGAGCTCCGTTTCTATTTTCTCGATTCTTCTCTTCTTCAAATTTTCATTATTTACCTCATCTGCCCTTGCACATGAACTCTCTCTAGGTACTCTCCTCTCTCTTCTCTCTTTCATATCTTTTTTTTTCCTTAAATTTCTGATGTTATTAAATCCCAAAGAATTTTGATATCTAGGGTTTCAATTTTAAATTCAGTAATCGGAATAATTATTTATCGAAAATTGGGTACTTTTTGGTTAATAATTCAGTGTAATTAACAGCATTTTGCATAATTATTTTGCAATTTTTGTTTTCCTTTTTTTTTTTTTTGGGGTTTTGTAGTTGTTGGTGAGAGTAGTAAAGTGCAAATTTCTCCTAGCGTGGAAGTTTTGAACTCTCCGGGTACTAAGCTGGGGACTTGGGTGCTTTGCGCAAGAGTTGATATCCATGGGTTGCCGAGGCTTAAAAACTTGAACAAGTTCTCTCATTCTTTGAAGCTCAAACTTTCACGTTCTAATTCCACTTTTCGCAGACCAAATGTTGAGGTTTGTTTTTACAGGTGAGTTTTTTCTTCTACGACACTTTGTTCGTAAATAGCATTGCATTTGGCTGATCTTACTAAGGCAATGTTGAGTTCAAAAATTGACAGCCATTGATACATTTTCTTTGCAGGAATGCGTCTTGTGCAATAGGGATGTGTCCACAGGGTAAGTGGGAGAAGGTTGATAAGGGTGGTTCATGGGTTCGAGCCATGTCACCTTTTGACCACAAGTTGTTAGATGTAAGGATGTTTGGTTCATCCTCCGAAAGCTTTGAACTGTCAATTGAAGAAGGTTTATTTTAACATCTCTATTTTACCTTTTGTTTTCAGGAGTAATGTTTCAAGTTTTTGTTCTTTATTCCTTATGTTAGAAATTTAATTTTAATTTTTTTTTGCTCTGTAAATTTGTTTTGCAGAGTTCTTCTTATATCGTGTGATATTCTTAATCTTGGGGGTTGTTATGCTGAGCGTTGCATCCTCTTTGAGCAAGTCTTTGGTATTTTATTACAGCAGTGCCATGACAATTGGAATCATGCTTGTAATACTCGTGGTCCTTTTTCAGGTAATGCAGTTTTCCAACCTTCATTCTTGAAATTGTGAATTGTGAGTATACCAGTTAGCCATCCTTTTTCCATGTTTTTGATAAAATTTGTTGACTGTAAATAAATGATTGGAGTTGAAATTATGTTGCTTGACTTCTAACAGACATAGCCAATACTTATTTGTTTTTCCTTTGTATGTGCATTTTTTTTTGGGTGTTATTTGCCTCTTCTTCTCTTTGGCTCAATTTGGTATCCTAGTTAGTTGTGCCCCTCAAAATGGTTGGACTAGCAAGTGTGAAATGTTCCAATTGGATCTCTTCTACAACACAAATGTTCAGTATGGTTTTCTGAGTTCTGTGAGCCTATTTTTTACATCATCAACGATAAGGCTATTAATGAGAATTGGATTGTTGACAGGGAATGAAGCTTCTGCCAACAGGTCGAAAGAGCTCGCTGGCAATTTTCATATACTCATCCCTTGTGTGTATCGACTTTCTCATTTCACTTTCAGTTTTTTATTCACAATCAAAAGCAGGTTCATTTTTATTTTATCGTCACTTTTGTTCAGGTTGGTTTGGGAACTTTTCTCCTTCGCTACTTGCCAGGATTGTTGTATTCAATACTCATGGAGATGGGAATAAGCGAAGACATGTATTATCCTGTATGTAAGTTATAGGTATTATGATATTGGACCTGTATCTCTTTTCTAGAGAAGATTATGGTTTTGTGTTTCTTTTTTATCCTAGTTAACATTTAATCTCTATGCTTTTTTGCAAGTCTGAACTCTGAAGCTGTAAACTTTGTTACACAAAAAGCAGTTTTTTTTCTTCAGGATGCGAGTAGTAATGTTGTAGTTTTTTGACGAAATAAACATCTGTATCAGTAATCTATGCTCGCTTCAGATGAATGCCTTGTATTGAATACATATTGTGCCCGTTGTATGTTTTTTCAGGCAAGGTTCATCTTGTATTTACATTGAGTAGTTGAGAAAGATTCTAACATAGTTTAGTCTTGTTTGCTTTCCATGTGTATAAACTGGACTAGGTACATTTATCTTATAATGTGGATCTTTTTCTTTTTGACTTGTGGAAAAGCTGATGCCATAAATTGTGGTCCTTCTTTTTACAATTTGGTGGATACTGTATATCATTGATGATTAATGCTTAGTGAAGTGTATCCTATCAAGCAGCTAAACAAGTCTTCCTTTATGAAACTGCAGTTGGCAATTTTTCTGCTGTTTTTTCTTGCTTTGACTGGAGCATGGATGGGTTTCTGGGCTGTCCGCAATTTTATCTTGACAGAAGATGGATCAGTTGATATAAGTACATCTCATTTTGTTGCCTGGTCCATCCGTATTTTTGCTGTTGTTTTAATTCTTCAGGTACCTTTATATAGAAGCTTTCAAGGTTTTATGGATGATGAGAGATCATTCTTTTGTTCATACATACATTTACAATATGAAGGTTTCATACAAATTTGATTATGGTTATCTTGTTTTAGAGTTCTTTGGATCCCTTGCTGGCAGCGGAAGCTTTAATATCTGGAATAATTGTCTCGTCAATTCTTAGGAGAATTTTTAGATGGAGATTCCTGCGTCGAGTGTACAAGTAAGTATTCCTTTTCCATTTTGGAATTCGGTCATGTTTTCTGGTACCGAGATGAATTTGCTTCCAATAGGTTACAAGATAATATGTCCATTAGAATTTTCCCTTGAACGGTATATTTGGAAGAAAAATTTAGCTCAAGAATAAATGATGAGGAACATGAAAATATTGTTTTCTTGGCCATAATGAAGAGATTCTTCTTATTTCTGGTCATTGTGAAGATAGTTTTTATCTGCAAGGCACTTCTCCACTTTGCCAGTTTTTGATCCATGAAAGTTTTGATATCATATGCTTTTTTTTCTCGATGTTTCTTTATGATCCTCTATATATTCATTATAATTTTCTGATCGCCATGCCATTGAAGAAAACTTTCACTGCCTCTATTTTGCAACTGCAATGACATCTGTGGAATAAATCTGCAGGAAGTTGTTTAAATTAGTCAGAAACATAACTAGAGAATCACTTTTTCCTGATTTATCACCATTTGGAGGTTCTATTGATAAATACACGGTTGAGACGCCTGAAGGCTCAAAGTTCCTTTCTCCTCGGCCCAAACGATTCAACCTGGCTTCGTGCAATTCTATGCAAGGTTTGGATGTTGGCTTTAATCTTTATCTCTAAACAATACAAGAAGCGTTGTCCAGTAGAGATGCTCTTTTACATTTACTGTCTTGTCATTCTTTCAGGTTTAAGCAGGACATCACCTCATCAATTGTCAGATTCAGATGTCTACCCATCTACCTTCCATACCACTCCTGAAAGGAGAAAATTCTCAAAAGATTCATGGGAAAAATTTACCAAAGAGTCCACGCAAAAAGCTGTTAAAGAACTCGTTTCTTCCCCTGATTTCAGCAAATGGGCAGCTGCTAATGCAGAAAGAATCACCGTGAGCCCAAATTCCCCCAGTTCTTCAAGGCGGCAGCGTCGCAAGTGGCTCGGGTTTTGATGCTACAAAACCCACAATGAGCTTCAAAATTTTGATATCCCAAAACACGAGAGTTGTGCCAATTTTTTTGTAAATTGACAAAGGTAAATTTGTATGCATGGGGTGTAACCAGACCTGGCAAAGGTAGATTAGTTAGACTGTAAAATTTATTTTCCTTACAGAAATGCATTGCATTGCAGGCTTGTCTTTTCCGGTTTTGAAGTAAATTTTCTGTAATTGTGATGAGGTGGTGAACTTAAAACACTTACTTTAACGTGAAAAAAACGTGAAATAACCATCATCTGAAGTCACTGTAGCAAACGGACTCTTTTTCTGTTGCAGCTAATTACTGAGGCAGTGTGTGCCCCCACCCATCTAGAATTCTTTGGCAGGTAGCTAACTTGTCTGTTATGCAGTGGTTGACGGAAATAGAGATTAGTACTTTCATAAAGTACTGATTCGTAAGGTTGAAAGCTAAATTTTAGCTCTCGCATTCTGCAATCGGTGACAAATCTAGATTTCACCATGTCACTGTAATTATTTTTGAGAATATCCTAAACTTCGGCGTTGACGTAAATACGGTAAAAGTAATTTCAAATTAGAGAATCTTACGATACGGACATAGCCTCCCATGTTAAAAAAATCAAAAGGAGATAACGTACCAATGATGTCATTTATGTATGAAAACAAGTATTGGATGGGCAGTTGGTTCAACCCCAAGTATACGAAACAAGTTTTTTTGATGGTGTATATTCCATGACACGACCATAGGAAACTTTGAGGACTTTTTACATTCTAGTCCTCTAAGTTTGTAAATAAGTTAACACTTATTTGCTATATCTATATATATCATCATCATTCATCCCCTGTTGAAAATAAGAATCTTATTTTTTATAAATATTCATTAACTAAAATTAAATATTCTTCTAATATAAATTGATTAAGCACTTCCTTCTAATTTGATTTTTTCCAAATAAATAATTAATTGTATGTATTATTTATCGGAATAAAAACTATTCCAAAATATATTTAAATTCAATTATATATATATATTAAATAATTTTTTTTACAATGAGTGTTAATTAATTTTTATTTTATATTTTTATTTTTAAATTATTTAAAATATTAAAACATTGATATAGTACTTAACTAGAGGGAAAAGCCGCTGCCGTGGCTGGCTATGGTATTGGCAGTGCCGGTTCTTTGGATGCTGTAACAGCGTGGAAAGGTTCTAGATAGAGAAAGAAAGACAGTAGTAGTAGAAAACTTGTATATTTGCGCGGTATTGTAGCATAGACTTAGACTAGACAAGAGTGGCAAAGATTCTTCGTTGCCCATTTGCCATAGTGGATGACATCTTTTGTCTTCTCTTCTCTTCTCTTTCTTTCAATAAAGCAAAAACACCGCGTTTGCCCCTCCAGAGAGAACTTGTCGGTATACTTTTCTTCTTTCAAAGGGAAAGCAGGAAAAGAAACTTCCTCTAAGCTTCCCACTTTCCAAACCGCCTTTGCATACCTTTCTTTTATAAAACCCTTTCCTTAGATCACAGTTTCTGTTTTCTATCGAAGCTAAACCAAACCAACTTCTTTGTCGAAGAAAAAAGAAGGGGAAAATATGAGTTACTACAATCAGCAGCAGCCACCAGTCGGTGTTCCTCCTCCACAAGGTATGTACGTATGGCTTTTCTTGGCTTAATTAAGGAGTTATGGAGATGGGCTTTTTATGAAAAATTTAATTTTGTAGGATATCCGAAGGATGCATATCCACCACCGGGATACCCTGCTCAGGGATATCCATATCCTCCACAAGGTTACCCTCCTCAAGGGTATGCTCCCCAGTATGCTGCTGCTCCTCCTCCTAGGCAAGAAACTGGTTTCCTTGAAGGATGGTATGTATATATCTCTCTTTCTTTCTTCTCATTGAAAGAATTTGGTGACTTAATTTTTTGTTTGTTGGCTAGCTGATTTATTTTCTATTTTTGGAACAAAAGATTATTGCATAATTTCTGAAAATTTTCTTGTTTTCAATTTGTTGTCTGTGCAGCTTAGCAGCGCTCTGTTGTTGTTGCCTTTTGGATGCTTGCTTCTGATCAGGATCGGGAGTGTGTTGTGATCATTTGTTCATTAGTTCTTCTGGTTTAGGTCATAACATTGTCTATTAGTGATAGTTAATTTCCCTTCCACTTTGAAGCTGGCTATTACTATGACATGTATTTTAATTGTTTCATAGCGTTGTAATCTCTCTTTTGCCATACAAACTTGTTATTATCAATCAGAAGACAGATTTGACGCAGCGTATTGCGGATACAGAGTTTGGTATATTTTTAAAGCATTTTTTTTTTTAACCACTGAAAGGAACTCTTTGATGATTTTAACTCCTTTCAAGAAACTCTCAACAAGTAGTTGAATAATTTACTTGTTTGCTGATTACTTCCAAACCTACAACCTAGTCGTTTCCTCGTAACAGAAAGCAGGGCAGGCCATCAATTCTATGACACCCATCCTGTCATGGGCAATGCCCGTTTTATTAACTAGGAGACAAGCATGTAATCCGGGCGCAGGATCATCCCAAGTAACAAAGTTTACATTTAATTTAGTACCTTCCTTGGCCAAGAAATCACCACAGGCATTCCCCTCCCTGTCCCAGAGCACAAGGGTGAGCTCCCTGTGTGTTAGTTTTGTTGTGAATATTTCAAAAAATTGTCAAAATCTTTTATCCTAGTCGTTGTAATTTACTTGTTGTGAATAGTTTTGTTGTGAGTTAGTCACTAAACAAGTAAGATGAATTGGGTTCGTGCAAAAATGAATCGGGCTAAGTTAAGGCAAAACGGATGGTTTGCCCCCTTGCGTGCAATAACACGGCTTTCATCTATCAGTCTAGATTTTTTATGGTATTCATCCTTATTTTTACGTTTCTCTCACCAAATCAGCCTAAATTAGCCTATAAATACTGCAATTATTGTTAGTGTTAAATACACACAAAAAATCCAGAATGGATTGTTTCTGCTCCTGTTTTTAATTCTAAAATGATTGATTTTATCTCGAGAGATAGTGAAATAATATCTTTAAGAACAGTGATTACACGATTCCAACCATGACTTTTCTTTACCTCCCTTTTTATATTTTTATCCAACAAGTTTCACCATGAAGTTTATGACTCAAAGCCATTTGAATTAGCCCATTGCTAACCTTATTATGTTAGTATTGTAACCAGCATGACATGAAAAGCCTTTTATCCAGTTTCCATAATGGTCTTAATGACACAAACAGCACTAGCAATGCCAGGGTTCCTCAAGGAGCTTTCTCATCACACTTTTGTTGTCAAAGGCTTTGTAAATATCTTTCGCATTTGACCTTGACACGATAAATATTCATGGTGGAAATATTATCACTTAATCCTTCTAACAAATAGGAATGATCGGAAGGTCAATAAAGAAAAGGCTACAACAGACATGATCAAATGGCCTATTATAAGTGAGGATGCCCAACATCCATCATTAAATACGGTAGTTGTTGACATCTTCCAATTAACCTTTAGCAAGTAGGTCAAATTACTAAGTTTTTATTGTTAAGGACCAAATTCAGCACTTCATAAAACAATAAGTATTGGACAAAAAACGAAAAGGCAAATTTGACCTTAAAAATTGCGGCAACATTGGCTTTATAATTTCTGCGGGCGGAGGCTATCAAAACTCTGAAAAGACAAAAATAAAAAATGTAAATTATACATAATTTTTCTAGAAATCACTTATTGAAAGAATATCGATTAATTGATAGATATTTTATGTATTAAATAAATAAATTTTGTTAATAATTTTTATAACTCTGATGGTAGATATTTTTCAGTAAATAAATTATGTAAGATAATTATCTATGATTAACATTATTCGGAAAAGAACGTATAGAAGAGGAAAAGCTACGGTGACAATAACAAAAATTTGACAGCAACCACTGATTATTTATCTTGAATTGTTTTTATTAGAAACATTGTTTTTTTTTAAGGAAAAGTTATTATTATCAAATTAGTATTTTGGGTTTACTATGCTCAATAAATCATGAATATCTCATTTGCCTGATTATAACCAAGCAAAATTAATATTTTGAGTTTACTAACCACAACCTAAAAATATTTTATTATTCCTAAACAAAGAAACCAACCAAAATTTACTAAAATTTTCAACATGCCAAAGGAGGGCTTCCCTGCCGCGCTTGGACTTCTACGAATCTTTAATTGTCCTCTTCCGGGAGAAAGGTGCTTAAAAGAGGAAAGGGATTATTGGCCCATCATTGCACGCGGCTCTCGGATAAATTTTATAATACACAAAAAGTAATTAGTGACATGTATAATAGTTATTTTTTGATCCATTTTGAGAAGAGAGATAGACACACAAAAAGAGAGAGAAAAAAATAAGAGAAAAAATAAAAAAATTTGAGTTGACGTGAAAATCTTCTTATTACTTTTGATATATATGAATGTAATTTATCTTTCTCTTTAAAATGGATCTAAGGACTAACTATTATATATGTAAGTAATTACTCTTTATGTATTATAAAATTTTTACATCCCCCGAGCTGTAGTCTACCCACCCATAAAGCCAAACGAATAAGTAATTCTTCTTTCGTTAGTTTGACATAAAAAATCGTTTCTTTTTTCACTGCATCACCGCACTTCATTTTTCTAATCTTTTCCCTTTTTTTTGCCTCCCTGCACAATCATAAAAAGTGTAGATATGATATACTAGAAAGAGGGTGTATGAATTTGGCTAAAAACCATTGAGTATTGTAAAAAACATGTTATTTAATTAAAAAAAATCATAAATATTTCATTGTATGCTCAAAACTATCTTAAGAACATTTCTTATAGATGAAGTTATATACAAAGAGTCAGCCTATTAATCTTACGACTTATCTGTATCACATTGTGCAAGTTAATCAGATGGTTTGTTTACCCATAGCATGATGAGAAATAAAGAAGTGATTGACAAATTCATTTTCTTTGGAGGACACAAGTTCATTGATAGACAGTATGATATGTAGAGATAGGCCGGAAGAAGTAAAATCATCTCACCTAAAAGTTTAAGTCGATAGGTGAGGTTAAGCCTTTAGGTGAGGTCGTAGAATATAATTTATGTTAATTTCTAACACACCCCTCCAAGTGAAAGCCTTAATATTTGGGTTTAAAATTTACACGATTTATATTGTCTTGTGCTTAATACTTGAGAAATTGGAGATAGTGAGACTTGAATTTATGATTACATAGTCAACCTAGCTCCGATACCATATTAAAAGACCATCTCACTTAAAAGTTTAAGTCGATAAGTGAGGTCCTAGAATATAATTTATACTAATCTCTAACACCTACACAAATCATTAGTGCATATGCGGAATGCAAAATCATAAAAGACAAACAAATAATAAAATAGAAGAAAATATGGTATTATTATAATAAATTGAATTAGCTATTGTTGTAAAGATAAAAAGTTATTCTAATCTCCTCTTGTAATAAAATTTTTTGTAAGTTTAAATATTTTTAAAAAAGAATTTAAATCTGTAATTTTTTTACTAAGTGTAAAAATCTCACTACTCGTAGATTAAAAGTCTACTGGTTTGGAAGCTTAATTCAAGTGAAGAATGAATTAATTCTTGTATTATATTTGAATTCGAATTTAATAACAAGTCATGAAATTAAATATTTTTCATAAATTAAGGTTTATTATTTTTAAATGTGGATATTCCCGTGTCCATTAAAGCGAATCGTGACAAAGGTGGGGCCAATTTGCATTATGTTGCACGTTTGCTTCTTGTTATTTCTCTGCAACGAAATGTACATCTTCTATTATTATGTTGGACATTATGTTTCACATGTTGTCATAGGTAAAATATCTTTCGAACCTTTTTTTTTTTTTTTTCTTTTGCGCGCGCGGGCCTAAATTTATAGCATTTTATCGGAAGGTTGCATGTGAAGCGAAAAGAAAGTGTTTATGATTAACTGGATCAATACTTCGAATTTTATTTTTACAAAACTTATTTTTTTATCTGATTCAGAAAATAATAAATTTAGTCTCCATTAAAATAAAAATTAACTCAAAGATATCACAATATTTATAAATATCAAAATTATATTCTTATGTTTTATCTAAAATGCTTAAATCTTGTGATAAATAATCTATCTTTCAACTTATATATTACTCATTTATTATTTATTTATTTAATATGAGTTATATTTTTTAACATTTTTTCTCATCCATAGTCTATCTTTTAAAGTATGTGAAATGATTTGGACTTGAGACTTTAATATTATATATAATTAGATAATTGTGATTGAATTTTATCTCAAAAACTTAAATCTTATGATAATAATATATTTTTAATGTTATATATTACTCATTTATTATTTATTTGTTTGATATGAATTATGTTTTCCAATTTTTTATAGTATCAATAGTTAAAGAGATGTGTTACATCCTTTAACTTATTGGATTCGAACCTTTTTTTTAAAAAATGCACTAGGCTGATATACGAAGAGTGCATCTATAATATTATCTAGAGAGAAAATTTAGTCTCGAGTAATAGACGAACTGATCAAAAAATATCTTTGATTATCGTCGAAAAAAAGAAAAAGAAAATTGTAACTTAGAACTTGGAATCTTATTCATTCGGGCGATCTTTACAATAGCTACAAAATAACAACACAATTAATTTTTGCAATCTATTATGTTGAAATAAAATCAATCGGAATACACTAAGATTCGTTAAAAATACTCCAAATATTAAAATAACACAATTACTGATACACTTTAAAAGAAAAAAAAAGGAAATTTTTTATTGGACGAAGCATAAAAGGAAATTATTGGACGAAGCATAAAAGGAAATTCCAACACAATTAGATATATATCTATTATTTAAAAGGAAATTTCCAAAGCATAAAAGAGGGAAAAAAATACATTTTCATTTTTCACGTTTAAATGATTAGGACGAAGTAAAAGGAATTATAGGATTATTCTCTAGTTGAAAATGTATAATAGTAAAAAGCTTTAATTTGGTTAAAAAAGTAGTAATAAAGTTTAACGCAACTAAAAGACCGAGCACTCCTCAAGAATGTGGTGGTTTGTTCTGTATTTTTTTAATCCAGTTTTCTATTTTTGTATCCAAAAAATAAATAAATAAAAAAGAAACCGCAAATAATAATAAACTATTTAATTTAGTGACTTAACTATTGCCATTTTTAAGTTGATTATCAGCAAGCAAATCAAAGATAAAGAATGGTGTATCCTTTCAACTTTCAAGTCGCTTGATGTGGTGCCACTTTCTATTTCTTTAGAAGTCTCTGTCTTGTTAAGGCATGCTGTAGTAAATTATAAATTAATCTCTCTATTAAAAAAAAAATTAATTAATCTCCTCATTTAAAAAAATTAATTATTTATTTTTTTGAATATATTTAATTTAATATTATTTTATCAAAATTTACTTATATTTGAATTTTATACTTTCCAAATTTTTTAATTGAAAACTTTCTACTATTTTTTGACTTAACTGAAATTCTCTATTTTTTGAAATTTTTTACTTCAAATTTTTTATTATAACACAACCAATCGATGATCAACATATTATTTCTATTTTTCAAGATTTCTTTTTTTATAATGTCGTATACCGATCGCTGATTGATGATGTTACAACATAATATATAAAATAAAAAATCTCGAAGAGTAGATGGTTTTAATCAAACTGAAAAAAATAAAAAAATAAAAGTTCTTAATAATTTTTTTTTAAGAGTATATGTTGTAAATATGAAAAAAAAACACTTACTTTATTTCATAAAATGTCATATTTTTTCATCAATTTTTTATTTTTTAAAATAAAAAATCAACATAAATAATAAAAATGATTAAATTATAAAAAAATTTAAAACTATAATAACTAATAATTAGTTTTTAAAACAAAAGGATTAATTAATTTATAGTTTAGTGAGGGATATTGAAATAATAATTAAGAACATGAAAATCAAGAAACAAATAATACGACTGAAGGTCATGTCGTGAACTCTGAGAAAGAAGGGCCAGGTTTGAAAGACAAGTGTGCAGTTCGCTTCAGATTCCCCAACTCATGTCTTACTTTTGTCCAATTCCCATATTTTCTACACCTCTCTTTTCTAACAGCACCGTTTAGCTGCGTTTCCTTGCTGATATAATAATTCATCCATGGCATCTGTGGGTCTCTCAATGGAAGCCATGGCCACCTTCAAATCAAGCCTGCCATGGTTTTTTCTGCAAAATCATGGGGAAGCTAGCTCTCCATGTCACCATTCTAGTCACCATTATCAAGGAAATATGTTCTGCCATGGCTTGAAGCTAAAGAGAAACTTTGGAATCAGGAAAGGGTTGGGGTCCCGAGGCTGCAAATGCAATATTCATGGCTATAATATTTCAGAAGATGAGAAGATATTTGTGGGGATTCTCAGAGAAGCTCAGCCTTACATTCTTTTGCATAGAGGCAGTACATTTGTTGTGATATTATCTGAGGAAGTAATGGATGCTCCATTTTTGGACTCCATTCTCAAGGTATTTATCTCTTTTATTACTTGCTAGTAATCTGCATTAGCTTAATTAATTTCTAGCTAAAATCAACAGCTTTTAATCAGCTTATGAAGATGGAACAATGTTATTTTTTTGATTGGTTGAAAATCAGTTTTTTCATGCATAAATCAAACACCAAATCAAGAAGCTAGCAATTGTAGCTTAGTTATATGCAAATTCATACCATAAAATAATATACATTATTGAGGATGAGTTTTGAGTTTCGAAGTATTGTGTAAATGGAAAAAAATGTAAATAAACAATAAAATGGGTCATTTGAGAAATAAAGGTAAAAAAAAAAAAATAGTATGGGGCCATCAAAATGGACATTAATAATTTTTAAATAGGCGGAAATCCAAACAATTTTGGGTCTAACCTTACGCTCGATTGATAAATAAATAAATAAATAACTTCTGTTTAGGAGTGGGATAATTACACATATGGTCCATCTATTATGAAAGTTTGATTAATTAGGCTCTTTTTATACTAATTTAATTAATAAGGTTCTTCTACAATTCATTATCTTACAATTAGGATCCTCATTCCATAACAATGTTAACACTAATTTGCTTTATGCTCGTGTTCGCCATGTGATACGTGTCCTTTTAAGACGGTTAAAACACCTAAAAAAACCTCTTTTTTTTGTAATTTATTTATTTAATGCCTACAAAAATAAGAAAAAAATATTTTTTTCAAGCATCCTTTCATTTTGAATGCACATATTTCATGCGATCATGACAACGAATATATTAACGCTGTCATGCATTAAGCGTCCCGATTATTAATGGGATTAATGATTAACGTAGAGGGACCTAATGGATCAAATTAGTAAGAAAAGGACCTATTAAATAAAATTGCATAGTAGAGGGACCATAGTTGCTACTGACCGGTTCAGTGGTAGACCAGTAAGTAAGCGTAGAAGAGATTTGGGTCAAGCAAAGGAAGCAGCGGTGGCGGGCAGTGGCATATCATAATAATAACAATAAGAATTCTGCTTTTCCTTCTCCTTGTCGTCACCTTGCTGTGGTTCAAACTTCAGCCTGCCATGGCGGCCTCTCCCTCTTGAACTCGCCAATTTTAAGCTTCCATCTTCAAACATTAACGAAGGAAATCGAAGATGGCCAGTACTTATTCAAGTCACTGTATTTCTCTTCAAAACCACCACTTACAATTATTATCTACAAAGCCTCTCCAGGGTTCAAAAAAAAATCTCCAATTTCTTCAACCCCAGAAGAAAACTGTACAATTTTCTTCTTTTGTAAATAATAATGATAATGGGGGAGGCAGGAGCAAGTTAATAGGTCGGCGAAAGGTGTTGGGGGAGACAGAGAGTGGGAGTATTGAAGACGGTTATAATTCGGTGGAAGACAAGCAATTCGTCAAGTGGTTTCGCGAGGCATGGCCTTACTTGTGGGCTTATAGGGGTAGTACTTTTGTTGTTATTATTTCTGGTGAAACTGTTTCTAGTCCTTTTTTGGATTCCATTTTGAAGGCAAGTATTTTAAATATATTTATGGAGTTTTTTTTTTAAGTGTTTTTCAAAGAAAATGATGATTTGAGGTTGCTTTTATTTATTATTATTATTATTGCTTATAGTTAATTAGTAATTAAAAAAATAATAATTGTAGGATATAGCATTTTTACATCACCTGGGGATCAAGTTTGTGCTAGTCCCAGGAACTCATGTCCAAATTGACAACCTTTTGGCTGAGAGAGGTAACTTGTTACTTTCTATATTTTTTCGCAGTTTGTGTCTCTTCATTCCTTAGAATTTTGCTTAGGTAGCAGTTTGTTAATGGATGCTTTTTTTTTTAAAAAAAAAAAAAATTGCAGGGCATGAGCCTAAGCATGTTGGTCAATACAGAATTACTGACTCTGAAGCTTTGGCGGCTTCAATGGAGGCTGCGGGGAAGATTCGTTTGATGATAGAGGCCAAACTTTCTCCTGGACCTTCCATATGCAATATTCGTCGACATGGTGACAGTAGTCGTTGGCATGATGTTGGTGTCAGTGTTGCTAGTGGTAATTTTCTTGCAGCCAAGGTACTGTTTGAGTTATCTATAGAAGATGGCCAGTATCTCCTAAAATGTTTTTGTAGTCAAAATTGGTGCGATTGTCTGTTATGTTAATGTTTTTTTGCAGAGACGAGGAGTTGTTGAAGGGGTTGATTTTGGAGCAACCGGTGAAGTAAAGAAAGTGGACGTTGCTCGTATGCGTGAAAGGCTTGATGGTGGTTGTATAGTTGTGTTAAGCAACTTGGGTTATTCCAGCTCTGGAGAAGTCTTGAATTGCAAGTATGCTGGAAAATCTCTGTCTCTGTCTTATCATATGAATGGACTAGCGATTGAATGAAAATATGCACCGAATTATCTGATGTACACTCTGACTCTTTTTCTTTAAAGAAATCTAACTCCTCTTCAGTCTACTGATACAAGAAATAAAATGGAAAGCTTACAAATGAGGATTCCTTTTTCTCCATGTGTATTATAGTGGTTTTAGTTGGACGTATGGATATATGGCTATTAAACATATAACAGGGATTTCTTTTGTTTCCTTTTGGCTACAACTATTGTCTTTGCTGAAGGTCTGGTTTATGATGTTTTATGGTTGAATAAATCCAGCACATACGAAGTTGCTACAGCTTGTGCCTTGGCTATTGGGGCAGATAAGCTTATCTGCATCATAGATGGTCCAATTTTGGATGAGAGTGGACATCTTATTCGTTTTTTGACTCTTGAAGAAGCAGACTTGTTGATTCGTAAGCGGGCTCAGCAAAGTGAGATAGCTGCTCATTATGTCAAAGCTGTTGGTGATGAAGATCTCACTTTTCTTGAACACAATGATTCTATTGGAATTGTTGCACCCTCGCACAATGGGAAGGCTCATAGTGGAAGGCACAATGCAACCTTTAACAATGGTGTTGGGTTTGACAATGGAAATGGACTATGGTCTAGGGAACAAGGTTTTGCTATTGGAGGTGAAGAGCGACAAAGCCGATTAAACGGTTATCTTTCAGAATTGGCAGCTGCTGCTTTTGTTTGCAAAGTAAGTTCATGATTACTTTGTTTTAAATCAATGGTTCCCATCCTTATTTCTTTTTCGACCACATTTGAATTCTTTATTTGATGAGAAATTTAAATTGATCCAAAAATGCAAGCTCCTTGCAACCCTAATTTATGGGACAGCCTTCTCTCCCTGCAAGCTCCCTTTTCTCTCTAAATTGCATTTGAGCTGATTTATGCACAGACATGTAGATGTTGCCCACAGTTTGGTTAGGTAGCATGTTGCTGTCTTAGAAAAGGGTGGATCTCGTGTGATCCTTTTGTGTGGCATGTATAAATGGACTGAAGAAATACAATATATGTGGGTAAAAATTTCACCCTAGTAACAACATCTAAAATAACTAAGAAAAAGAGATTACAACATCTGTATTGTATTATATGATTTAGAGAATTCTTGAAGTATTCCTCCTTTTCAAGAAAAAAACCTATATTCTTAAACCTCATTTTGCCATGTAATGCGGAGCTAGATGGTGATTTTGAATCAGATTCTATAGAGACAATTGGGAATCCCTTGCAAGTTTAATTTCCATTTAGATCTGCGATCTCAATATGCATTAGGCACTGTATATGAACGTTAAATTACATCACACATTTAATTCGAAATGCAGCTTTTCTGTCAAAGTACATACAACATAGTTGTCATTACTGATTTTGTATTATCAGATATGGAAAATTCTTGAAATATTCCTCCTTTTCAAGAAAAAAACATATTCTTTTCCTTTCTTTCTTTGTTCTCATTCAGCATGGAAATCTTAAACTTCATTTAGCTACATAATGCAGAGCCAGATGGTGATTTTGAATCAGATTCTATAGAGACAATTGGGAGTCCCTTGCAAGTTTAATTTCCCTTTACATCTGTGATCTCAATATGCATTAGGCCGTGTATATGAACGTTAAATTACATCACACATTTAATTCAAAATGCAGCTCTTCTGTCATAGTGCATACAACATAGTTCAGCCATTATATTGTCATTACTGCTGATAATGGTGTTACAGATGCTAAGCAGTTGCAAGAATTCTAGTTACCTTGGTTATGACCTGGTGCCATATCTTGCATGCTTATCACATGTTACCATGTTATAGCACGTGGGAATAATTTAAATCTTCTTCGTACTAGAAGGTTTTTATCAATACCATCATTATGCTTAAGTGCCTCAGCATAATGTTTGAAATTTCTGTTAAGTAATGCTTCTCAGATCCCAAAAAATGGCTTACATAGTATTAGTAATTGGTTACTTCACACTTCGTTACTTATATTGAAAAGCTACACCCTGCCAGTTATGATTTATACTTTATTTGCAGGGTGGTGTTCAAAGAGTACATCTTTTAGATGGTACGATTGGTGGAGTTCTGCTGTTAGAACTGTTTAAAAGAGATGGAATGGGGACAATGGTGGCTAGGTATGTGATTGTTTGTAATGCTTTCTGATGAATTTTATCTTCAACAGTTACATTCAATGTCTGGTGCTGATTTGTTTATTGGTCACACTATTTTACACCAAGAATGCTTGTAACTGATAGATGTATTCTTGATGTATTCAACTGTTTAAAAAAATCTGAGGTTGCATTTTTATACTGTTTCTTTGAAGCATTTTGATGTTGCATCTTTGTAATTAAGAGCTGTTACTAGTATGTCCTATTACCAAAAATGTTACTTTGCTTGCATTGGTGGTTTCTTTGTCGTGCCAAGGTTCATGGACTTCAAGGTTGAGACTTAAGACTATTTATTTTGTTGAAATTGAATAACTAATCAAAAATAGCATTTTACAAATAATCTCTCGTCTTCGAAACCCTTGATTTTACCCCCCAACTTCTTTTTTGAAATGAAATCAGCTGGAGGAGTTGAGTCCGAAGAAAAACACAACAGAAAAAATAAAAAAATAAATTGAGCGAAAGTCAATATTTTGAAGTTAAGGTACCATTTTTTGAAAATTTCTGAAGTTCAAGAAGACCTCCACATGTTAGCATATTTGTATCTTGATAAATTGCAGTGGAATAACCACTAAAGGCATGTAATTGGGATAAGAGAGAATCTCCAACAATGTTCAGTAATCTATTGCCTTCGGTTGTACAATTCCAGGTTTATATTCACCCTTGGGCCTGAAGCCCTTGTGGCTGCCATGATCTTCAATTACTTGTCCTGTATCAAACTGTTTGCTTTTTTCTGAATGAAGACGATGACGTGCAGCTTATCCAATCATCAAAGTTTTGATAAAATGTGTTGCTATCTATCTGATTCTGGAATAATAACTTAATTTATTATATAAATCGTGTATCTAATATAGTGATGTGTTTATTGATGAATTTATAACCGAAGCTAATGGACACAAATGGATTAATTATATAATTTTATCGTATGGGACAAGCTGAACCTGGAACTGTTAGGTTGTCATTCAGAACAAGCAATACATTCATTAACTAGCACAGTTCCACAAAATAATTCTCATGTATTGGGATTCATAACTGGTTTTAGGTTAAGGTTTGGTTGCACTCTAAAATAGGTTCATATAAGCTAATAGATATAAAGTCACAGCATCGGAATGGATTTTCTTTGAAAGTTCTTATTTCAGCATCAAGGAATTTTAAACCAATCTCATGTAGCTGAAATTGTTATGATGACATGCTAATTTGTCCACTAATGCTTAATTGAACTTTCTGTCACCCCATCCATTGACTTGTGCTCTCATTTTTTTCTTCTCTGCTCTTAGTGATCTTTATGAAGGAACCAGGATGGCTAGAGTGACAGATCTTGCAGGAATAAGACAAATTATACAACCTTTAGAAGAATCTGGCACATTGGTTCGAAGGACTGATGAAGAGGTTGGCTCTTGCCCCTTTAAATTTAAGTCCATTACTCTGTCCATGATGATGCAATTATTAATGCAAGGTAGAAAGAGGAAAAATGGGCTGATCTTGCTGTTTGGTGTTATTATGTTTTACTTTGAATAAAAACTAAGCGTTTTTCTCTTGTTTTGTGTCTATAGCTACTTAAAGAATTGGATTCCTTTGTTGTTGTGGAAAGAGAAGGTCAAATCATTGCTTGTGCTGCTCTTTTTCCTTTCTTTGAGGAGAAGTGTGGAGAGGTTGCTGCTATTGCAGTTTCACCTGAATGTCGGGGACAAGGGCAGGGAGATAAATTACTTGGTATGTTATTTCTTGTGCTCAAGGTTTTCAAACTCGTGATCCTGCGTGAGATAAAGGATGGGATCATAGAATCGTACGATCCTGCAGAAAATGGATTCAATCATCTAAATATACTTAGATATGAATAGAATCATACAAATGTATCAATACATATCAAGATACACAGATATAACTCGAAAGATAGGTAATAAATGTAAAAATCTAACTCTAGCATGATGTGTATTTATGCAAGATTTGAATAAGGTCTCTCCTACCAAATACTACAATAATTTCAATTGATAATAAATATAAGCAAGAGGCAAATATGTGTGTTACTCTTTTGATGGATGTCATAACAATTAGCGATCAAGAACATAATTGGGTTTGCTCAAAATAAAAAATACAGTTGCTCAAAATTACCTTCTAGATGTTAAAATAACATGGAACATATCAATTATATAAAAGAAAAAATATAAGATAAAGCTAAATTCACACTAGTTGCAAGCGAAAGCATCTCCTTACATTGGTTTAGCTTCAAAATTTTCCTTAAAAAAGAAAAAAAGGAAATAAAAACCTAGTATGGCTTACTGTTATATTCTTTTGCCGTTTTATCCTTGAGTATTGATGCACTTTTACTCCCATTTTGAGGCTTTCTTTCCTTTTTTGTTGTTTCTTGTTCCTCCAATTCTTCATAAATTATAGTAAATAGTGAGATAGCCAACTACACATGACATTCAAATCAACTCATCATCATAGTTTTCAAAAATTAAGGGATTTTAATCCTGTAAGATGTACAAATGTACTCTGAATCATGATGGAATAGTGTGTGAGCGCTTAAACCTTTGTGCTGCAATGTTTAGACTTTATACATATCTGACATGTGTTTTGCAGCAAATATATGTTAAACACTGAATGTGACGTACTGGTGGTTTGATCTTATTTTGACCTCTATCAAATGCCTGATATCGTCTGGTGGAATACTTGAAAGTCCTGGGCTTAGTTTGTTTTGCTTCAATAATGGGGATTATGACTCAAAACTTTCCCACCCGGACCCCAAAACACAAGCTAAGAGACAAAAGAAAGATAATAAGCAAACCAAAAAAAAAAAAAAAATGGATGGCATTCCTTGAACTGACCTCTTCTTGATGTTGTGTGAAACATGTAAACCTTTTCCTGGGAGTCGTGATATTAGGGCATGGTTTGGATGGGTGGGGAGTCTTTTCATGTAAATCTCTTCTTTTTTATTGTTGTAAACTACTCTAATATCAAATCAAATCCTAATAGGAAAGCCCTAGTGCCCTAAAATAGGGCTATTAGTTATTCTTATTAGATATTAAGAACCATCGTAAGCCTTTGTTTGCTAACATCCATTTTTATTCCCATCAAAAGTGGAGAGTTACTGCCATTTGTTTCTTCATTACTCTGTTGTATGGGATAGATAAAGCAAGCTTATTTTCTATTGGAAGTGAGTTTTTGGGGATCCTTGGTAGGATCTTGGATTTGCTGCTGATATGCTTTGTTGGTTTTAGGAGGAAAGATTGCAGTATATGGCTTTGTGCTGTCTCTGCAGTCATTTAGTGTTTGAATGGACTGAAGTTTTGAAGTTCTTTAGAACCACTTCCCCTTTGAGACAGTTATTAGGTGGTAGCCTAAAGTTCCTTGCATCCTTGTGGTGCACTGCTTCAAGGTTTTTCTGGAATTCTTCCTATATTGATTTGCAGCATGACTGGAATGTTCTTTTATTTTGAGTTGTGGCTGTTGTAATTCCTTGTTAATTTTGAAATGGTCCTACTCCAATCTTTTCATGCACATTCCTTTTCTCATCACACATGCTTCTTTTTTATCAAAAAAAAAAAAAAAAAAAAAAAAAATTGTGATTACCACTTCACTTCTATTTTTACCAAGCTATATGGCCTTTGTCTCTTGTGGTAAATTATTGATTATGGTCAAATATTTGCAGATTTCATTGAGAAGAAGGCCTCTTCTCTTGGATTGGAAACACTCTTCCTGCTTACAACCCGTACTGCAGATTGGTATTTTACGATCCACCCTCTAATATCGCATGAGTGCTAGTTCTTCTTCACCATTTTTGTTCAATAAGATACCAAAGTGGATGATTGACTCATTCCATACTAGAAATAATCGCAGGAAATCTTTTGATAACACGGATTCCTATTTCTCAATGATATCCCACGATCAAGACAATTGGTTCATCCTATGAAACCATTTCATAGAAGTCCATTGATATCTTCTTTTTATAAAGCAAATCGACTTCGATTCTTGAATTGGAGTAGTAACTTTGTGTAGACATTTTGAGACGAGGGTTGATGATCATAGTTCAGATTTTTATACTGGAGCTAGTTGGCTGTTGCCTAGTTAAAGTTCACCCAATTTCATAGCTAAGATATCTTTGGCAATATGCATAATTGTTGGTTTTAATCTATTATTATTTTTTTTTAAAAAAAATCTTTGTTTGAGAACACCAGGATACCTTGTTTGGTATGGAGTAGTGTTTTTGAGGGAATGGAAATGCTTTATGTCTAAGGTTGTCCCCATTTAAGATGCAGTAGTAGTTAGTGGTTACTATTCAATCTACTTTAGGCTTAGGCAAGATTGTCACTTCCAGAGAGAATTAATTCTTGGCATTTTTGTTTTACAGGTTCAACAGACGCGGCTTCTCAGAGTGTTCCATTCAATTGATACCAGAGGAAAGAAGGAAGAAGATCAATCTATCCCGTAATTCGAAGTATTATACAAAGAAGTTGCTACCTGATACTAGTGGAATTAGTGTTAATAGAGCTTTTAGTTAAGGTTGTATAATACAACCTCATAAACTGGTGAAGCAGCTTCCTAGTTTATCTATTCCTATACCATCTTATTGTTTGGCCCATAATTCTTTGTAGTTCTGTGCTTGGTATGCAAACTTTTCTTAGGCAATATGGAAAATCTTCAAATTATACATCAGAATCTGATAGGTCTTTACTTCGTATGTCTACCTAAATGCAAGCTAGATCTTTTTTGTAGTAAATTATAAATTGATCCCTTTAGTTTTGAGAAACCAATTTATTAGTCTCTCTTGTTTAAAAAATTAATGATTTAGTTCTTTTTGTTCATTTTATGTTTTCTAATTTGTTTTTAAAAAATGAAAAAAATAAAAATATAGCTAGATATTATAGAAAAATTGATGAAAATAATATATTTTTAAAATAATGTAATATTAAGTGTAGTCAATCCTAGTTAAGTAAGTAACTAAATAATTAGTTTGTAAAATAAATACTAATTTATTTATTTTTCAAAACTAGAGGAATTAATTTGTAATTTACTCTTTTAAGTTTCAGTCAATTAGTCAAGTAACAAAATAATTAATTTTTAAAATAAGGAGGTTAATTAATTTGTTTTTTAAAACTAGAAGGATTCAAGTTTTGTTTCATAAAATGAGACATCGATCGGTTTAAATGGGGGAGATTGGGCTGACTAATTTTTTTACTCAACAATAAAAGTGTTCTTGAGTCAATTTTCTAATTTAAATAAATCTTTTTGATTCCATTTATACAAGGCATTATTTTAAAGTGGCTGGTGAATTTATTTTGGTTGTCCAATCGGTTTGATTCTATGATTTTTATTTTTTATTAATCTCGTGGATTTCCAACTATTTATCAAAACATCATTTAATTTAATAATTTATCTGGTATACACATTCTTAAAACCCTATGCATATACTTTTCAATAGAGCTGTATTAATAGGAAAATTATAGATTTTCATGTGGTTCTTTTGACAAGTAGACAAACATTTGAGGATTTCTCTGAATGTAGGCGCGGACAAATAAAATGAGATGGGGAAATACCATTAAGATTGGGTAAATCACAAATTAGTCCCTCTAGTTTTAAAAAATTAATTAATTAGTCTTTTATTTCAAAAACAGATTATTTAAACTTTTCATCAGTTTTGATTATGACTAGTTTAATATTAATTTATTTTAAAAAAAATGTCTTTTTTTTTTTTTTAATCCATCTGTCCATGTCTATTTATTTATTTTTAAAACAACAGAAATTAGAAAAAAGCATAAAATGAAGAAAATAATTAATTTTTAAAACAAGAAGGATTCATTTATTCATTTTTCAAAACTAAAAAGACTTGCAACATATTAAGACTGGATGCCTGTATTTGTCTAAAACAGATAAGCCCATTGATATTTTCCTGCGTGAAAGAAGCTTTATCCCCGCTTGCTTTGCAACTGGAAGTGAATAAATGATAAATTAATCCCTTTAGTTTTGAAAAATAAATTAATTAATTTTCTTGTTTTAAAAACTAATTATTTAACTCTTATATTTTTAAATTTTTTCTTATAACTTCATCGTTTTTTTTTTAATTTATTTTAACTTTTGGTTTAAGAAATAGAAAAAAATATGTAGAAAAATTAATAAGAAAAAATAATATTTTTTAAAATGAAATAATATTAAATTATTCATGGTTAACACTGGTTAAGAGACTAAATAATTAATTTTTAAAACATAAGAAACTAATTAATTCATTTCTAAAAAATAAAAGAACTAATTTATAATTTACTCACCTAAAGTTGGGAAACAATATTCTCAAAACATGGATACCAGCACAACAAGAGTCTCGTCATCCTTTAACCTAAATGAAATTTCAACCTTCATAACATAATAAACGTTTTCAGAAGGGTGCAAATAACGGCCTTGTCTAAGCGTTTCCAAGAATCACGTGCTTTGGAAAACATTTGGACTTGGGTTGTGACTACTAGCATAGATGATTACAAACTAGCGTCTGTTAGGAGAAAGAATAGAGATCTTTGCCCTAATCTTTTGATTTTGCACGAAGGTCTCGTTTCCTGTCAATGGTAGTCTGCACTAGGGTGCAAAAGAATGCTTCTTTACAGACATGATTTTATACTTCTGTCTAGCAGAAGAAACTTTAGAGAGGCCAAGCTACTAAAACTTGATGACTCTGAAGAGAGGTTCTGGCTCTGGAAAAGACAAGTAGGAGTTTCCACTTCTACAGTATACTTACTAGCAAGTTAATTATTAACATGAAAGAAGCAAAAAGACACATACAGGTAAGAATGTGTAGCGGAGCAATGAGGGTAGTTTATAATCTCATCCCCTAAACATAACTCAACAAACTATTTCTCCAGTTTCATATTGAAAATGCATACATGTTATCATAAACTATCAAACAATTCAACGAATGTAAACTATTATTCATTGTAATTGTCATTGACCGAAAAAAAAAAAAAAAAAAGAATGCAAAGCAGCACCCTCGACTCATCCCATTTATTACAAGATAAGTGTTTAGCAGGGATATATATGATTTTCTCAGCATAGCTCACTGCCATCGTTAGAAAATGTTCATTCAAGAGAACCGTAAACCATTCTGTGCAACTTCAGGCTTATAAACCAGGAAACAAGACATGAAAAATAAATTTACTTGTCATCAGTTTTGGGATGCCCCTTGAACTTGAAGTTGTCTGCATACGCCTTAATCTGAAAGAAGAAGAAAATTCCAAATGGTAAGATTGGAGGATGTGGGGTTCCCATCAAATGTAAGGCTTGCAGATGGCACTTGACACAAAGTTAAACATCAGCTAATGGTCAAAAGATCCAATTAACGAATGGAATTCCTATAATTCCAGATCAAAAGCTACATCCCCACCTCCTATATTGTTTGACAGCATCAATACGATCTTAGATCACCTGAGGGTAAGACTTGTCCCCATTACCGTGGTTGGTACAAATTTAGCAGTACCTTGAACTTCCTATGGAACTGTATGTTACATAATGATAAATGGAATAGCTACTGCCAATTCCACATAAGCCACCATCTCGCAACCCTACCGTTAAACACCTAACCAATCATATACATTCCCCAGTCCTGCACAAGACAGAACTGTGGTGAGAACTTTCACATCCTACAAGAGTGTCTTAATCCAGAGAGGGACTAGGGCTGGTTGAAACCAGGATGCAATTAAATGTTCCATTTAGATTATTGCATGGTTCAAGAAGCAGAAGGCAAACCTAAGACCATAGCAGATTGAAAACTACACAACCTTAAGATGATAAGTTATTCCTGATCCTAGCCAAGACTATTGTCTTTAACCTCAAAGTAATATCTACCCAGGCAGAACAATCCTAGTTCAACAGTACAAACTTAGAGAGAAATGCCAGAAAAAAAGACAAAGGAAGGACAAGTTCAAACCTTCAATAGCGGTGTGTGGCGCTTTTTAACCTGAAAAATGAGTTCAAGAAAGCACAGAAGATACTAATGTTAGTTTCAAGTGGGAGAGAGTCTAACAGATTATCATCACCAGATTCTTCATCTAATTGTTGCATGAGTTCAAAACGAAGCACAAATACCAAGCTGCCACCATACTACAACTTAAAAACTCTGAACCCCAGAATTGGAAGCACTTTAAAAGTGTAAAGTTTCAAGGGTAAAATGGGCACCAGAAATACATGAATAGCCAGAAACAACAATGGGCACCAGAAATACATGAATAGCCAGAAACAACAACTTTTAAGTGTTGAGAAGATGTATAGCATATTCCCTTCCATCCCAAGGAATGTTGTACCAGAGAAAATCTCAACAACAGGATGAAAATGGATCAATTAGAACTCATATCTGTCCCCCATCTATCTAGTGTATCCTAAATACCCATCAACTTCATTCATGTAGCATTTGAAAAGCAAAAATGACACATTTAAGAAGATGCTTTTCAGTCCTATCGCTGGTTGGTTCATTCAAGCTTTATTGCTACTTTTTTGCAAGGATATAAAAGGATTAACACATACCACATAGTCCCAACCATGTCGCTCAGCAAATGCCATTGCAGCTTCTTCACTGTCAAAATTGAGTGCAGAGTCCCCGACATGGGCATATGGATCCCCTGTGGATGTCCACCCCATCAATGGATTCTCCCACCTACAGAAATAGTAGTCAGAGATAAATAACTTTCAATGATGATGCATTTAAAGCTACAATCACCATTCATGAATTATTTGAGGACCAGATAAACCTATGATCCGTCACTTCATTGAAAACTACACAAGAAAAGGGAATATTTCAGGGAAATATTATGAATTTTTAAGATGTGCTTTTGCATAAAAAATACTCTCTAATTCATGAAGCTTGCAGAAAAAAAGGAACTTCTCTCAAATTACAGAATATGAGTGATAGCATAGCAAGTTAAAAATTGGGCTTCATGTTTCAGAAAATTAAGAATCAGTGTACTCCTTTTAACAGAATTAATTGGAGAAAGCAGATCAATGCAATTTGTCCATTTAGTTTGGAATTCAGGCTTAATCAAGTTGGGTTGGCTTAATCTCATAATTTCAGAAACATTTATTCTTTTCCAACTGAGCAAGGACGTAAGAAAAATTGCCAGCATCTGCAATCATCATTACAAAGAAACGTTTCAGACTATTTAAGCAAAATTAATCCAGGGAAATAAGATTGCAATACACAGATATGCTCAGCCACTAAAATCCATGTCAAAAAGCACATTCTCTTGTGAAAAAGTGTAGACAGAAACAAAAAAATGAAAAAAAAAAAAAAAAAAAACTCTAGAAGGGGAAAACAAGAGACGAGGAACACATACTTTTGTGTTGACATAAAATTGATCTTCCACCTTCCAATTTTTCCAGATCCTTGTTGAGTTGCAGTTCTAGCAGGTGAGTAAATGACAACCTACCATGCATGTCAAAAACCAAAAGTCAAGTGATAATATGAGAGGCGTAAAATGAACAGAAAAAAAAAAAAAAAATCATCATAACACAACTAACTAAAATAATCTAGCTGTGACAGCTTTAATCAAGTTACCAAGTTGTTAATTCTAAATCAATTAAAAACAAAAGAAAACCGGCCAAATAGCAAACTTAATACCAATAAGAACCTCAAATTTCATATAACACACGAGAAATTATTAGGTATACCAGGATTTGTACTCCCCCATCTGACATAAACATGTGAACCACATGAAAAACATGAGTCCCACCTTTATCTGATAGAAAGGAGTACAACTCCCGGTATACTGAAGAATTCCTCATTACAAGCAATTTGCAAGAATCAGAGAAAAATAATAATCCAAACCCCCCAATACTGATAAAATCCATTGATTGCAGCAGCTATCTTTCTTAAAATCACAATCACCCCACAGACTCATTTCCAGATTTCTTAATATACTGTAAAAATGAAAAACGTTGAAAACCCTAATCATCAAATTCCTCCACCCAACCCATACAGCATAAAACTCAACTGGAAAAACAACGTACATAAAACTCAACAGGAAAACAATGTACAGATAGAACAGTGAGAGAGAGAGAAAGAGGGCCGTACTCTCCTGCGAAGGTGGTCCTGGGGGATGCCAGAGACCATGCCGATCTCCCCAGGTTTGTACTCTACCAGTGCATCCGCTGAAGCAGAAAATGGCCTGGATAATGGGCCTATGCTGGTTGCTCGAAGGGCGTAACCATTCTTCCAGATTTTTTGCAGAGAGCTCGACATCTTCAATCAAACCAGAAAGTTAGGTTCCCTGGTGAATCCGTTGTAAAGAAGTGAAACTATGGAATTATTTTTTGTCAAATTGCAAAATAGTCCTTGTAGTTCAAGATAATTGACAAAACGCATCTCATTCTCTTAAGCCGTGCGCGTAATTTTTATTTCGTTCAGATTTAAGAAGAATTAGCTCACCTTATCTAATCTTTAATGGCTTCAAAACTCTAATTGTTGGCAATTTGCCATATAGTTTAATTAATTCTCCGATCTATGATTTTAATATATATTCACTTCTAGAAAGATATGAAGAAATTAGAACTGTAATTATACGTATTTTTAAAAAATTCAAAGGTAACGATATTATGATAATATGATGATAATACTGCAGTTGTGATTGATTAAGAAAAAATTCAAAAAAAAAACTCGAATTTTTTATGCAATCGCTTAGAAATTAAGACGGTTAAATTTAACTAAAATAGTTTTCATTTAATTCATCAAAATGCATTTATGTGAGAAATTTAAATTTTTTATGCAATCTTTCTTTTATGAGGATATTTTCGTCAACTTAAATGAAAATATCTAAAATATATTCATAAAAGATTCAATGACAAATTGAAAACAATTAGACTTATAAAAATAAATAAAAAACTAGAACTAAAATATAAGAAGAAGTTTTCAATTCTCCAATTTCAAGGATATTGTAACCTAAGACAACAATCAATGCTCCTGGATATTGTGGTTTATCAAATTAATTAGGATTCATGCATTTATATATATTTGATAATAAAAATATTTTCGGATGAAACTGTACGTAAGTTAATATTAATTTTTTTTTCTTATATTCCTAAAAAATACATCTTTTATATCAACATAATACATTCAAAAAAATTTAATAAAAATATTTTACATGCTGATTCTAATATTTAAATTAAAAAAAATCAAGATAAAGAACAAAGTATTTAACCAATATGTTAAAACAAAATTAAATTTCATGTATTTATAGTTGGCTTGTACAATAACTTCGCATTTTTAGGGTTGGTGGCCAATGACGCTACCTAAGGTACCACTCCATAGAATTTGATATTTTATGTTATAATATTTTAATCATTAATTAAATAAATTGACAAATTCTATATTTTTTTTACAATAATTCAATCTAAATTTCTTGGGCCCAAACCTATCTATCTAAATGACGCGAGGTGCTGTAGAAGTAGAGCCAACGGAAATAAATAAATTCAAAGCGTAGGGTTTTTTTTTTTAATTAATAATAAAAGAAAAATTATATTATATAAAATATAAATTTATTTCCCACGTTATATATAATCCACTTTCACGTTCATCATCTTCTTCGTCTTCTTCTTCTTCTGTGCGTTAAAACAAAACCCATAAGAAAAATTTAAAAAGGAGTTCAAAAAAATAGAAATGATCACTTCCTGAAATTTTCACTCTCTCTCGCACATTCTCTGCCCCTGCTCTTCCTTGCTTCCTTTCACTAGGTAAAACAAATAAATTTACTCATTCTCCTATTTATTTATTTAAATATTATTCTAAAAAAAATGATGATCAGATTGTTCGTCTGGATTTAATTTCTCATTCGCGAGCTGATTTGTTGGATTTTTTCCTGTGATCTGTGCTTATTTTTATTGGATTTTAATTATTTCAAGTTTAGCTAACTAGCTATGTTCATACCTTTTTTTTAATATATAAATTTGGTTTCTGCTGAATTTCTTTGAAATTTTGAAAGAATTAGTATTATTATTGATCGATCAATGAAAATTGGAGTTGAATTTTGCACTTGACTGCAGCTTATAATTTCCGTTGCTTCGTTTTTCGCAGCATTTGTATGCATTTGTGCATTGCAATTTTTATTTTGTTATAGAAGTTGGTTGAATTTGTTGATGGCGATGTTCGGTAATATTTGGAGTCTCATTATATTTATGCTTGGAAGGGGTCAGAAAGAATATATCAACTGTTGATGGGTGCTCCTAAGCAGAAGTGGACTGCCGAAGAAGAGGCAGCCCTTAAAGCTGGAGTAATTAAGCATGGAACAGGTAAATGGCGTACAATACTTATGGATCCTGAGTTTAGTGCTGTCTTGCGTTTGCGGTCAAATGTTGATCTGAAGGTATGTACCGTCACTCGCATTATGAAGTCCTTTTGCTTGCTTCTTATTTGTTTACTATATAGAATCGGCATACCAGTTGTTCTTGTTAAAGACCTAGGGTTTTTTTTTTTTTTGAAGAAAACGATCAATGAATTTTAATTCTGGGCAGGATAAATGGAGAAATATAAATGTGACTGCAATATGGGGTTCAAGGCAGAAGGCGAAGCTTGCACTTAAAAGGAGTCCACTTACCCCTAAACACGAGGAGAATGCCAAGGCTCTCAGCACTGTGGTTCAGACCGATGAAGAAGTTGTTGATGCTAAGCCTCTTGCAATTGCTAGTGGGACACCACGGAATGGTGGTCCAAAAGACCTGCTTGCAAGGTTAAATACTTCTAATCAAATGATATTTGCACTTCCTGTTTTGCTGAGCTTGGATGTATCTTTTGATAATGGTATGCAAATGGAGTTGGAACATGGAACAATGAGGAATTAACCAGTTTTTCTCCAATCAAAAAGTCAAGGATTAGCTACAGGGTTAACATTGTCATATATAAACAGGAAAGTTCATAACATTCAAGTACATCAATGACCATGAACCCAGCTGATGAGGTCCTGATTCAGTGATGGTTATGGTGCTATAAAGAAATTTGATAGAATCGAACAATCTGATACCATTATTTTTGTTCTCAAAAAGAAATTTGAAAAACAGTTTACATGTTATAATTTTATGTTGTGTATCCATTCCCACAAGTCTGACCACATCATAATGGCAGATCTTACATGAGAAAAAAAACATCCAGTCATCATGCATACAAGCTCAACTGTATTGTCTGGCGGCTCCAACTGAAAGACCGTCAAGTTAATTAGCCAGCTCTCAGCCTGCGAAGGCAAGAAGGGTTGGTTAAGAGGCTGACAATCCATATTCAATTTTTTTAAAAAAACCTACCAGTAAGGGGCCCAATATTGAATCAAAATATGTTCGTAGATGGAGGTAAATGGCATATTAGAAGTCAATTAAAATAGTTTGAATGAGAGACTGTTTCCTTGCTGTGTATTCACGTTTATTGTTTTGGGATCTTCAAGTTCAATTCTGCTCTTTTCTCACCGTGGCACTACAATGTGAGTGCTGACTCTAAGGAATCGCAGCCTTCCCTATGAGTCTCTTTGAACACAGTCCATCATGGCTCTATCTGAGTTTCTTATGCTCACTGATTTGTTGTGTACGTGTCCTTCTCAATGCCATTTTCAATTTATATGCATTTTGGTCCATGTTACTTTCTGTAGAGTTTTAGACATTCTGCTTTGGTATATGAAACAGTTTTGCGTGAAAAAAATTTATCTTCTGCTTGTGTTTGTCACTTTTTCCTTTCTGGTTGTTTTCTACCCCCTTGAACAGTATAATGCCTCCCTTGGTTACTAGTTAACTTGTCCTTGTGCCATTTAAGTTGATGATTGTCGTCTACAGATTCCATACTTTGAATTTTCAAATCGTTTCAATTTCTAATGTGGGGAAATCATATGTGCGCATAAATCTAATTGAGGAGTGTAAATGGTGAAATAGCATGCACTTTCTTATAAAGATTTAGTTGCTCAAGGCTATAAAATCTCTGTATCGGATACCAAGCTGTTCTGTGTTTTTTTGTGCAATTAATAACTAACTCTGTTGTGACCTACTTTCCTGGCTGTAGGTTGGATAATCTAATATTAGAGGCTATTTCCACTTTGAAGGAGCCAAGTGGTTCTGACAGGGCTTCAATTGCTTTGTACATACAGGTACATAGCCTCACATGTCTCTCAATTATAACATGGGGCAATTGTTGAGTTTGCAGAACGAAAAAAAGTCAAACTGCCGGACATTGTTAAACATTGTTAGTGTTTGTCTCCAGAATTCTTTTTTTTTTTTTTTTTGTTATGAATTCAACCATCAATAACTATGTCCAGCTAAGCATATCAATTGTTGTATGTCCTACACATGCCCACACACATATAAATAGATTGCTCTTTCGTGATCAAACTGATTTTTATATTAATGTCTTTTAACTTGTAGGAGAAGTACTGGGCGCCCATGAACCTTAGAAAGCTATTGGGAGGAAAACTAAAGCATTTGACTGCAAATGGAAAGTTGATTAAGGTAGTAATCACTCTGCAGTGGTACTTGAGCATGCATGGAAACTCATTAGATCTTGAAGTGATTTGAATTAAGGTCCTCTCTCTGCAGAGTCAAATTGATTCCTTATGCTTTGTGTTCAAGGACATATTAAAAGAATATGATGCAGGACAGTGAAATTTGGTGATGATGCCTGTGCGAAAGATGGTTGTTACAGATTATGGACATTGACTATTAAGTATTATGTTTAAAGAGAAATGGCATGAACTGTAATGTGAAAAGAATTTAGAAATAATTTACGATGGGCAGATGTGTGTTTGAGGCTTTGAGCTGATAATGCTAGCGAATATTTAAAAGAACATTTCATATTATTATCATCTTCTTCTTTCCATCTTTTTTTTTTTTTTTTTACAGATTAAGCACAAGTACAGGATTGCACCTATTTCAACACCTTCCGAAGGAAGAAGAAACCATCCTCTTGCAGAGGGAAAGCGGAAGGATCCATTAAAATTGGAGAAGAGTAAGAACAGAATCCTTACTAAAGCCCAGGTTGATCAAGACCTATCAAAGATCAGGGGCATGACTGCCTTGGAGGCTGCTGCAGCTGCTGCAAAGGCAGTTGCAGAGGCAGAAACTGCAATTGCTGAGGCTGAAGCAGCGGCAAAGGAGGCTGAGAAGGCAGAGGTTGAGGCAGAAGCAGCACAAGTTTTTGCTAAAGCAGCAATTAAGGCATTTAAGTACCGGGCATGTCATACCTGGTAAACTCATCTCTCTGCTGTCATGCTACCGTGATAAAATCTCATCCACTAGCTGAGGTGCACTGTGCACTGGACAATTTTATTTCCCTTACAATTCTCTATCGGTTAAACCCAATTTTTTTTATATCATGCTTGAGAGTGAAATCATGTGAAGCTTAGTTTTAAGAAGAATAAGATATGCTTGTTTTCCTTTGCCAGCATTATTATAATCTTCCTTTCTTCGTTGGTTTTCTTTCCTTGCCTTTTTTTACCCCTTCGTTTTCTGGTTGGGAAGCTGGAAAGAGCTTAATAATTTTAGTCTTACTCTAATCATTTTAGTGTCTGTTTAAAACTTGTGCAGATGACATGTTTTGCAAATGGATGTCTACATTGTTGGGCACGAAACATTCGTTGGACTTGACATCATGTTGATGCAGCTGTATCAACTGCCATTTTGTCCATATAACTGTAAATGTGGTTAGCTTGTAAATCGGAAAACACAATAGTATTCCGTGAAATTATGTTGCCCTTTTAGAGGGATCATTTCATCAGGAGAGTAGATTTTTGACATCAAATTTTACAATGTGGTAAAATAGTAGAAACTGGTGAAAGAATCAAGAATAGGAAGCTGGAGATGAAACATCTACATGTCCTTTTGATGGTTAATCAATCCAATGAAAGAGTGAATGTAAGTTGTTGTGCTTGAATTTTTAATGTCTCCATATGTACCAGTTACCTCGTATGTATACAGACTGCAGAGTGGAGGGGGAAAAAAATAGGAAGCTCAGTTTTTGAATGCTGGGTTTTTGCTCATGTGGTCATGTCATAATTGGTGAGTGTCCTTGCCCATAACGTGCTATTGGAACGACAACAACTCGAAGAAATGAGGATCATGGCTAATATGATAATAGCTCAATCTGTCTATCTCTAATATTTTTTTATTTTTCTAATTACACCTTTTATGTTTTTTTTTTAATAATATTTAAGTTGTCGAACTGTCCTTTTGATTAATTTTTCGACCATGAATAATTTTTTTTACTGAAATGTTTTTTTTATTGAAATGAAAAAAATAAATAAAAACTCTAAACACTTCAAAAATAAAACGCAGAAGTTATGTAATTTTAATTTTTTTTTTGTATTTCATTTCGGAGCATTTTGGTAAAAAATTGTTGAAAAATGTGACTAGAAAAACAAATTAAAGACCTAAAAATTATTTAGAGATAATTAGTGAAACGAGTAAAAACAAAGTCTTGTGGTAAGTTCTAATTGAAGTGCAAGAGAGATGTGTTTAGGCTCTAAATTATTGACAATAATCGTAGAAAACCCATTATGTCTATAATATTTAGAGATCGTCCTCAATATAGGGTTGATTTATCTACATCGAAGTATCGTTTAGGCCTAAACACAGGCCTTCTTCACTAAAGATGTCTTCTTCACTAAAGATGTCCGACATGGGTTATAATATAGCTATCTTACAATAGGGAATAATATTTCCCTCTCCACATATGGAGAAGATGTTCAATGATCCTAAAAAAGATCATTATAGGAAATTGTTTCTATCTCAAATTAGTTCTAAAAAGCGGAATTATTACTTGAAGAAGTATATATAACATGCTTCCATGACCCGAATAAGGTTAAACTTCTTCAAGTGGCTAAGATAGTCTTTTGAGTATAATAACAAACCATATCCAGATTTTAAAGACATTAATTTTCTAGCAATTCTAGAAGCTATTTACCAAAGCTACCAAACTCGAGCGACTCCCCATAAAACTAAGGTAAAAGATGATTTTACCAACCAAATCATCCAATAGAATAACTACACCAACTTTACCTTTAGTCATTGGCAAGCGAGATAACTAGAATAGAGCGATCTATTCAAGCAACCTAAAAAGGTTGCTCTCGAGAAAAGAGAGTCACTCTGTTATGTTAAAACCAATTCATCCTTTCAAAAAAGATTATTACAAACCGTCATCTAAAGACGATAACTTTATAATTGAATTGGTAGGACGTCTTGAGAAGCTGAAAGTTTCGGAAGACAAATCTAAGAACTCAATTCATGTCTTAGAAGAAGTGGAGCAAATGTTCTTATCGAACAAAGGCTAATTCTAAGCCTTAGTCGGTTAATAAACCGACACAAAGAGGAGTAGTTCTAGCCTCGAAGACGAATTACTACTACTTTAAGCTTTCTCCCATGGATCTTCAATTAGAAGAAATAGGAAATTACAATCCCATTTCCTACCAAAGAGACTCCATCCAGGAGTGGAACATTGTTGGCATGTCAAAATACCAAATCAAAGCCACTTTAAAATAAATATTTATGTTCTCTATAGCTATGACTCTTAAAGGTAATGGAAACAGGGAAATGGCTACCGTAATTGCTAATGGTTTCACAGGATAGCTCGTAAGGATTATGAGATTTCTACCTATCGACTAGGCTAAACAAAAAATACTCTCAACAAGTAAAAGACATTGATGTCACTAATGCTAATAGAGCATTAAAAAAAAAAAAGATGAAGCCGGACACAATCAACACTTTAATCTATACGAATACGACCCATTTTATTGGCACAAATACCTTTCAAATCGACGGATCTCGGGAACAACCGATGAATCTTAGATGTTCAACCTTGTCACACCTCCTTTATTACAATGATGTGTTCTTTACTAGAGTCATCATAAGGCTAGACCCTAAAGCCGATTACTTGGAAGAAGTTCATCTTTAGACTTCCCTCTCTATATGTAAAAAGAGTTCGTAATAGGATTAAGAATGCCTATGGTGGAGTCATTTCTTACTCCAACCTAACTTATGAAAAACTAGCTGTAAAAGTTGTTAACAAAGGTATTAATCTATACAACGACATCAAGCTAAAAACTTAGCTTGATAAATAGAAAAAGATCAACAAAAGGATGTTAGTTAACTTCTCCGAACAAATTGGCTACTCTCATCCATAAATTTCTAATGAGAAATCTATCAAGAAAAAGGTTTCTTATAAAAAACATTATTTCAAATGAAAATCTTCCAATAAGAAAAAAATAAGCTATAAAAAGTCCCCAAGAACTTCTAACTCTTAATCCGAGTCGAGAAGGTTCCAGTTTTCTACAAGTATGGCCAACCAAGACACTATAAGAACAACTTTCCAATTAAGAAAAGAATTAACCAACTGGACATATATGAAGGACTTAAACAAAGTTTTCATCGAATTCATCTTGAAGAATCGGATGGCAAAAACTTAGTCCTCAACGTCATAGAGGATTCATCAAAAGAGGATGATTCATTCTCATCCTCCAATAAAGAAGGAGAAACTTTTTAGCATCTAATAAGGATTGTAAAGAAGGATGTGATCGTAACAATTTTCTCATTAAAGATCTCTTTAGATTAAGTATAAACGTATAAACAAAAAAAAAGTCACTCATTTTGGATCCGATTGACAAAATCAAGAATCTTAATAAAAAGAGAATTTCTCTTGAAAAATACATTCACCTCAATTAGACTACCACAAAACCCTCTCCAAAGCTTTGTCCGTAAAAACATTAGATAAATTATTCTACCTTTCTATAAGAAATCTTGTATAGAGCCAAACATTCCACCTCTAAAGAAACAACTTTAGCCGAACTAAAGCGAGAAATCGATGGAGTAAAAAAGGAAATAAGAAAACTAAAAACTAGAGTTTCTAATTTAAAAATTGCTTCAAAAGTCAACCTAGTAGCATGACATGATTCGATTCGGATGAAAAACTAGGATCCTTATCCTTAAATAAGGAGATAAGAGATGAAGCAATATAAGCATAGACTAATTCGATCAATGTTGTCTTTAATCCGAGAGATAAAACATTTGATGTGGGTTAATAAGTTAGATAGATTAATAACTCAAAATGATATACGCCGGTAACCATCATTGTCAATAAGGAGTATAGACTCAAGACTAAAGCCTTAGTTGATTACGGTGTTGACTTAAATTGTATATCAAAAAAATTAATTTCATTTAAATATTTTTTCAAAACCACTCGGGTTTTGAAGATCGTTAATAAGCAATCATAAATCATTGATTACAAGCTCTCGAATGTCGTTATCTACAACAATGGATTTTGCTTAGATATGCCATTTTTTATGGTAAAAATCTCTCATCATGAGTCATTCTAGGCAATTCGTTCATGTTATTTCTAATTTCTAAAATTAATGAAGAAGGAATAACAACTAAGGTAGCACAAAATCAACTAAATTTTAGTTTTGTTGGGCAATATGTCATTCACAACATTAATTCCTTACCGACAAGAAAGTAGAATTTCTTATGCTCACTTCAAAAACAAGTATCCTATAAGAAGTTAAAAATACGGATAGCTAATCCAACTATCAAAAGAAAAATTAAAGACTTGTAACTCCTCATTCAAAAGGAAGTTTATACAGAGGTGCCTAATACATTATAGTCTAGAAAACATCATTCGATCCATCTTTCTTACAAAAAAGAATTTAAAGAAACCTAAATCTTTACAAAGGCTTGACTCATTGCCATGAGCCCTAGATACCTCAAGCTATGCAAGAAAGAGATAACCAAGATCATACAAAAGGGTCTAATTAGGCTTAGTTTTAGCCCATAGAGTTGCTCGGCCTTCTATGTTGAAAATGTAACGGAGCTAAAACAAAGAGCCCAAAGCTCGTTATTAATTATAAGCCTCTAAATAGAGTGCTTAAATTAATTTGTCACCCAATCCCTAATAAAAAAAGATATGTCCATAAGGGTCTATAAGACCAAGGTGTTCTCTAAATTTGATATGAAATCAAGTTTCGGCAAATCCAAATTGCTAAGAAGGACCATTACAAAACGGCCTTCACTGTTCCATTTGGTTACTATGAATGAAACGTCATACCTTTTGGGCTAAAAAATGCCTCTGTAGAGTTTCAACAAATCATAACAATATTTATAATCCTTATTTAAGATTTGTTATTGTTTACATCGATGATATTCGGTCTTCTTAGAATCAATAAACCGGTATTCAAGAATCTAAAGGCATTTTTATCGCCCACTTAAAAAGCCGATTTGACCATATCGTCTAAAAAGATAAAACTTTTCTAATCTAATATCATGTTTTTAGGGTTTAATATATTCAAAGGTTTAGTTGCCCAATTGATAAAGCCATTATATTTATGCGTAATTCCTAGATAAAATTAAAGACAAAAATCAATTACAAAGGTTATTGGGAAGCCTAAACTATATAGGTGAATTCTTCAAAGACTTAGTCTTAGACTCTAAACCCTTATTTCAACGACCTAGGAAAATCCCTTTGCTTTAGACTAATGAGCACATTCGTGCGAGTCCAAAAGATCAAAGTAAAAGCTAAAGAGCTTTCTTACTTAGCTATCCCTAATCCCAATGCCTACAAAATAGTCAAAACAGATGCCTCTAGAATAGGATATGGTGGGATTTTTAAATAAATATCCTAGGAGGGGTAGAGAACAATTAATAAGCTTCGGGAATATGTAACACAGCTCAGCAGAATTATTCAACCATCAAGAAAAAGATTCTATCCATAGTACGTGTGTTACTAAATTTGAAAGTGGCTTAGTCAATCGGAAATTCTTATTAAGGATTGATCTGTAAATCTACTACGAACGTCTTAATTAAGGATGTTAAAAATATTGTATCTAAACGTATACTTGCTCGATGGCAGGCCATTTTGTTTGTCTTTGATTTTGATATCATCCACATTAGAGCAAACTTGAATTCATTTCCCGATTTCCTAACCGAGAGAATTCTTATAGGGATTGAAAGTTGAAATCAATCTAAATGTCTCCGGAGTTTAAACAATCTCCTAATCCTAAAAAGGAAAAGGGATCGACTTCTCGGGCAGACCTCTTTTATTAATGATGAAGATTCTAAGCTATTCCGTAAAACCTATATTTTAGGACTAGCTTATAATAGAGTGAAGCCAAGTACCTTACATCCCAAGACCTCTAGTTATGTCCTCTAGAAGACGAAGTAAAAGACATGTCGCCTTATCAAGTGGTCGATATCATGCTAAACAAGTATCCGCCTCCCAATTTGAAAAAAAAAAAAAAGAAAAAAAGTACTTTACTATCAAGTCATTCTAATTGAGACTAGGTCGGCTATCTTCTTCGATCAAGATAGAAATCGAAATGAATGGGTTTATCTAGGCTCACTATTGTAAAGATCATTTCTCCTTCAAATTGGGGAAAAGATCTCCATATAGAGAAATCTCTCGGAAAATATGCTTATTCCCCAAAGAGCTACACCTTTTTTTATTATACTAATACTTGAGAATATTTGTTAATTTATGAGAACAAGCCATTAAAACACGGTTGGTTTATTTAGTTCTAACTTAAGACTCGTCAAGAATCATTTCCTATTTGGTTTCAAGAATGGTTTTCTTGTTAGGGTTTCTTTCCCATCTACATGCCTTTATTTGTTGCCTCTCATTTCGGAGACTTTGCAGCTACCCATCCTAAAAAGGATGATCTCGTCCAATCTAATCTCTTTTGTATCTCTTTACCAGGTTCCTTGGATTGTTAAATGAGGTTATATTGTAAAAAATGCTAATGATAGTAAATGAGGAATCTTAATAGATCTCTTTTACCTTCTCGAAGACTACTTATTAAGTGGTGGGTAAAGTACAATTTTGAAGTTAAATTCTTCTACCTAAATCAAAGTAGTCTCGAAGCTCCAAGATCCTTTATAAAAATACTCCTCAAAGAGCTTCTTTCTTCTATTTCTAAAGAAGAGATTAAAAAATCTTTAACATAAGTCTTTAGTGAACTAGATACGAAGCTAATAAGTCTCTCTTTCAAGATTCACGAAACCCTTTAAAGATTTGGATAAAGATGTTGACATGATAAACACCCTTAGTGCTCATCTTGACTCTTCTAGGTAAATTCGCTTTCGACTTAATAAGGCCCTTCAACTTTTGATAAAGCCGTTCGTCACTATACCTAATCAAATCATCATCACACTATTAGCCAAACATGGCCCCTTCGACTTTTGGAAAGACGTCCGCCACTTTTCCACCCAAAGATTCTTCTATTATGTGTGTTGGGCCCCTTTTCCTACTTTTGTCGATCATCGGACATACTTTACTTTTTATTTTTGTTTGTTTCGAACTGACTTATAAAAGATATTTTAAATTTTTTCATTTTTAGGCCATCTAACTATAAAGTTTCTTTTTTATCCTCTTGTAAGCTCATCTCTATATAACGGTGTTTAGTTTCATTTCGTTGGGTATCAAAATTTTTAAGTTCAAAAATTTAGAGTGTTCCTCTCTTTTTCTTTTAAAAATTTAAATTTTTAGCAATCTGGTCCTAGTTGGTGTGTGTCTATATATATATACATATAACACTGTTATAAGCTTTCTTTTTCTTTTGAAATTTAAATTTTTAGCAATCCAGTCCCACTTGATGTGCGTGTCTATATATGGGAATTGAAATTCTTCATTTTCAAAAATCTAAACTTTTATTATTATTGTTGTTGTTGTTGAGAATTTGAATTTCTTTAGTTAATCTTGCCGAGAAGTTTTAAGCCCCACAATCATAAAACAATAAAATGATTATTTCCGAAGTCACATTTCCTTGCTCTCCTTTTTTCCTAAGACAATAGAAAGAACTAATTTCCGTGAAACTGCTTCAGCTTCATGATCCAAAACCGTTTCTCTGCCGGCAGGATTCAACAGTATGGCAAGCAAAGGAGGGCAGGGAGCTTGGGATTGGCCATCTAGCAAAACAAAAGAGAAAGCAAAGGCCAGCGTTTTTAGTGAAGAAAGGACGATAGAAGGGGAAGAATACACCATCTTAGAAGCATTGTCTATTCCTCATGTAATTTCGCAATTTACAAGCATGCAGACCATCAATAAATTTATTTTTGCTGAACAAAAAACACGTCTGAATTCAACTTGCATTTTTCAGTACAGAAATTGGCAGTTGCTCCTGCCCAAGATGAAAGGGGAAGAATACACCATCTTTTTTCCTGCTTTCCTTCCAAACATCTAGTATGTGATGAGCCGAGGGCAATTCAGATCCATACCAATCATCAGCTTCCGTTGTTCCTATCTCAAGTTCTACCTCTTCAGCATCTTTTGCAGGCTCTTCTAATAAAATATTTGAGAGCTTCTTGCCTAAACATTCATTAGAAGCACCAGATGCCACATCATCAGCAAAAGCATCCCTCTTCCCTGATAGGTTAGCTGCTATATCTAGGCTATTAACAGAGTTTCCAGTGCTAGAGGCCGCATCCAGTTCATCACCCGTTCCGTTGGTACTGCTGTTATTAACAAGGGGCATATCTGAAGTTCTACTAGTTTTATTAACAAAAGGATCCACAACCAGCTTGAGATTTCCATCTATCATACTTGCAGAAGAAGTTAGCATATGTGCGCTCTTATCGCCAGCAATTTCCCCACTGTTCGTATTGAAATGAGAATCATTAGTGTCTTCAATGCAAGAATCAGTGTGCGGTAAATCTCCTGATGAGCCAGACCTACGTAGAGACTGCAATGATCTTGACAAGTTAGAGACTGTGACCTCTGATGCCATATCACAATGACCAACTGCATCCAACAGCTTCTCTAAACTATCCTGACTTATTTTTTCTCCATTTTTCTCAAAAAGATATGTCCACTGCCTTTCGCTAATTTGAAATGAGGCATGAGCCATGGTGTTAACAAGGGTAACAGCCCTCTCATAATTCTCTTGGGCTGTGGCTTGAAACACCATTTCAGTGAAAAACAGCGGATGAGGGATTTCTCCAGCTTCCAAAATTTCATTGAATGCATGCTCCAGAAGATGACTCTGCATTAAGAGAATAAAAAGTCAAGAGATTTAATAATCTACCAATTGAGTACATCTGTAAGTTAAAATGTAGCTGCATGGCAAAAAAGTTTAAAATTTAAATACAGAAAGCAACTTGAAATGACAAGTCTACCTTTCCACATCTAGATGCTTCCACAAGCTGTGACGCATGTTTACTTTGATCTAGCTGATACCCAGCGAAAGCCATCTCCTTGTAAACATACTCAAAGTATTCCCATTGGAGCGCACGAGCAGATGCCTGAAGCATTGAGCTATATGTGTACTCATCTGGTTTAATGGTAGTGCCACTATGATCAACTCCTTTAATGTCCTCGAACAACTCCTTAGCTTCAGAGAACAAATCACTTCGGCTATAAACTTTCAGCATAGTGTTTATTGTCCCAATGTTAGGGACACAATGGGCTTTCATGTGTTCAAAGATAGATATGCAATCATCAATATGCCCACCATCCATAGAAGACGCTATCATTCCAGTGAGAGAAACCTCCAAAGGTTTTCTATGACGAAGTCTTTTCATTTTCTCAACCTGCAGGCATTTTATTAAGATATGTTCTGTGGCCAATAGATATTAAATAAAATGCAGCCATAGAAGCCAAGAAGCCAAAGAGCACAAGGTTCAACAAAGCCATAGCCAAGTAACCTAAAAGTCCAGAGCAAAGTAATCAATCACTAGAGTGCAGATCCTAACCTCTAGCATAGCATCTTGCCACCTCCCATTGTAGCAAAGGCAGCAAGCTAGCTCATAATACACACTGGCTGCTCCAACTACTCCTCTTTGTTCCATATCCCTCACTGCTTCCACAGCTTCATTGACTTTACCTTCCTCCCAAAATGCTCTCACAAGAACTGGAAAGTCACAATACATAAATGCATGAGCTACAAAATATGGCAACATTTCCCAAATTAGGGAGCAACTATACACCTTTGTATGTAAGGGATCAGCAATATACCTTTGTATGTAAGGGATTTTAGAGATTCCCCACTTCTCTTCATTCTCCTAAAGTACTCGTAGACAGATTCATACTTTCCAGAATGCAGCATTACCTTACAACAAGCATCTCCTGTAAGACTTGCATATAAATATAATTTGAGGAGCATAAAATCTTGCATACCAAAATTTCATTTACCAGTCACAATATCAATCTAAATGACCCTATGGATGAGTAACAGCTACAAATAGATTGAACTATAACTTTCTAGTTAATAAGAAGTTTATGGATTGATAAACCATCACACAGACTGGATTTCTCTTTAGGTAAAACAACATTTGCAGCCATCACTCAAATATTATACTTTAAAACTCCAATTATAAATGCTTCTGTGAATAAGAATAAAAGGAAACTCCAAGATAATTAATCAAGCCTAAATGGATAATGTTAACTCTATTTTGGGACAGAAAACTTGTATTGACCACACCCAACTGAAAGCTAAAGTTTAGAAGTAATAGGATCAACATCGTATTGTTGAATACGAAACATTATAAGAATCAAAGCCATCACAGCACTTTTCCTGATCATTCTACTTTCACATATGAGCCAGCAAGCTATCAGCATGCTTAGTCACTTGGATATGAAGCACATTAATGACCCAACTGTTCTTATCATAGTGCATGTCTATGGATGTTACAGTTCAGCAATTACCTCCATTGCTAATCCATACGTTGCTCCATTGGGTTTAAGACCACTCCTTCTCAACTGTTGAAAAACCCATGATACACCTTTCCACTGCTGGGATGGAACACAAGCATTCAGTATCTGCAAAATGAATTGGAAGAAGCCAAGTAATAAGTCTTTATACATCAGATTAAAGAAATTTCAAAAATGTGAAGGGAGAGCCATAGCAATGCTCTCTTACGGCATTATATATAACCAGATCTGGTTCAAGGACTGGATCCCATTTCTTATGAAACATATTATTGATTCTTTTAGAAGGTTTCTGCCTCATGCATTCAATAACTTCCACCAACTCTTTCAGAAGACCAGCTTGACCGAGTGTAACAGCAATACTGTGATATGCGGCCATATCAGGATATAGACTGCGGTCTTCCTGAATGTATTAAGAGTAAGAACCGATCCACCAATATAACAGGTGAGTGTGTGTGACAATGACAAAAATTAATATATGAAGCAAAAAATCCATGGATCATTACACGCATCAGATTAAAAATGCTAAGTGCTTCCTGGGGCCTCCTTTCCTTCCCAAGAACTGACAGGAGTTTTGTGTAAACAAACCTACAAAAAGCATTGATTTGATTATATGATTAGACTTATAGTTTTTAGAATCTCTGACAAAATAATTAACTTTACAATTGTAAAGTCTTTCAGGCATGCAAAGACCAACTTCAAAAAAGTTCACTAGCCTAGTAAGCGTATTAAGAAACAAGCATTGGCTATATCTGAGTGACTAAAAAACAGAGGGCATATCAAGTTGCATCTTGTCAAATCTATTATATATTATCAGGAATTGTAACAGAATGGGCATAGTTAACCCACTTGAGTAAACAAAAATCCTAAAACCAGATATCAAGTTAGGTTGAAATCTAATCTTAGATCACAATTCACATGTATATCATTCCAAGAATTCATTATAGATAAGGTTCACTGCCACGGTCTCCAAACCAAACGTAAAAGGTTACCTTTACACTACACTTCTCTCCTACTTATGAAATGCCCTAGCAGAGACCTAAGTTTGGAAAATCCAGCATGCATAGAATTCAAAATTCCTCCTCCATCTATTGTTAACCTGAGAAGCAAAAGGCTCGATGTTCATCTAATTTCCACAGAAGTTCACAAGGAAGTGATGTTAAAATGTGGAAAACATACATGGCCAACCAAAAAGTTAACTACACAATCCTAATTCTCGAAACAAAACCAATTACCTGCTCTTACAATCTCTACGATCCTTATCATTATACACCCATTCCACAACAGTCATTGCTTGTGCCCATTTACCTTTGTTCCCAAGCTCCTCCACAATCTTCAGCAACTGACCTTCACTAAACCTCAACCCTGACTGCTTCATTATCTTGGCTAACTTCCAATCCTTTACAGTTACCTCTCTGCAACTTAACCTACAAAAATTCCAAAAACAAAGAACAAAAATAAAAAATCGTCTTAAACGAACCGACACCAAAAACAAAGTCAATCACAAACCTATCAACAAGAAACCGAATTGCCTCTCCTTCTCCACGCCACCGCTTCGCAGGGTCCCATTTCTGTTCACTATCACTTCTCAACCAGTCTTTATCTTCCAAATCAATATCATCATCCAAAACCCACTTCAAATTACCCTCAAAAATCTCCTTCAACTCTCTCAAATTTTCTCTCTTTAACTTATTTCCATTAAACTCCCTACTTCCACTACCGATCTCTTTCAACTTCACTCTCTCTATTCTCTCCCATGGCTTCCCCACTAATAAAGCCCCACTCTCACCCCGTCTTTTCCCGCTTATTGCCTTATTAAACTCTTTGTATTCATGTTTTAGAGCTTGAAAATGGGATTCTTCTAAGGCTAAAAGGGCTTGTTTTTGTTCTTGTTTTTGGAACTCCCTATTCTTGTTGAGCTTGCGGTTGTGTTTTTGGATTTCTTTCTTGCGGAGATTATGGATTATTTTGGGAGTTGGGTACACGCCTTTTTTCAGTAGCCTGCGTTTTATGGCTTCAGTGTTTGGTTCAAATTGAGGTGCGGGTGCGGGAAGAGAAGATGAAGAAGAAGCTAGTGCAGCTTCCATGGTCGGAAAATGCCTTAGTGTTTGTGAAGGGAAACTCAAGTAGTTGAAAAAACTAGAGATTAACCTCTGTGTTTTGTACTGGGTTTAATTTAATTTTCCTCCCTCAAGTTTAATTGTCTATCAATAATGGCCCAAAACTATTTTTTCCTATCAATTGACTCCTTAAGTCCTTTTTTTTGTCAAAAGTATAGGTAATTTATCGATTAATTTTCTCAAGAAACTTTCGATGTGATTCAATTTAAAACATATAATAAAATTAGATTTTCAAAATAAAAAACCATAAAAATAATCAATAAAAGAAAAAATATAAAGCCAAATTCACTTATTTATTAAAAAAAAAAAAACTCAATTGATTCATTATTTTTTATAGAAAAAATATAGTAATAATTTTATTTGACTCAAGTTAAATAAGAAATAGATATAGTACATTGAGTCTTTTATACTTTTTTTATATATAGCAAAATGAAAAAGTGGAGTAATTATAATTAACCTGTTTAGTTTTGAAAAACAAATTAATTAGTTTTTTTTATAAAAAACTAATTATTTAATTTTTTAGTTTATTTAATTTTCTTTTTTTTTAAATAGAAAAAATTGATAAAAAAAAATATTTAGAATTAACTAATATTGAATTAAGCATGATCATCACTGATTTATAAACTAAATAATTAATTTTTAAAATAAAAGAGATTAATTAATTCATTTCTTGAACCTGAAAAAATTAATTTATAATCTATTATAAAAAAAATAGGTCAGTAATATTATCTCACGTTCCAAAGATTTCTATTGCCTTCCATATTATAAAAAAATTTATTGTTTCCACAAACTGAATAGATGGATTAAATTGAACAATACAAGATAATAGAAGTATACAAGATAATTTTCATTTTTTTTTTATAAGGAAAAAGGAAAGTTCTTTCAAAGAAATGGGCCGGGCCATTCATATATATATATATATATATATATATATATATGGAAGGCAATATATGTACAGAGATGATGCAGACTAGATTCCACGAGCTGAACTTAAAGCTAAAAAATGAAGAAAACAAGAAATCATTTTCTTTGTATTTTCGATTGAAACAAATCAAAACGGATTTCGCAAAGAAGACAGCCTCGTAAAGACTTTGGTTCCTGCTCCTCAATCTGTCATCTTATCTCTATAAATTCCCGTCATCAATGCCTTTGCAACTTTCAACTCTGCTCGAAACCAAGTTTGTAAACAAAAGCACAGCTCAGGTTCAATCTTATATATGGCACACAAAAAGATTGGTAATCGTCAAGAAGCCGTTGTTGATATAGTCAAGCCAATAAATTTCACCGGAGGGCTAGAGTTCTCTAGCCTCACCTACACCGTCACTAAAAAGCAGGAGCTTGAAGGGAAATGGATCAGCCGAGAAGTAGACTTATTGAATATGATAACTGGGTATGCACCAAAAGGTTGCATCACTGCAGTCATGGGGCCTAGTGGTGCCGGAAAATCCACCTTGTTAGATGGACTTGCTGGTCGTATCGCAAGCGGAAGCCTCAAGGGCAGAGTCTCACTGGACGGCAGGGAAATGAATCCCAGCTTGATTAAGAGGACTTCTGCCTATATAATGCAGGATGACAGGTTGTTTCCTACACTTACAGTCTATGAGACTTTGATGTTTGCTGCTGATTTTCGACTTGGACCCATATCAAGAGCTGACAAGAAGCAGCGGGTAGAGAAGCTTATCGAGCAACTTGGTTTGTCGGTACGCATGTGATGGATGCTTAACCTTAACTTAGTATGGTACTTTAGCATAAACGTCATGTGATAGTTTTAAAAAATAATATATATATATATGTGTGTGTGTGTTTTGTTAATCTAAATTTAAAAGGCAATATATGTTTGAGGATGTTTGTGAACAGAATATTTATTTTTTTAAACTGTCATTTAATCTTTACTTACGATCAACGTTAAAAAAACTGATAAAAAAACCTATTATTTATATAAAAATAATAATTTATGATATTCAAATTAAAATTTTTAATGGTTAAGATTCTATCCTAATTTGACAAAAAATTTAGGGTTTTTTTTGTATCATTTGGTCTAATATTGAAAGTTGTAACATATAAATTTGATATCAGACTTCCTTGAAGTCGTTTTCAGTCACTTCTTCTTTAATTGTTTGTTCAAATATTTAGAAATAATTCTACCTCACTTGTTGGTAGAAAGAGATTTTGAAGCTGCTAAAACCAAAAACATTCAGTGATTGCTAAACTATATATTGGCTCCATTGATGTAATTTCTCATTCTAGACATCCCGGAACACCTATATCGGCGATGAAGGCACAAGAGGAGTGTCCGGCGGTGAGCGTCGCAGAGTATCAATTGGTGTGGACATCATCCACGGACCATCACTGCTTTTCCTTGACGAGCCCACCTCAGGCCTAGACTCGACCAGTGCTCATAACGTCATAGAAAAGGTGCACCAGATAGCGAGGTCAGGCAGTACTGTGATCCTAACAATTCATCAACCCTCATCTAGAATCCTAGTTCTGCTTGATCATCTCATTATTCTAGCTCGTGGGCAGCTCATGTTCCAAGGATCCCCTAAAGATGTCACTCTTCATCTCAGCCGCATAGGACGAAAAGTCCCTATAGGTGAAAACCCAATAGAGTTCTTAATTGATGTTATACAAGAGTATGATCAATCTGAGATTGGTGTGGAGGCACTGGCTGAATTTGCTCGTACCGGAATGAAACCGCCACTGTTATCCAACGACGAGAACACCTCTATATCCACTGTCGCATCAACGCCACCTCTGCCTCGCCGTGGCCACCATCAGAACGGCAGGCCAGGTGACGGGGCGAATGGTGGTAAACGCCTTCATTTGCAAACAAGTACACATGAATCTAATGGTTTTGATCACAGTTTGAGAAGCCCTTACGTTAACACATCAAGGTCATGGAGTGCTAGCCATAGTGGAATTGGGCAAGCACTCAGATTTACACCTTCACGCCAGAAGAATGATAAGAAGATTCAAATTCCAATGAGGTAAACGATAAATTTTCTCACTTCACTATCCATGTCTTTAAGTTTTAGGCTAACAAATTTCTCGATCATCCTTCCCGTGATTGATATGGATGATTTGTGCCTGCAGTTCATCCCCAGGCTACTATACATTCTCAAGTGAGATCATCCCGGGGACACCTACACCGCACAGCAGTGACTATACGGTGAACGAAAACGACTACCTGACACCATATGTTCCTCTGAACACACAGCACTTTGGTCCAAAATTTGCAAATTCCTTTTTCTCAGAGACCTGGATTCTCATGCGTCGCAACTTCAAGAACATCAGGCGTACCCCAGAGCTTTTCCTCTCAAGACTCATGGTCCTAACCGTGATGGGTGTCATGATGGCCACCATGTTTGTGCACCCTAAACAAAATTTGCAAGGAATCACTAATCGCCTCAGTTTCTTCATCTTCACAGTTTGCCTTTTCTTTTTCTCGTCCAATGATGCTGTTCCTGCCTTCATTCAAGAACGCTTCATTTTCGTCCGCGAAACTTCCCATAATTCTTATAGAGCCTCTTCTTACACAATTGCTGGCCTTGTTACGTACCTTCCCTTTCTTGCATTACAAGCTGGTGTCTATGCTGCTATTGTTTGGAAACCCTTGGCACTGCGAGGACCATTCTATTATTTCTTGCTGGTTCTCTATATGTCCCTTCTTTCCACCAACTCGTTTGTGGTGTTTGTGAGCTCAGTGGTGCCAAATTACATATTGGGTTATGCAGCGGTCATTGCTTTCACTGCACTGTTTTTCTTGTTCTGTGGCTACTTCTTGAACAGCCACGATATCCCCACCTATTGGAGGTGGATGAACAAGATCTCCACCATGACATATTCATATGAAGGGCTTCTGATGAACCAGTACCAGACGTCGGATCCTTTTGGAACAAATCCTGGTGGAGAAATTGTCAATGGCACCACCATCTTAAACTCTCTCAATATCAGTATCGATGAATCGAAGAAGTGGGAGAATGTGCTTGTGATGTTGGGTTGGGCTGTTCTGTACAGGATTTTTTTCTACATAGTTCTTCGCTTCTTTTCAAAGAACCAGAGGTCATAGAAAAGTGGGAGTTCCATGATTAGATTTGCAAACATTTCTTTTCATGAAATGCAGCAGTACCATTGAGTATTGAGCACTGATAGCTGTGGAAAAACAATAAATTAATAGTTCTTAACGTATGTTTTTTCGCTCTGATCAGCTGAGTCAAGCTATTGAATGGTCCTGCCAGAGAAAATTTCTTTTCAAAATAGTCTTTCTCGGATTTTCTACCTTGATATTCTGCTCTAATTAATGGATCCGTTAGCAGGGCCAACTCCAGCAACCTTATATTCTTAGAGAAACAGGAAAGTATTTAGGACGAAATAAGAGAAAATTATAATTTATTCTCTATAATTTCGAAAAAAAATTAATCAGAATTTTTTATTTTAAAAATTAATCATTTAGTCTCTACAGTTAAATTTTCTTGCAATTTAATATTTTTGTCATTTTTAATTTGTTTTGATTTTTTTTAAAGAAATATAAAAAGATTAATGTGAGAAAATGTCATTTTTGAAATAAAATAATATTAAATTAAACTTATTAAAAGTTTCCGAAACAAAAGTGAGTAATTATTTTATTTCTTAAAAATTGAGGGACTAAGTTATAATTCACTCGATTTTCTTTTACTACTGATAGTGTTATATAGTTTATAAAGTTAAATCTGACGCAATTGCGGGGATAGCTCAGTTGGGAGAGCGTCAGACTGAAGATCTGAAGGTCGCGTGTTCGATCCACGCTCACCGCATACACTATCCATTTAACATTTTTCGATCTCAATAAGGTATTGACGTCGATCCACATTTTTTGGACGAATACATTCTTTATGGGCCTCACTTTCCTGGACCTGGATCCATACTTTCACTTTCTTGGATCTTAAGGTATACATGATGAGTGGGCATTACTTTCCTGGACCTGGATCCATACTTTATTGCATGTATACATGCTTACTGGTCCTTACCTTCAGAACCTCGATCCATTCTTTATTGGACCCCAAGAATGGGCTCTACTCATTATGGCTATTGATTATTGAAGAGACAAAAGGGTCAAATAGAAATAATAACTTAAAGCTTTTGATTTTCTTGGGCAATGATTTTGCTAATGTCCAAATAAGACATAAGGGCCTCAATCATCGGCAAAAGAGATTTCATATTTTCTTTTTCTTTAACCAAATAAAGGTTTTAACTATAAACTAGTTGTTCGATTTTCGAGAAATAAATTAATTAGTCTCTTTTTTCAAATTATTTAGTTTTTATATTTTATATTTTTTAACATCATTTTTTTCGAGTTTTCTTTCAATTTCTTTTGTTTTTTTGTTTTTAAATACAATGTTATGTATAATGTTAGTGTTAATGGCTTGAAACATAAGTAGTGTTTTAACAAAATGCAAAGAGTTTTAAAATTAGCACCTTAAATCCTAACTTCTATGAGTATTTTCAAAAATTAGCACTGTTGTTTCTAGCACAAAAAAGAAACATAATTAAATAATAAAAATTAACATAATAAATAAATAAATTTATTATAAATAAAGAACTGAAACTTTTTACCTTGATCGTTAAATAATTCGGGATTAAAATCACATTGGCATATTTCTCGATGTAAAAATGACCAAACCAACAAAATAATTTTACCATAATTTTTAGGTGATTGACTTGAAGTATAATCATGTTGCTTTCTTGAAATGATACACGCTATCCCCAGAATTTATCTAATGCAACAAATCAAGAATATATTGCACGTCATCTCGGGGATACAAAAAGCTCGACCAACTTGTCATGTTTTAACAAACTTGTACTATTTTTAAGACAAATTTGTTTTTTAAGACTTGAAACTCTAAATATATTAGTGCCACTCTTAGCTAATGATAATATAAATAAAAATTATATGGCTTTATATTAAGAGATTAAAGAAAACAAAAGTGAAGAATTATTTTTATTCACTAGAAAATATGCTGCAAAACTTATGTTAAAAAAATAATAAAAAAGCAAGCACCTTTCTTTGGTAAAGAAAAATAAGTACATATAATATTACTATTGTTGTGTGTTTTTAACCAAAGAATCAATAGCCTCTATATATAGGCTTTCTAAGAAATTTGTTTGACAAGAAATAATTGCAATCATTAAGTGTAATTAATTATTGTAAAAACGATTAAAAAAAACTTATGTAACTATTTGTTAATTTATTAAAATAAATATATTTATTGTAACCATAACATTTTAATGTACCTGATTAACCATGCATTGACTATTTTATTATAATAATTATTTTAATAATAACAAGTATATTTCATAAAAAATAATCCAACAAACGCTAATCTCTTGAAAAACAGCTTCACTTCCTCCCTCATATAGGTGAATCTAACAAGAATGTTCATGTAACTCTATATTTTGTTCATTAAAAGTTTCAATCTCATTTTGAGTTTTTTTATACGAACATGCAACCTTAAATTTGTTAAAAAATAACTTTTTACATTATAAGGATTGAAATATGAATATTATAACTCAAATAAACTATACATGTAATCAAATCACTCTATGTTTGCTTCATTTCTTTTTTTTTCTTTTTTTCCTTTAAACCTAGTTTATGAGATTTCTAGTCTTTAAGTAGAATATCTACATGAATGATTTTATTTCTATACATGCTTAGTCTCATTCTTTTCGATGCACCATTCAATCTTTTCACTTTAACTAAAGATTTAATCTTAAAATATTCAACATATATATATATATATATATATATATATATATATCCAAAGAATTAAGTAATAAGCACTGCTAAGATAAAGCGGTAAAAAAAAAAATTCACTTTTTTTTGTTATTATATTAATAGAAACGAAATGAAAGGTGATAATAAGAAATCAAGTAACGAAGAAGATTAGTCAATTGACCAAGATAAATTATCAATTCTGAAAAATTATACTTAATTAACTAAAAAAAAAAAAAACACATATTCAATTAACTAAATTGATAACGAAACAGCTTTTCTAACGTAATGAAAACACGTAATACAAATAATAGATTTAGCCAAACCACACCTTATGAGGGAGAAGAAAGAAGGATGAGGAAAAAGAAGGCAAACATCAAGTAACCCAGTTAGTGATGTATAGGTTGACCACAAATGGCAATTTTTATTGGGAATGCCTAAAACCGTGGTCTAAACCGCTGTGACACGTCGTAATTTGAAACCAAACCCATTTCCATGGACTAGGATATTGCATCAATACATAGTAAGAGACAAGAAGAGAGACAGGAAACGAAGGGTTGGTCCGCCCTGTTATTCTAATCATGATTAATTAAATATAGACTCCCACTAGCAAAACAATGCTTGTTTTATCTATTATGTGTTAATCAATTACCAATATTCTAACAAAAAAATGGTAATCAAATTTGGTTTTATTCTATTATTTCAAGTTTCCTCCAATTTTCCTTCTCCTCTAACTTGTACATTGGAAGTCAAACCTGTGTTATCAACCTCTTTTCCTTCAAAATCTTGTGTTCTTTTGATGCCCTTTTTGTCCCTACAGCGCAAGGAGACTGATTCAGGATGCACTCCAAGAATGGTAATTGCTTACGTAAATGAAAAGTTCTTACATATTAAATAATCAAGTCATTGGTTCTTGACCGAGGCCAGTAGAGTTTTGGAGTATAGAAAGGTTTGTTGGTTTGATTATGAGTTTGATAATTACTCAATGGGGAGAGTTCCATTTAAGATGAGAAGATGATGGGAGGAATGCATGATTGGATGTTAACAACAAGTGTTGCCTCTTTTATTGTTTGCCTCTTCCTTGTTATCCACTTAACCTACGCAGAAACAGGTCAGTATAATATCATCATATATAGCCTGTTAATTCCGTGGATCTGTAACTTGCTTAACTCCAGGGAGAATGATCCATAAGGTACTTCAATGATTTTTTCGATCTGATATTTATGATGATGTTAACCCTAGTTCACAGGAAGATTGTTAATTCGGATCATATATATATATAACATAATAGAGTATTCTGATCTATCTCGCTAGGTTTCTGAAAGCAGATCTTTTTTGAAAGGTGTGAAGCAACAAAAAATAATTGGCAGAAATCAAAAGTCGTATACTTTAAACCAGAGTGGCATGGCATGATCATTGATTACTGACAAAATTATGCAATATATATTCTTTCTTGCAGCCATCTGAAAATATAGCTTAATCCCAAGTCACATGGACTCTATATATATATATATATATCATATATGACAATTTCTTAGGTTAGTGTGTAGTAGTATTAGATTTTAATCCTTTTTTGCATGTGCAGGATTTGTGAGCATAGCATGCTGTGCTGAATCATCAACTTTTACAGATAATGGCTCTATAAGTTGGAAATCAGATGAGGGATGGTTCCCTCGAGAGAATACAGTTTGCAAAAACATAAGCAGACAAGCAGAAGATGATGCAAACTATGATAAACTTCGAATTTTCTACATTCAACCAGGGAAGAGAATATGCTACAATTTTTCAACAACAGAAAGTCAAGACTATCTAATAAGGACTACGTTTCTATTTGATGATTCTTTGAGTCGTTCTTTTGATGTTTCGATTGGTTTCACAATAAGTCATGTGAAATTGTACAAGGATTTGGTGGTTGAGAAAATTTTTAAGGCTACTAATCAGAACGTAGATTTTTGCTTAATGCGTGATCATGGATATCCATACATTTCAAAGCTTGAACTGAGGCCCTTGGGGGATTTAGATTATTTACAGGGAAAGGCTTCTGGTGTTCTGAAATTGGTTAGCAGAGTTGACGCAGGAAACACTGGAAATAGCATCAGGTTTGCTTTCTTCTCCATTTTTATGCTAACCATTTCTGTTCGAAAAGAAAGTACTTATTTCTTAATTTTGTAAACATTATAGGAAACCTTTTCTCTTAGCTTATTATGCACAAGTAATATCTGGTGTAACATGTACTAGTAAGATATTGAAGATTTGAACACATACTACTTGCCGATTTCAGGTACCCAGATGACTCATTTGACAGAATCTGGAGAAGGCCTGACCCCAAAACAGTTTCCATATCAGAACCGACTAGTTCCAACACTTACATCTCTGAAGTTAACAAAACAGTGCCAGCCAAAGTTCTCCAAACAGCACTAACACACACAGACAGACTGGAGTTCCTGCACAATGACCTTGACACAGAGGATTCCAATTACACTGTGTTCCTGTACTTTTTTGAGCTCAATTACTCTATAAAAACCGGCCAAAGGGTATTCGACATTTACATCAATAATGAAATGAAGATGGGGAAATTTGACATTTGGGCTTATGGGTCAGCCTATAGGGAAACTGCTCTAAGTGTCACAGCAAGCAGGTCTCTAAACTTGACCTTAGTCAAGGCTGCAAATGCATCTGACCTTGGACCTAGTTTAAATGCCTACGAGATCTTGCAATGGATTCCAGGAACTAACCAACAAGATGGTAAGTTCAATAGCTACATGTCAAAACCACATACTACTAAACTTCATCAGTTTACTTATAGATAATTATGCCACTACCCCTCTGTTTAGTGGAAGTGATCATGAAGGTAAGACAAGAACTGCTGCTGTATAACAAGGAGAATGAACTGCTGCATAGTTGGTCAGGAGATCCATGCTTTCCTCCTTGGAAAGCTCTAACATGCCAGAACTTCAACGGGTCATTATCTGTTGTCACAGGGCTGTAAGTCTCTCGTTCCTCTTTTAAGAAACAATCATGTTCATGTGAGATCGAAATGATTCTGCATAATCAAGCTACATTCAATGTTTCTATTTCTTTTAATCATTCAAGTTTTCCAAAAATTTTCAGGAATGTTTCTTCAAGTCATTTTCAAGGACCAATTCCTGCTAGTGTTACTAAGCTGAGCAACCTAAAGGAATTGTATGGTTAACTGTGCTGTTATCTATTATGTTGCTAACGTTATTGTCTTCTAGGAAATGATATTAACGTTATTTCTGTCACTTTTGGTAATGCAGGAACCTTAGCTACAATGACTTCACCGGCAAGATCCCGCCGTTCCGGGCATCCTCGATGTTGACATCAGTGTAATTTTCTTGTTTCTATGATGTTGGCCCTTGTGTTGCATTAATTTATATAGATTTAGCACTATATCTACAAACTTGGTAATTGCTAAATCATCTTTCTGTGAGCTGCAAGCAAGTGATAATACCATACATGAATAGAGCAAGTAATACATGGTGGAATCAGTTAAGACTGTAAAGCTCCATCTAGCCTTTGATTCTTTTCGACAGAAACTTGTTTTCTTTTGCATAACTAGATGAACTTATCCTGGAGTTGCACGGAAGATTTACTTGTGGTGTTATGTTGTGTTTGCACATAAAAGCTGTTTGATTTACATTTACCAGGGATCTGAGCCACAATGATCTTACTGGAGTTCTTCCAGATTCTTTTGCCTCCCTTCCGAATTTGACGACATTGTAAGTTCAGAATTAATGTTGGATTTCTTCACTTGAACATATTTAATCAACTTGGCACTGTAAATTCACTACTTGTATGTCCTTCATCCCCTAGATATTTCGGATGCAATCCTCGCTTCAGCAAAGACCTTCCTTCCAACTTTAACCGTTCAAGGCTCACCACAGAGTAGGAAATCTACTATATTAGCCTAACGTAAATGCCAAACCAGTATTGAAATGGAAGACTAACAGTATTGGTTTCAATTTTAGCTCTGGGAAATGTGATGGAAAGGGATCAACTCGTAGAAAGCAAGGAATCGTCATAGGAACCATTACAGGTGGATCGTTTCTATTCACCTTAGCAGTCGGAATGCTGTGCAGTTGCTTCTACAGACGAAAATTCAAAACTCAGCAAAATATTGATGGGAAATCGCACCCGATGATAAAGAGTGAGTAGACTCATCCTTCTACACTCCTCCCTCGAGAAGATAAAAGACTAACTAATAATGACTCGTAGATTTGTAGACTGTCCACTGTCTACTGAGTAAATTCAATTAAATCTTTATTCTTTCTATATATTATTTGATTGAGAAATATGTAATTACATCTCAACAAATATCTCATACAAAATGCAGATGCTGTTTACTCTGTACCTAGCATAGATGTTGCTGCTTCGAAGTCGATATATATTCAATCCTTTCCACTAGACTACATAGAGAGTGCCACCCACAAGTACAGAACCTTGATAGGTGAAGGTGGGTTTGGATCCGTATACCGTGGAACTCTACCAGACGGTGAGGAAGTAGCAGTGAAGGTCCGATCATCTACTTCAACTCAGGGGACTCGGGAATTCGAGAATGAGGTAGACATCGATCGCACTTGCGATTTTCTATTTATTTATAGAACAAAAATGTATCATCTTGTTGCTATTTTTCCACCGAAGTTTAATGAAGTCTGTCTGACAACTGACATTCATTGTCACTGTTACAGCTAAACCTTCTGTCATCTCTTCGGCATGAGAACCTGGTGCCTCTTCTTGGTTATTGCTGTGAAAATGATCAACAAATTCTCGTTTATCCATTTATGTCTAATGGCTCTCTACAAGATCGCCTCTATGGTACTTTCCCATCGAAAAAAAAAAGAAAAAAAAACATACTGGTTAAGTCTGCTTTGACATTGATCTCTTCTTAACAAGTACTGGTTCCTTAACAGGGGAAGCAGCAAAGAGGAAAACTCTGGACTGGCCAACCAGACTTTCGGTTGCTCTTGGTGCTGCTCGAGGCAAGTGATATTGGGGTATTTAGCTTTTGTTACTTTATTATCTCTTATCGTACCCAAAGCAGAAGATACATAAAAAAAAAAAGGTTGCAAAAATGTCTGAACTCTGAAGGATGTTATCATTGTTTAGGTTTGACATATCTTCACACGTTTGCTGGGCGTTGCATTATCCATAGAGATGTCAAGTCAAGCAACATCCTTCTAGATCATAGCATGAACGCCAAGGTGACAGACTTCGGCTTCTCAAAGTATGCTCCTCAGGAAGGAGACAGTGGTGCTTCTCTGGAAGTAAGAGGCACAGCTGGATACTTGGACCCAGAGTATGTACACATCATTCACAGCTATCTATCTTGAATCTGGAATTCAATTCCTGAAGTTCCTTCAATACATAACCAGGGAATCGAATCAAAGCTTCTCTGCTTCTGAATCCTGGTTTATAACTCCATCTTTCAGGTACTACTCTACGCAACATCTATCTGCGAAAAGTGATGTCTTTAGCTTCGGGGTGGTTCTGCTTGAAATTGTAAGCGGACGGGAGCCTCTCAACATACACAGGCCACGAAATGAGTGGAGCTTGGTTGAATGGGTATGTCTTCTAGGTCAAGCTCTCTTGCGTCAATTATTTTTTATAATAAATTTGACTATTATTATATGATATTAAACTATTAAAGATATTATTACTTATTAGTATGATTAATTAATAAAACTATTAAAAATATATAAATCAAAATAAACTTATTAACAGTTGTTAAGGTATTCACGACATCGATTGCCGTGACCTTTATTTAAAACTATGTGTATAATTAGCATCTCTGCCAGGATTTCCATTTAAACCGACAAAAATTGCTTTCCTGCAGGCAAAGCCTTATATAAGGGAGTCAAGGATCGATGAAATTGTGGATCCAAGCATAAAGGGAGGGTACCATGCAGAGGCAATGTGGAGAGTGGTGGAGGTGGCACTAGTATGCATTGAGCCCTTCTCTGCTTATCGGCCATGCATGCCTGACATTGTTCGAGAACTAGAGGATGCTTTGATCATAGAGAACAACGCATCTGAGTATATGAAGTCCATAGACAGCTTAGGAGGATACAGCTTGAATGGGTCCAATCGCTTCACAATTCCCACAGAGAAGAAGATGGCTTTACCACCAGTGGCCCCAAGCCCACCAGAGCCTTCACCAGTCAACGCACAAGCCTTGGCTCCTCTAGAGCCGAGATAGCAGATGGACTGATGAGACGTGAATCTTTGAATGATGATCCGTTTAGTCGCATTATATGGCAGACTTTACAAGAGAGACTGTAATTTCCCGATGCTCTTTTACAAGAGATCACGTAACTGGCTGCAGATTTTATTTGCTAGGAAATTTTAATTACTCATTTTTTCCACTATTCAAGTAATAAACCTGTTTTTCAGCAAACCTTTTAGTGGATGTAATACGGATTTAGAATTCTGATCAGAACCATACATATTAGAATGAATTGCTAAAACCAGTGCAGATGTAGATCTTGTCAACCTAGACAACACAAGCATCATCTCAAAACAGTAGTCTAAGTGTCTAACGTCTAATCATCGCTGTTAAAAGAGACCAGGGAGCAAAAGGGAAGCAACCAAGGAGAAAGAAAAATATACAGCAAACGAGAAACAACAGAGGATTCCAAGAATAGAGAAGGAATCCAAGATCAAGGAAACACACCATAGAGACTAAAGAAAGACAACTTTGAGACCAAATAACGAGTAGCCAGCAAAAACAGGCAGAGAAAACACAGTAAGGAGCAGGACAAAAGGGAAGATCAAGAGGGAACCAGAAAAAACACAAGCCACAATACAAGAACTCCTCAACCTTCAACATTGCATTGCCATTGAGCTTCAGAAATCTCTCTGGTCTCTCTCTCAATTTGGCATACAAGAAAGTCAATTATAGCATCATCCCCATCGTTAGGTCCATGACCCGGATCACAAATTGAAAGGCAACCAATGAGTTTGAACAGTAACAACCCTACCAGTATGTTTCTTCTTCCAACCTGACTACTGAAGAGACTAACCCATAGAGAACTGTCTTCCTAGCCCTTAGCTCTTTCTTTCCCTCTTTTTCAACTAAGAAAGAAATCAGAGAGTAGAAAGCAGCATGTTAAGTTGAGGGTCAGAAGAAAGAAATTAACTATTAATTACTATCAAAGGAACAGCTAGTTGGAAGAAAACAGCTAACATAATACTCTCCGTTCATTGTTCAGCATATCCCTAGCACCTGCGCTGAGATGCCGATAAAGAAGCTTCATGCGTCATCTCAACATGAGGAGATGGATGCGATGCCACTGCTATAAATCCTCGAAAATCCTTCTCAAGATCTACTAACTATATCACTTGACTTCCTCCCATGTTCAGACAACCACAGTATAAAAAAAAAAAAAAAAAAAAACCTTCTCAAGACCTACTAACTATATCACCCTGACTTCCTCCAAAGTTCAGACAACCACAGCATCAAAAACAGCTCTGTTGTCTATTTTAAAACTGACAATGGAAAGTATTCCAAATACATTGAAAAATATCAGCTAGTAAGTAATAAAGTAGCAGCTCTGTTGTCTATTTTAAGATGGACAATCAGAAGTATTCCAAATAATTGGAGAATATCAGCTAGTAAGTAACAAAGTAGAAGCTCTGTTGTCTATTTTAAGATCGACAATCAGAAATATTCCAAATACATGGAGAATATCAACCAGTAAGTAATAAAGTAGCAGCTCTGTTGTCTATTTTAATATCGAAAATCGAAAGTATTCCAGATACATCGGAGAATATCAGCTAGTAAGTAATAAAGTAGCAGCTCTGTTGTGATCGACAATCGGAAGTATTCCATATACATCGGAGAGTATCAGCTAGGAAGTAATAAAGTAACAGCTCTGTTGTCTATTTTAATATCGAAAATCGGAAGTATTCTACATCCATCAGAGAATATCAGCTAGTAAGTAATAAAGTAGCAGCTGTGTTGTGATCGACAATCGGAAGTATTCCATATACATCGGAGAGTATCAGCTAGGAAGTAATAAAGTAACAGCTCTGTTGTCTATGTTAATATCGACAATCGGAAGTATTCCAAACACATCAGAAAATATCAGCTAGAAAGTAATAACGTAGCACCTCTGTTGTGATCGCCAATCGGAAATATTCCATATACATCGGAGAATATCAGGTAGCAAGTAATAAAAGAGCAACTAGAGTAGCATAAAAGCTGCGACAATCGACAATCCCTGGGAAAATTACAACTTCGAGACATGAAATGGAACAAATTCACACTATAATAAATGTTTTAACGTTACAGAAACTTAAAATGAAATCCAGACAACAAAGGAAGAGAAAGAGATGAGGAAGTGATCAAGAAGTGGTGAAAAGAGAAGGATTGGCAGAGGCAGTACTGACTTGGATTTCGAGAAGCTCTAAACGGCGCTCCAAGGTATCAAGCTTTTGATTGAGAGAAGACAACTTAGACTTGGTAGTTGCCTCAAATTGGGTGAGGAAATCGAAGAGACGACGGACGTTGAGAGAAATGTGAGAAATGAATTCTCGATTCTCCCAATCTGCTTGTACTGCTATCCCTACATTCACTGCGTTCGTTATCCCTCCTGCTCTTGCCATTTCTTCTTCTCCTATTCGATCCTTTTTTCTCCAGATCTGCTCTGCCCTGCTCCAGGCAATTTATATGAGTAAATTATATATTAGTCCCTCTAGTTTTTATAAATGAATTATTTAGTCCCACGTTTTTAAATTCTTCATGTTCCTTTTCGCTATTTTTCGACTTGTTTTGATTTTTTTATTTTAAGAAATAGTAAAAAAAAATTAAAGAGAAAAAATGAAATTTAATAAATAAAATAACCTTAAATTAAGCATAATCAACACTGTTAAAGACTTAATAAATATTTAGTTTTTGAAATAAAAAATCAATTAATTCATTTATAAAAATAGAGGGCCTAATTTATAATTTACGCCAACTCATAACTGTTGCATTTCTTTTCTCGCTGCTTTTTAGCTCACTCCATCTCCAGTCCACCTCGCCATCCCCTGGGGTCAACTTGGTAATTGTACTTTGCTTCGTCCCATTTAAGTTGACCTTTTCCTTTTAGATTAACGTAATCTAATCTTTCTTTCAAGGCAAGCCTTCATTATTACACTCCAAATTTAATATAAGTTTTTGGTACAATTTTTTGTTATTTCATCATTTTTTTTAATTCTCTTATACACAATACAATTATCGTATAAATTAATCTGAAAATATTTTTATTGGTGAATCAAAAAATTCTTCCTGATTCATGTTTTAAGGCTAATTTTCTTTCTAATAAAGCTTAAATAGAACATTTATAACCATAAACAGACTTCTGAATTCATGAAAAAATTTATAAATTAATAAAAATAACTATAAACTAAAAAACTAAAACCAGTAAGTATTTGTGCCTAACATTGCAAGTTTTAATCCCTTTTAAGTAACCACAACAAACACCAATATCAATTAGTAAGTTCACAAATAAACTTAGGAGCAAACCCCTGAAATGGATGAAAAGAGGATTTAGAATGGAGCAAAATTACCTCATTGGAATCATAGTTTTAAAAAGAAGTCACGGTTGAAAAAACAATCTCAATCGCGATCGCGGATAGCGACTCATCACGATAGTAAAATAATAATCGCGGCTACCAATGTCGTGAATATATTAACAACTCGTTAATAAGGTTATTCTAATTCTTATATTTTTAACAGTTTCATTAATTAAGTATACTAATAAGTAATAACATCTCTAATAGTTTAATATAATACAATAATAGTTAAATTTATTACAAAAAATAGTTAACAACACTTCTAATAGATAAATATCACAAAAAAAAAACATTACAATTAATAAATACATTTCAAAATATTCATCTTTAAAATAATCATAGTAAAAAAATATAATAATAGTTATATTTTTGTTATTGATGTTGTGATTCTTGTCTATCAAAGTTACAACAATAACTAGTTTTAAAAAGTAAATTAAAAAATAATATAAAATTAAAATAATAATAATAAGTTTTTAAAACAATAAAGAACACCTCATTTATTTTTTCAAACTAAAAGGACTAATTTATAATTTATTTAATTAAAGTAACATTTGCTTTGCAGCCTTTGAATTTGTACATGCAAGACAACCAAAGTAAAATAATAAAAGATTAAACCATACATTAATCCTTCTAGTTTTGATATATGAATAAATTAGCTTTAATATTTTATTCTATAAAATATTTTTTTCATCAAACGTTTTTATAGTATAAATTTATTTTTTTCATTTTTCTATTTTTAATATAAAAATAAAAATAAATTAAAAATATAAAATGAACAAAACAAATAAATTATTGATTTTTGAAATAAAAGTATTAACTAAATTATTGTTTCCAAATAAGAGGACTAATTTATAACTTGTTCAATCGAAACTTGCAAAAGCAGGTTTTTGATATTAAATTGCACGTGGGTTTGCTCCTTCTCAAAATAAAAATACTATTTTTCCAATTTCTTCTCTTTCTCTACCAGTTATCACCGCCCAAAGCTTCTCTCTGTCCCTCCTCTCAGCCTCTCTACATCTCATTTCTGCTTCCTTCTCGTCTCCGTCTCTCTCCCTCTTTGCCTCTCATCCTCTCTGCTTCTTTGTCTCTCATCATTGCTTGAATTTCATTAGCTAAAATGGCTGAAAATTTCAGCTGAAATTCTGGCCTTTTTTTTTCCATAACGCAGTTGTATAACGAAAAATAACGACATTATATAACGATAACGCCGTTATTTGCTGTTATATGTGTGAAATGGCATCGAGGCACCTATAACGCCGAAAAACGGTAACAGGATGTACCATTACAGTTATATGACGGCCATTACGTTACGTAACGACCGTTTTTTTAAACCATGATTGGAATACCTAAAAGCTTATTCAGGCTACTAGATCAGACTTTCTATTGGACAGGAGAAAAAACAAAAAGGAAAGAGAATAAAAGTGAGTAAAAATGAAGCAGGGAAAGTTGAATAAACCAAGTAAAGTTGGACCGGAGTAAGATGAACGAGAATAAAAGTGAGTAAAAATGAAGCAGAGAAAGTTGAATCAATAATAACCCCAAAGTTAAAGATTCACAAGCTCCTGGGTCAAATTTGATTCAAGAATCCTCAATCCCCTCAGGAACTAGAAACAGTTTATCACTCAATTCAAAGAAGAAAAGCAATGTATTTATGATAATTCAGAAGAGGTGTGCTAAACGAGCCTCCTCGGTGCCAACTAATATGATAATGCTAATTATGCGGAAGCTGTCGCAGATAACAAGCCATTGTGCCTGAGCAGTGCCTCTGGAGAAGGTTCACGTCCTCGGAATCCAACAAAAACCTTAACACAGACATCAAAACAAGGAACCTCAGATTCAAGACCATAGGAAAAACTATGTTTTGGAAGCCAATTATGATGCATAATAAATGTAAAGAAAAGCATTAATCTATATACAAACTAAGGAAAATGGAATCCACAGGATTCAACTAGGATCTCTTCATTTGAGACATGGCTTTAAATTCAATAATGTTAAGCAAAAAAATCCGAAGTTATTCCTTTATCTTTTTTTGGTTGGATTTTATAAATTCAATTTACCAAACAACTAGATAACTTGAATGAGCGCTTTATTTTTGTGGCGATGCTCAATTTTTTGCAATGTCTACCAATCTTCATGGATTAAGTTAGGTGTAATTTTCCAATCAAACTTTTACTACCATCCACCTGTTGAATTGTTTTGATTATTGGTCCATATAATGTTGTGTTTTCATAACCGAAGGTAAAAATATGCTATCACTAATTCTCTAAAAAAAAATTATTTATGCCTTGAGTAGAACAATCGTTTGGAGAATAAGTTTTTAAGAAAAAATTTGCTGGTGGATTAAAGCAACCAAAATGGTAGCTTCATCTAAATAATTTTCTATGATTTACATGGAAACTAGGTGAAAATGACGATTTAGAAAGTAAAAGGTTGGTCGATTAAAAAAAATAATAATAACATTAAACTATAGAGAGCTGAAGCAACTTGGAAATTCTTTTAATGGTTTCAGATTTTTTTTTTTCTGGTTTATTTTGGACTTTAGGTTCCTGTTATACATGAGAAATTGGCTAGCAAAACGACAAGAGCAATTCACCTGTGGCAGTACAGATATTAGTGCCCGGGACCAAAGATGTTATAACAGGTAATAACATCTTTTAATGCTGACCTGTTTTATACCACTGTTATAACAGGTAATAACATCTTTTAATGCCTCATGTCCTTGATTATCCATATCTTACAGATATTAGTGCCCGGGACCAAAGCATTACTATCGTTTAAATACACTTTACCACGTAATAACATCTTAATCACCCTAATTCTCCTACCCTCCATTTGGCCCAGGTCATCACCTCTGTCTATATTAGACAACAGCCCAGGACCACGACCATCGTGATAACAGGTCTTTATCACGTCTATGGTATGGGTCTTACATGGCCCTTTGCAGCCCACAGGAACACCCTTCTTGGACCGCCTTGTCTTGGGCTTAGAAGCCCTCTTCATACCACTAGGCCTCCCACGTGGGCCTACTGTGCGGGCCTTCCTCACTCCCCATATCGGAAGACGGCCCACTACCACATTTCCCCCATAGGCCTTTCCACTCCTCGTAGTCACCATTCGGCCTCCTCTTATCGCGTACTCTACCGTACCTACGTACAATACGTATCAACGCCACGTTAGCCTGCGGGGAATCGGGAAGGTGTCCTTCTCCGTTAAGCCGAGAGGACCTCTTCAATGGCGTCATCCGACACCTCTGCGTCTCCTCCACTATCCGGAGGTACTTGACAGCACACATGCAAATCATACCGAATAAACATTTGGGATAACCTCCTACACTCATGACTTAACACGATATTGCTCACTATCAATACGCAATAACAAAATATAATCACGGTGTAGAATACCTTCTCCACGTTCTCTCTCGGAAACTCTACGTATTCCATATGGAATACCAACGGCTATATACGCCTTTTATAGACATCTCATGCGTGGGACCACCTGAACATTCTTTATATCTTAGTATGTAAAGAATTACATGCTTCAGGTGAGCCCCATCTGCATGCCATGATTCAACTGGCGCGACCCTTACAAACCAGGAATCACGCATTCTTTGACCTCTTCCTTAACGAGAGGTCTTACCATCCCTGCATCGAGACACTCAAATCGCCCACCGCTTCACGGAAATACCTCATGAAGGGGGACAATTACCTTGAGGAGGGCGTCTTCTCCAGCAAGGGACGTTCTCCAGGAAAGAACCCCAATGGTATATGGAGAGACATTCTCCAACAGGCGACCGATGAACATTCCTTTTACGAATTAATCAAGGAACAACGCCCAGCGGATTTCATTCTCCGCTGGCCTGCCATCTCCGCATTCGCAAGGGACCACTTCCTCAAACGATTCACCCCCTACATTCCTCAATTCACAGATTTCCCGAAGCTCCCCTCCATGGTTCGCGACTGGGCAAACCAAAACATTATCTGCGTAAGTCGCCCCTTCACCCACCTGGAACTGTGTAATCAGTGCATGGGCCTAGTCCAACACGAGGCCCAATACGATATCATGGCCCAATATGAATCTTGAGCCGAACCTGACGACCCATCAACAGGGTCTTTTTCGGACACTTTCTTCCAATGTAACGAAGCCTTCTCTCCCTCTTACTGCAGGAGCCCGAGTCAAGGCCCATCCGACAAAAGTCCATCTACATCTGCGGACCATCCCGCACAGGAAAGACCCAATGGGCTAGATCCATGGGTCTACACAATTATTGGACAGCCCAACTGAAGTTCCACAACTTCAACGACAACGCTCTCTATAATGTCATAGACGACATTACGTATTCTCATATTAATACGGATATTTTAAAAGCAATTGTAGGATGCCAGTCATCCATTACTGTTAACATTAAATATAAGCCCGATAGGACTATTAATAATGGTTTGCCTTGTATTATATTATGTAATCCGGATATGGATTGGGAAGAATCTATGTCGGTCGCTGTTAAGACGTGGTGGAATATGAACGTGATCTCCTATCACATGGTGGATGATGAGACATTCTACTAAGTCCCAATACCCCGACCTACCGCCAAGGGCCACCCCCTGCCCTACCGGCCTTATCCATAAACATATTCATTGCTTACGCTATTTTGTATTTCGAAGTGTTATATTTCGTATATTGTTATTCAATAAAACGTCATCGTTTCAATTACATTAATTGTTTTTTATTCTTCTCCTCCATCTCTTTATTGACTCTTAGAAGCCCTCTTCATACCACGAAGACGTTGGGTCGTTGACCAATTCACTAGAGAATGGGCTTTTGATGTACTACGCATGCTCAGATCCAACGCATCAGATGAATATATGTATGCAGAGCCGATTGTATTTCTTTGACAGTACGTCGAATTAATAAAATTATCGATTAGATGTTTTTGCAGAATGGAGGTGGCTCAGGAGAGTTGTTTAAGAGATTATCACAGCACAAAACGGATTGAGTATCCGTTGAGCGATGAGTGGCACGCATGAGATGTCTATAAAAGGCGTATATAGCCGTTAGCAGGTATTAAAGCGTGAGTCCCACGCATGAGATGTCTATAAAAGGCGTATATAGCCGTTGGTATTCCATATGGAATACGTAGAGTTTCTGAGAGAGAACGTGGAGAAGGTATTCTACACCGTTATTATATTTTGTTATTGCGTATTGATAGTGAGCAATATCGTGTGATAAATCCTGGGTTGTTGTCTAATATAGACAGAGGTGATGACCTGGGCCAAAGGGAGGGTAAGAGAATTAGGGTGACTAAGATGTTATTACGTGGTAAAGTGTATTTAAACGATAGTAATGCTTTGGTCCCGGGCACTAATATCTGTAAGATATGGATAATCAAGGACAGGAGGCCAGGCAGTGAGCATGTGGGGTTCGCCTCATTAATGGATATGACGGATGCAGAACCTCTATCAGCCCTTATAAAAATGGATTATAGAGATAGATTTATATATACAAGCTAAAGTCTATCACAACGAGCAGAGGCTTCACACAAATATATTTTATCATGATGCAATTTATCCTAGGCATCTTAGTATTTTTTGGTCTACTTTTGTTGCCAACCTATGTCTTTGTAAAAGCATTCTCATTGTTATTTATTTGCTTTTCTTTTCAAGCATCAATTGTTAGTATTCATTTCCTAAGTCACTATTTTTTAGCTATAGATTCTCTTCATTTTAAGCTTGCCATGGGAACTTCACATTAAAGAGGAAAAACTTACCATTGAAATCTCTCTTTTTGTTGAATTTGGTGTCAGGGGCAAGAATCACACATTTATTCACTTGCTGGAACTGCTAGCTTTTTTAATGTGATTGGAGTTATAGTTACATGCTTTTTTTTTCTTTTTTTTTCTTTTTTATGCAAGAATCAGGCCAAAAAACAGGATAAAGTAGTGCGAATGTAGGCCAAAAATTGAAGTTGTATCAAAAGGAAAGAACAGAGCAAAATCATACAAAAATTTTCTTATTGACAGCTTGTGAAGAGAGGGAGCATAAGTAAATGAAATGCAGCAAGAAATATGGTTTTTATTTTCTGACCTCAAGTGGTGCTTTTCCACCTCCAAGAGCAAGAATGGTTTCCCGGAACTTGTGCCCTGTTTCTTTAACAGCCTGTTGCATCACAAAGCTTCATTATTACAGGCCATACTTGCATTGCATGCAAATGAAGAGAGAGAGAGAGAGAGAGAGAGAGAGAGAGAGAGACTTAAGGAGATGTAATTGCTCATGTCAGCCTTAGGTTCCTATTATGATAATATAAAACTCACGGTGACATAACAAACTCCAAATAAACGCATTGGTATGGCAGAATTCTAGATAACAACTGGAACAAGAGATACAACTTCAAACTTAAAGAGGTTAGGGATCCCATCTCAAATTGCATAAGAATTCCAATGTCAACCCGATTTCATCCATATCCCCAAGCCAAGACTCATTGCTGTTTATCATAAGGATCAATCATAATTTTGAAGCAGGATTCATAATTAACTCCTACATCAATGAGACGAAATAGAGATATTTGGCTTGCTGAACTCCAGGCAGGACTCATCAGGGAGGGTTCAAACATTCCAATTAATCTCTTGACACAGATTAAAACACACCATGCGAAAGCACAAATAAATTCAACTAGGTACAACATGGAAAGAGAATGTAAAAATTATATTCTGATCAATGCACACAAATCAAAGACAAGAAATTAAAAGTAAAAGATCAGTGGCAAGACTGCAAAGGTCAGTTGGACAGCCCTTTATGCATACCTTGCTGTTATCCAATCCAGCATCCTCAAAGGCTGAGAAAGCATCTGCGGATAATACCTCAGCCCACTGCCAAAAGAACTTGTCTTTAAATATTATACCAAAGGGTACCAAAACAAGGAGAGGAAACAGAATATACATTGCAGTCAAACTTCCTCGTTTTCTTTTATTGTCAGAAACATGAAATAAAACAGAGAATTGTGCAGGCTCAAGCCAGAATGTGTTTGGACCTATAGAAGGTTAACATTTAAGTCGCATATGGAGAGCCTACAAAAGGACCATAAAGAAGCTGAGGAAGAAAACTTTCAAGATATTCAATTTTTTCAACCAACAATGACTTGGACAACTATGAGCATAACTAACATTGCAACATTCTTTTCAACACTAACTGCAGGTATTGCTTGTGTGTGTGTGTGTGTGTGTGTGTTACGACATGTACCTTGTAACTGTAGTATCCAGCTGCATAACCGCCTAATATTCACAAAAAGAATAAAAATCAATGCAACGTAACAAGGAACGAAGTTAAAACTGAGAAATTCAAATAAACATTACAATCAAGCAAACCTGCAAAAATATGACTGAAACTACAGAGGAATCTATCTTCTGGCAAAGGAGGGATCACTTGTGTCCTTTTAGAGACCCTTTGGTCAACATCATAGATGGACTCCGACCCACCTGGTATGTACTTTGTGTGCAACTCCAAATCTAAACTTGCAAATCTTAGCTGAAATATAAATAGAGTGAGTAAACACGCATTCACAAAAATTAAACTATCTAAAATATAGTATACGTTTCTCGAACATAATATCTTCACTTGTGAAAATGTGGGAAATTAGCAACCACAAATCAAATGACAGGAGAGGTTTATTTCCATGATCCTATCTTCTAAATCAACAAAAAAATGTTAAATGCGTTCCACATGACATTTTTAAATAGTAATGGACAAACACTCTCTCTTGAATTCCTGTTATTAAGTTCTTTCCTCTCCCTGTCTATATGTAAGTGAAAAAAGGAAAAAAGAAAAATCCATGGTGTTCCCCCTTACCATGTCTGTCAGTAAATCCTACAGTCAAATTTTATGATCGAGACAACAGCACCAAAGAGATGAACATAAAGAAAGCCAGTTGAAATATCTCGAGCTTTAGTTTTTTTCAGTTAAATTTTAAAAAGAAATTCATCAATGGCATACTAAGTTTTGAGGACCAAACACTCACTTCCATGGTGTCAGGAGAGAGGAAAAGAAGTTGCCAAAAAATGTAAAAAAAGGCACGAGGGTCCTATTTATTGTTTTGTTGCTTATTTTTTAGAATATAAGGTGTAAAAATAGACCCTCCTTAATGCAATATACATGATAATGGTATGATGGTAAAAGAAATAAGTATCGCTACTATCTTGACACTTGAAAAAGAAAATGAAACCTAATATAGAAAAAAAAGATCTAGTAAGAAATGTACTATCCTGAGAAGACTAATGAGAAAACAAAATGAAAGTACTTCATATAAAAACACACAGCCAAAAAAGTACAAAAGGGAAACAACGGGAAAGCACCATTGTGACTAATTACCTGACGAAGACTAAGGGAGCCTGCTCTAAAAGTCCTTGCAGCAAGAAGCTTCAAATACACTTCTTCAGGAAGACTTTCCCCAGTTTCATAGTGCTTTGCAATGCCCATCAAAGTTTCCCTGCAACAACATGTAAATACATTCACATTGCATACATTTATAATTGATACTATCTAAATACATGACATCCTTCAAGAATATTTATATACATCCAAATTTCCATGATAGATCAAATTATGAATTTATAGACGAAAGTTACGTCAAAATTCTTGTCATTGGAAAATCACAGTTCCTATGTCTTGCTATGTAAGTGAAGAGAAAGAAGCTATAAGAAACAAACCAGTCTACTGTAGCTATGGAGCATTTATCCACAAGAAAGAATGGAATAAAACAGGAAGCTTAAGCTTTTGTGGTACGAGCCATGACCAAACTTGTTAAAAGTTTTACTCATAATCATGAACCTTGTACTCACAGAAATTAATCCTGTTCTTTCCTCAGAGCTGTTTGAAAGAATTATACTACCAAATGTTATTAGAGTTCAATCTCCACTGAGGTTCACATTACATTACCTATGATAACACCAATTTTCCATGAACTGGGAGGGTAATTCAACAGCATCCCACTCTATACCCCGGATGCCAGCAACAAGACCCTCATCCTGCTTGGTTAGCATATGCTGGAGGGCATGACCAAATTCATGGAATACAGTCTCAACCTGCAAAAAGTGTCATCAGTCCTTGTAACTAGGTTACAATCTATAAAACCACACCACTCACTGCAATATCCATTCCCATTAGTAAATTGCCCGATATGCCTTCCTTTCTAAAACAATATCCAACTTCCCTTTTCAAAAACACGTAACTCCATAATAATCAAACAAATCAATTCAACATAAGGATATATCATTCTTCATTCCATGAAAGCCAGATATGTGATAGCTAGACATGAAAGAAAATATACACATATTGTTGCATCATTCTACCAATATTTTGAGTTATTATATCTGAAACTTATGCATGTTTGTGGAGAGAACGCTTGTGTCCCTAATCTAAAATCAAATGTTAACTTACCTCCCGGAATGTCATCAGGCTTGGTTTGTCCCCAACTGGTGGCGTTTGATTGCACACCATGTGGGCAATAGGCAACCTTGGAGCAGTACCATTGCGTGACAAAACGCGACTTCGAGAAACTACCTCATCCATCCATGCACCACCCCGTTTCTCGGATGGACGAGAATATGGATCAAAGTAGAAGTATGCAATTGGACTGCCCAAGGAATATTTGACACAGTAGAATTTAACATCATTATTCCAAACCTATTACACAACAAATGGTTATTGAAAGAGTGTAAAATAAATAAGCTCCATCACAAACAGAAAAGCAGAGTAAAAATGAAGTAAATGAAATATATTACCGGAGCAAGACCATCAGCCGGTTCAATATCAATTCCAAAAAGTGTCTTTGCAAGGTTGAAAAGCCCATCCATAACCTTTGGCAATGAGAAAAATGGACGAAGTTCTTCCTGCAGAAAATAAACCAAGAGACACATGCATTTCCACACAGAAAGAAATAGGCAAGCAGATGAAGCAAACAACAGAAGGTGAGAAATTAGAACATTGAAAATAATAATCAGCAACACTAATCACACACATGCTGTTGCACTTGTGGTCACAGAGTCAAGGGCTGTTCTAGGCACTATATCATGGTAGCAGCCTATATTGTCCATCATGCAACAGGTTATAAATAATGTAGCGGTCGTCTAAAAGTCCATTGAATGGCAGTGTAACAGCAATGGAAGAAATTTAAAACTACGTGCACATATGGATCCCCCCATTGTTATATTCCATTTCAGAACAAAAATTGTTTTTTTTTCTTGAACTTAATTAATGAATTTGTTGGAAAATCAAGTTATTCTCCCTGCAATTTTGAAAAGGGACTTTTGGAACACCAATAGGCATTTAATGAAATAAAAATCCCTTGTTTCTTTTTTGCCTTCTAGTGAAACAATTGAAACGAATGAACTTTTTCTGGAGCATCCTCAGGTTTAGGTATTGTTCATCCACTGCTTGTAGTAACAAGCACTTCTTGGCAAGACTGTACTTCTATTTTAATCTAGATTTCTAATGCAAATATAATTTGAAATCATTGTATTCCTTATTTTTACTATTACAATATTGGCTGCAACAAATCCTTTTCTAATTTGATAAAAAGCTTAACGCCTCACATTCTTATCACTTCATTGCCCGAACATTCGATGAAGTGAAATGAAAGAATTTGTTTAAAGACAGCAGGAATGCATTTCACCATCAAAGAAAAGAATTAATTCTGCATAGAGTTTCTTATCTATTATACCAACTCTTCTTTCTTCAACAATAAGAATTAAATCAGTTCCTTACCCACCTTTAACCATGATTATGTGCATAAAAAATCAGCATAAACATAAAAGTTAATATACCTTTTAAAATACTAAACTCACCCTACCAAAAACAAGCATACATAGGTCGATGAATAGCATGCTAATAAACTATTATTGGAGGAAAATGTCAATTTTTCAGAGCCAGGTGAACTTGAGAGAAGGCTTACAGAAAGAACACAAATCATAGTTTGACATACAAACCAGCAACATGCTTAAATCAAAACCACACCAAAATATAAGCAGAGTGAGAGTACGGATGCAGAGAGAGAAAGAGCAAACCAACCTCATTGATATCATATTTTGACTCACGAAGCCTCTCAGCCCAGAAGCTGGTATCCCAGTGAGTCAAATCATTTGCTTCCACTGCACCTTGACTTTTGGAGAAAGTTTTAAGGTCTTCCATATCTACAAAGATAATAGAAATGATCTAGCTGTGAGAGTCTGAAGAAGAAAATGAAACAATCAGAAATGATTTATTGTGTTGTGATGTTTGAAGATATGGGTATTGAATATCTAGCAAACTGAGGTCTTGATGCAACGCAGGCACCAAGTGGCAGTGAAAAATTGTCCTAGGCAAGCACCTATTGATAGTACAACTCTCCCACAAAATCAAGATGCTAGTACACCTGAAAATCTTCAACTACCCAATTATCAATGCAAAGAAGAGCGCAAGTTTGAACCACAACATATAGCATATTACTAAAAGAGTTCAGGTTGAAGTTCCAGATTTTGAAAGAGAGGTAGATCCTACAGTTGATGGAAGCCTACCTAAATCAAGATGCTAGTACAGCTGAAAATCTTCAACTAGCCCAATTACTCATGCAAAGATAGGGTAAGTTTACAGTCTCACATATAGCAAATGATATTACTAAAAGAGTTAAGGTTGAAGTTCCAGATTTTCATTAATTGGATTCACTCCATTGAAGCATTCTCTTTGATTGGTGCAATATGAAACATGATCATCTAGTGAGTTTGGGAAGATTGAACTTGATGGATTGGCTAAGATGTGGTGGTATGGGGTCAAGCGTGACTTATTTAGATTGGGACATGCATTGTTGAGTATTTGACATGAGATGAAACCCAAACTCAAAGAAAAGTCCTTACCATCCAATTACCTTCAGAGTAGTACAAGAAAGCCAACACTATACAGTAGGGCAACATTTTAAAAGATAAATATGTTTCAAATTTTGATGAAATGAAGATTAAAAGCCAAGTTGAGGACAATTCAAGAAAGAAGCAACTAGAAACAAGAGCTTTAGAGGCAGAAAAGTTAGCACAACTAATAGAGAAGCTATGCAGGGAAGTCGTCAGCTTGTATGACAACGTGAGAACAGGACCAGCAACCTAAAGGGCCTAAAAAGCAAGTACAAACAATTGAAAGGGATGCTGAAAATTCAGAAGAGCAAAGTTAGCAACCAGAATCTTCAAATTGGAGTAAATAGCAGACAATAAGGTGAACTTTTGACAATGAGAACATTCATAGTTTCTTCCCAAAGAAAAGGTTAAACAAGAAAGCAAGGGATTCCAGGTTGAGAATGTCAATGAAAGCAAAAATATAAAGAGAAATCAGCCTCTAATCAAGTTAATACAAAGCATAAAGAGCTAAGTTTTACAGTTGATGAAGCTGAACTAAAAAGGAACAAGATAAGTCCGATTTTGAGGTAGAGAGGAGAAATTTGTACAAGCATAGCAGATGGAGTTCATTATTGCTTATTTTGATGATGCAATTGAAAGCAAACATGTCATACCATGAGCAATGCTGCCACCTACAAAAAAGAGATCTTGGTGTCTACTTCAAGGATGTTGTGTTGAGGCAAAGATGTTACCAGAATATCAAAATTTCCAGTTTTCCGCTTTGGCAATTCAAAATTCGGGGTTGAGATTTCTCTAACTCAGGGAGAATGATGCAAACAAAATGAGCAATCTAAATAAGCGCAAATTAATGTGATTTTGAAGATATGTTACTAGTTTTTAAAATATTACAGTTTTCTTGGTTAGGTTATTCCTATTCTAAATAATAATGGTATCTTCTCCCATCCTTTGGCTAATTTAAGGTTGATCCTCGATCCCCTTGAAGTGCTCAAACCCGTTTCCTTCTTCTCCCACCTTTTTTCAAGTTTCCCAGACTTCCCTAAGCTAAGACCCTAGGGTTTTATAGTTGGTATCAAAGCAACTTTCCTATGGATGCCATTAACCTGTAAACAAAAACAAAATCTAGGAAATGCAATCCTACGTGATGTCATTAGAAAGTTGAATGGAGTCTCAAATCAAATCTGTAGCTCAGGCTGAACTTGGAAAACAGGTAGAAGAATTGAACACATTTTCATATTCTTCTTACAAAATCATTTCATAAGGCACACTCTGTTTATGTTACCAATCACCAAGAGCAGATAGAGATGCATGGAAGAGGTTATCAGGAAGGGCATAAATTTGGTCCACCGAGTATGAAGTAGAGTTCCCTTGATGGAAGGAGGTGATCCCACAGGCTGGATTTCTAGAGCTGAAAAGTATTTTCATTATCACTGTACACACTGGTTTCCAAAGTAGAGATAGCTGCTATCATTTAGGAGTTAGGACAATGATGGTATTCAGTGGTATTATTGGTTCTGTTGAATGCCTACATGGAATGACATTGTTGCATATCTTCTTGTTTGTTTTGGGCCAACAGATTATGAGAATGTTGATGGAGAACTTGCTAAGATCCGTCAGACTACTACTGTCATGGAATATTGGAGTCGATTTTTTTTTTTTTTTTTTTTAGATGTCATAGTCAAGCTAAGGTTTGGAATGAAAGACGGTTGGTTGGCACATTTATATCAGGCCTCCCTTGACATCCATTGTGAACTCAAGTCTAGTCATCCAAGAACGACTACTACAATTTCTTTTCCTAGATCAAAAGAAAAAAGGCTTGGTTAAGAACATTGGCACACAAACAAAGTTGTTGGGAAGCAAGCTGTCAGCAACACTAACTTGCCACATGCACCTATACGTTCTTTTACCAAGCATCTCACACATTAGGAACTTAAGGAATGGTCAGCGAAAGGTTTGTGTTGGCATTGTGATGAAAATGGTATAAAGGACATTTTTGTAAGCAGGGCAGACTCTTGATGATTTCCCCGATTGAAGAAGCAGTAGAAATTGAAGGGGATGAAATTAGATTTACATTTTAATTCATTGTTGACTTTTCACTTATAATTGAGGAGTTAATTTTGGTAGTCCGTTAAGCACAAGGATTTGCCTATTCAACGTTTAAATTTCCTTTTATGACCTGGATTCTTGGCTTGGTGACAAATGAAGACTCCTATAGATACTATGGGACTTTTCCAGGCAAGCAATGATCAAAACCAAAGCCTTTGGCTAATTGGAGATTGATCCCCTCAAAGTGATCAAACCTTTTTGGTATTCTCCCATCATTTTTCAATTTTCCAATACTTTCCTAAGATAAAAGGGTTTTATCAAGATACTCTGTTCACAGTCCCAAAGAAAACCCTGTATGCTATCCTGCATCATAGTTTCTTTCCAACTAAGTGTGAATTTGCCTTAAGAAAGGAAAATTTTTTGAGAAGTTGGAAAAGGCGATCTAGAATATGCAATTTTTTAAGTATATAATAACCTTGAAGTTTAATACAACCACAATCACAAACAGACAACGAATGTCTGACATTTTACTTAATGCAGATTTTTCATATAAAAAGCTGGCTAAGTAAATAAAAACACAAGTTTTCAAGAAAACAGTCGCAAATGAGCAAAACTCTTGACAAGCAAAGTTTCACTTAAAGTTCAAAAGTATTGCAAAAAGGCGATGCCACCAAAGTCCTACAAAATATAATAAGTTACCTTGAACAGCAGCATCCCAAGAAGCTATGCGCAGCGTTTCTAGTAGCTCTTCTGCTTTCTCAACAGTAGCCATTTTGGTTGCCATGCTTACCTGTAATAAATAACCGAATAAGCATATAAAAGGTAGCTTTGAGCTTTAACATAACAATGAATCACACCTCAGCATAGTTGTTGTAATTCAGGAGCTTAGCCTTTTCCAGCTTAAGCTTCAATATTTCATCAATAATTGCTGTATTATTCAGATCACCGCTTGAAGCTCGAGTTACGTAAGCACGGTAGATTTCTTCACGTAAACCACGGTTTTTGGCATGTTGCATGACAGACATAAAGCTCGGTGCATCCAATGTAATTATCCATGGTCCATTCTCAGCGGTTGCATCTGTATGCCCCTGATATGATAACATATAATAGAAAACAGTTTATTAGATTTGATTAATTAAACCAACTTGCATAGATAATGACATCTAGTACCTTAGATACTGCAGTCTGCGCAGCCAAACCTAGTGCTGTAGCAGGCAAACCTTCAATATCTTTCTTATCTGTTATGAGTTTTTCAAACTTCTTTGTGGCATCCAGTACGTTTTCCGCAAATTTTTGTGATAGTCTTTCCAGTTCCTGCAAATTAAATCGACAATTAAGAAGCAGGCAATGAGCAATGCAAAACTAAGACTTCCACTGAATGGTAATTATCATTTAACTTAAGAATGTGTTCTAATTCTTCGTAGCATATGCACATAACCAAGCATCCTTCTCAAATAAATAACTAAAACGAGAAGGAAAAGAAGACTGTCTTTCAAACAGAAATTGTTAATATAAAAGCACCTGCTCAATTTTGTTAAACTGCTCTCTTTTATCATCATCAAGAGCAACACCATTAAGAACCGCTTCTTTTATTTGGGCTGTATTCACAAAAATACAGAAGCCGTCAGACATGCAAGACAGCTTAGGTGTAATCTTAAATGATCACGTCACACCAATTAAATGATCATGTCGCACCAATTAAATAGGAAGCAAGGACACTGCAAATGATACAGCATTTATTTGGTAAGCAGTACCCCAGGTGCAAGACAGAGTACATCTAGTTGATAAATAGTAATCTGAATTTTGTTTAAGAGTACATCTAGTAATTGATGAGGTTCAATGAAACCAACATATCAACACGAGTTCATGAAATATGCAACCATTAAAAGCAATTTCCACATCCATTCAAGTCACAACTGACCAGTATTGGTGGAGATAAAAACTATTAACATGATTTATAATTTTCTTTTCTTCCCTCCTTCCATGTTTCAAATTCATACAATCATTCTCAGAAATCTGCATAATCCTAGTACGTTATTCTACATGTAGATGCTGCCACAAAATTGCATCTTGTGGCCTTAGAGGTATAGAAACATCTCTATTTGTTGAAATCAACAGCTAGCACATGCTCATTTCATTTGTTCTCTGATTGCCATGCTCCCAATTCCCAAAGAACAAAATAATCACAGATTTAAAGTTGCATGCTTTACAATGATCTAAATACGAGAAGCAGATCATGGAACCCTGCCTTGGAGTGATAAACTCATTTAATACCAGATAAAGGCACCAAAAAATTATGAGCAATAGCATATGGATGCAGTCCAGGTGCAATGCAACTCCATCCAAACTAAACAAGAACGCTGCTACCCCAACATGCAAAACAACCCCTGCAATGGACTTCTTTTTCCTCTTTCAAAGAAAGATTTTAAGGCAACACCTATTCTAGTGAACCCACCCCACCAATTTAACACTAAAGCCAATAATCAAGAATGATCCAGCAACTAAACTTGTTCACGGACATCATACCATATAAATTCAGCAAACCAATGAAACTATTAGACTAAAGTCTAAAATTAACAAAATCCAGACAGCTAGGAAAAAGCATAGAATTAGGTGGACGAAAGATGGACGAGCACATAATAATATTTCAGACAACAAGAGAAGTTCTTACATTCCACTATACGTTTCTGAGCATCGCTTAGTGATAGCCATCGAGGAGAATCTTGGATGGCCTTAAATGCACCGTATATTGGTTTACTTTGTCCCAGCCTAAGCTGAAACTTGACTTTTTCTGGCTGTAGACAAAAGCTAAAAGCTGTGAGCACAAGAAGGGCAATGCAGTGCACAAATTCATAAGAGGGGCGATAAACAAATTAATGCAGACAATGATCTGATATCACACCGGACATAAAGCTTCATACAGCCATTTTCCAAGTCAAGTCAACATATATTAGGATTCAAGGACATACATACACAGACATACATCTGCGTACAAGTGCATAGAGGATGAGAAATAAACAATTTACCTGAACTTCTTCAATTGCAGCACGGAGTTCTGGTGAGTCTTTAACAGCCTTAAGATGATTGATCATACCCCAAACAACAGTCAACTGATCTATAATCTTCTCCAATGGCTCTACCAATTTTGGCCATGTTGGCTCCACTGTTCTCTCCAATTCCTCCAAATCACTCTCCTACAAAACCACCATAAAAAAATTAACCATCACAGACCGAAAAGGATCACATTTTGATCAACCCATAAACTAGAACTAATACAAGATTTCTACATAATAACACAAACCCAGAATCCAAAAAAGTTAGCAAAAAAAACCCAGAAACCAAAACGTCCAAAAAAAACATACAAGGTTCTTTAGGAGAGCACGAATCCCAGGTCGAACATGTTTAGCCTCCACAACATCAAAAGGAGGAAATTCAAAGTCTTGCAGTAAAGGATTGGCCTCATCAACAGCAGCAGCCATAGAAATTGAAGGAGCAGAAACTGAAGAAGAAGAAGAAGAATAGCAATTAGAGATAGAGAGGGGGTTGGTCTTGTTGATTTGTGAAGAGTTTGGAGACAGAAGGAGAATGAAGAAGACCAAAGAGGGCAAGGATGAGATTTGAGAAAATGATTGGGGGTAAAATGGGAATAGGGGAAGTTTTTGTTTTTGCCTTTTAGGATTAGGGTAGGGTGGAATGAGCGGGAGAGAGAGATGCGTGAAGCCATGACTAGGAGAAGGTTTACTATAAGGAGAGCTCCTACTAGATGGACTTTTCTAACATTACCCATTTCTTTGCACTTTCTAGTTTTCATTTTCTGTACCTTCGTGTGTTGTGCATTTCATTAGGATTAATTGTATATTTCATCCTTATATTTTTTATGTTTTTTAATATGATCCCTCTATTTTTTATCCAAACCCTCTATTTTAGACAATTTTTTTAACCTGGTCTTTTCGTTATGATTTCATCAAATATATATATATATATATTAAATGTTGACGTGTCAAGTATATAGAATTTTATGCTCAAAATTTTTGAAAAATAAAAGAAAACTGGGAACAGATGATAAAAAAATTGAGAAACACTACAAAAAATTCAAATTTACAATTCGGAACATTCCAAAGAATTTCAAAAAAAATAATTAGATTGAAAACGTTTTAGAAAGAAATGGCGTATTTTAAACATTTTTGTCATAAAAGAGAAAAAAATAAAAATATGCTAAGTCACCATTTTTTTTTCATTTTCCTTTTCAAATTTTCAATGAAGGGTGACTTTAATTTTTTAAAAGGTAAAATTTTAACTTTTTTTAATTTTTTTTTATAAATATTGACCTTTATATCTTCTAATTCTTTGTATGTTTTAATTTTTTGCGTTAAATCTTTTTAAAACAAAAATGATAAAAAAAAATAAAGAATTGTGATTTAACATATTTTCATTTTTGTGTTTTTAAATTTTTAGTAATTGTTTAAATAGTTCATTTCTTTTTCTTTCCTTTTTCTAAAGGCTTTACAGTTTATTTTTTCCATTTTTCAATCTTATATTTTGTTTTCGATTTTTTTTTTATAGAATTTTCAAATTTGTAATTTTTTATTTATTTATAATATTTCTCAATTTTTTATAATTTTTACTTTTCTTTTAGTTTCCAAAATTTTCAAAGCAAAATTATATATTTTGACACATGTCCATATTTGAAGAAAAAATTAAAAAAAATCATAACAGAGGTAGACGGTCCAGATAAATAAAGAAAAATTAGAGGGAACTTGCTTAGAAAATATTAAGAGTAAAGGGATGAATGTGAGATTAATCCTATCTCACTACTAGGGGTGTTCACTACTGTGAGAGAGAGTGAGTATGCTTGAAACTGACCATCTTAATGTTAAGACCAAACAACCCTTCTTCATGAACTCTCCTAATTAACTCTATAATATTTTTGCCCTTTTGATCATTTTCTTTCTAATCTCTTACCAAACTCTTACTTGAAATTTCTTTTTACCTTAAAAAAAAAAACAGTAATTAAAACTGCTTAGTAATTATGTATCTCTGTATCTTTCTTGACTTATAACTTAATTTGTTTAATTAAAACCAAATTTCCCATAGCTTGTATATGTGTTCGTCTGATTTTTTTTCACCTGAAATCATATTTCAAGACTTTCTGTGAGAAAAGAACAAAACTTAAAATTTCACTAGATGCCAAAAAGATAACATCAAATTAATTCATTAATTAATCACAAAATCACTTGATCGATCATGGAAGCTTCATTTAATTTTTAGTCTTGCATTGTGAAATCAATTTTTAAATATGTACAGCTTTTTTTTTTTCAAATGAGTTAAAAAAGAAGCCATATAATTTTAATCGAAGTATTTAAAGAATTAAATTTAAAGCGCATGGAAAGTAAAATAAATGAAAAAAAATTAATTATTATTGAAAACATTACTCAATTACTATGCAAGTTTGATATCGTTTTTAAAAAGCAAATTAACTTGGTTTTTAGAAGAAAAATGTAAAAATAAAAAATAAAAAATAAAATTGGTTTTCAACCGAAAACCAAACCAAAAAATTTGGTTTTTAAACCAAAAAATTAAACCTTAATTTGATTCGATTTCAGTTTTTGTTTTAGTCAATTCGATTAACCGAAAATAAAAATAAAAACACCGAAACCGAATTGAAAAACGGAATGATCAGCCAGGTCTCTTTCTCCTCCCCCTTGTGTAATTATGCAATAGCGTCAAAATCTTGCGATCATTTACATAAATATTTAAATAGAATCGTCTATATTAATCGAGAATCGGTCAAAATATTTCAAAATCGAACCAAAAAACCAAACGAGCACCCCTACTCACTACTACTTTCCTCTAGAGTAAATTTATATTATTAGTCTCTTTAATTTTTAATAACTAATTAACCAGTCCCTTTAGTCTTAAAATCATAAAATAGTCCCTTTACCTAAATTCATAAACACATGTGGTAATTTCTTAGAAAATTCCCAAATTACCCTTTGATAGTTCAACGTCATCTCCCTTGTTTATAAATTAGAGAAATTATTATTGAAACTGGTTCACCACAAAAAAAAATAAAAATAAAAATATGGCAAACCAATCGTGAGATGACACACCATCTCATTTAGCCACATCTTCAACTTTAAAATAAATAAACAACAATAACTAAAGTATGGTATTTAAGGCATTTGCTCCTAATTTTAGCTATTTTGGTCCCTAAATTACTATTTTTTTGAACAAATGTTATTTTTCTTCCGTTATTTTTTACAATCAAGATATTAAATGGTGACTTAAATATTTAAACAAAGTCATTCAAATATTTCATTTTTTTCTTGTAAAATATATATATATATATATATATATATATATATATATATATATATAAAAAATAATGGTTAATACGAATAACATATCGTCATAATATATTGACGGCATGTCATCTTGATATACTATTAAATCAACCGGGTTGATTGAACTAAACAAAGAAAAAGAGAGGTTGCACTATTAAATTAAAGTGTTGTTGGGATTGTTTCTATAACTTATGTTTTCCAATAATAATTTTTTAGAGCCGATTCATGTCTCCTTTCTCGTTCTTGACTACAAACTCATGATTTGATCACTTACAATTCATTTTTCTCGCTCCATTCAATTTAATTAATTCAATTGATTTAATAGTATCTTAAAATGACATATCGTCTCATATTAATTAGGACGACATGTCGCCCGTATTAGTCATTATTATATATTTTTACAATTAATTTTCTTTTGCAACAAAATAAATAAATAAAATAATTAAGCGACTACGTTTAAATTTTTAAGTTAACGCTCAATGCAGAAAAAGGAGAATATTTGTCAAAAAAATAATATTTTGGGGTCTAAACAATCCAAATTGATTGGAAGGCCTTAAATTGTTATAACTCTAATAGTTTGGGGATAATTTTTGCTGATAAGGTTACAAGTTAAGGATCAATATTTTGACTGTAAAAAATATACGTGGAAGGATAATATTATAAAAAATAATAATAATTTGAGATCTAATTAACTCAAATTGATAATAAAAATCTTAAATTACTATAACCTAATATAGTTCAGAGCCATTAAACCGTTTCGTCATTTCAAACTGTTTCGTGAGCCATTAAACCGTTTCGTCATTTCAAACCGTTGATCATGACAAAGATAAAAGTCCATTCAAGCAGCAATTAATTTTTAGCATATCTTTTCCGTAAACCTTGGATGTCAAATGATAAAATAATTATTTTTCTTATCCAGCCTTTTTTTAAAATATATATATATATATAAAGAATGTAACGGAAATTTGATCAAAATTTACCTTGTGTTTCAAATTTTGACAATTCGATTTAGTTGGACTAAATTGCATTACATCATAAGATGAAGCTACTAATTAATTTTTTTTTAAATGCTTAACATATAAAATAATTATATTTTTCGAGTAAAATAAAATTATAAGAAAATTTATACAATACACATGCCATTAAAGATTTATGAATATTTAAGTAATAAAAAAGTTAATATTTTTCAATAAAAAATTAACATAACAAAATAGTTTAAGAAAATTTATACAATACACATCCATTAAACATATATGAATATTTCAGTAATAAAGAACTTAATATTTTTCAATAAAAAACTAAAGAAAAAAACAAAATAGTTTAATAAATACATGATAATTCAACAATACTCTGTTATTGAAATTTCAATAAATTTCTGTGTTGCCAAGGTAAAAAAAAATATAGAAAAAAATAAAAATAAAACTGAAAAATAATTTGAAAGTACTGAAACGAATTTATGTTTGAGAGAATTTTGTTATTTTCCTTAAAGATGTTTTACAGCGAAGGGAATTTTAGTGAAAAGGATATTGAAAAATATGTTTGGATTAATAGATTTTTATGGCTGACTTTATGTTCATAACGAATTAAAGTAATTGTCAATGTATAAAACCAATTTAGTGATTAACTCATAAATTTATACAGAGTAAATATGAACAGAGATATAGAAGTAAATTCATCAAAGTAGTTAATGACTGTTTTTTGATAACATTTAATAGTTATACACGTACAAAAGAGCTTGTAATCCAATGATAGTAATCTCTCATAAGAAGTCATGAGTTTAAATCTTAACATATTAGTTTTGCTAGGAGTCTTAAGCGTGTGAGTTTTTTTTTTTAAAAAAAAATAATTATGCAAGTAACTATATTAAGAAAATAAGCATTAATTGTTGGTACGAATACAGGTCCTTGTGCATAAAAATATAGGTTAATAAATAATTGTGATTACTAATTAAGCTCTTAATTGGTGTCATTTGATTTGGCAAAAATCCATCCACATGCGTCCATAAAAATTATTTTGAGCATTAACAATATAGTAAAATCATGATAATACTTTTAAAATAATTTAAGTTCATGTATTTTAGAAAAAAGATGTAGCTATTTATTAGCCCAAAATTTAAATTATTCATGTCAGCACATACGAACATAAATTAAATAAATTACTTTAACTTGCAGGACTATAAATGAAATGATTCATAATCAGATGGACTTTTAATGGAGGGGCTCAATTAATGAAATTTAAAAGTAGGAGATTCAATCTGATGAAAAAAATAAAAAATAAGAGTTAATTTGACTAAATATTGAAACTTTAAGGGACTAAGCCTTACTTTATCCCATTAATGAAAGGGTGCCGAATAAATGTTCATTTTTTAAGTTTAAAGGGGTGACCTAAATGTTTAACATAAATATAAATTTTATAATACATAAGAAGTAATTAATATCATATACAATAATTACTTTATGTATCTATTTCGAGGAGAAAGATAGACACAAAAAAGAGAGAGAAACATGAGAAAGAAAATTAAAAAAAAAATTGAGTGAACATAGAAATCTTCTTATCATTTTTTATGGATTCGAATATAATTTAATATATCTATATTTCTTCTCAAAATAAATATATGAAGTAACCAATATACATGCCATTAATTACTCCTTGTATATTATAAAATTTCTCGAACCATAATTAGTGACAATAACACGTTACATTCTTTAATTTTTTCGATTCAAGCAGTAAATATTAAAAAAATTATTAAATTTATCTGAATACATTATACCGATATTGCATTTGAAAAGAAATTTAATCTCAATTAATGTATAAATTAACTTGATTATATTCTTTCACGACTCAATGATATGGGTCTTGAATTTCATCGTTTAGGACCATAGAAAAAGCCACAATCTCATAAGAGTACTATTCGTTTTCAATCGGGTCCATCGAAGTATAAAATTGCACCTAAGGCAGAGCACACAACACTATCGAGATGGAGGAAGCACACCTTGTCTAGCACGTACCACCCTCCAGATGAAAGATGCAAAACCAGAAAAAGTAAGCTGAGCCCAAATGTTCGAACTATAACTTTCATTTTCAATCAACGTTTACAAAACATGACACTGTCAAACTCTGGCATGGAGGAATACTCAAATCCCTCGAAGGATTTCTATATATGTATATACATTATATAAGAGACTAAGCAAAAGAATCATAAACCGGAAACCTTTTAGTGTTTTTTTTTTTAATGCTAACATTCAAAGATATCTTCAGGTAATTTTATACGTCAGATCTTAAAAACACACTCTTGTAGCTTTTGCATGTTTTTGGTTTGTTAGTGTTCTTTTATTGTTATTTCATTTCTTGATTCTTTGTTTAACTTTTGTAGCTTTTGCATGTTTTTGGTTCCTTGCTTCTTTGTTGGAAGAGAGCGTTTTCTGGCTGTATGCAGTTAATTGCTTAAGCTGTAGGATTTGTTCTTCAAAATGGAGAAGGTGGGTGCTTCTCTTGCTTTTGGGTTCTTCTTTTTGGTGACGCTCGCTGCAGCTTCTAGGTATGCAGGACCCCTCAGATTATATTCGGCCTTTTTACTGTCATTATCCTTTCCCTTGGTTTTCTTCACATTTCACCTGGATAGAAGCACTGCCTTAAACACAGAGGAACTTTCGAATTTCTCTCTTTTATTCGCGTAAAAGAAGAGAAAATGTTTCTGAACATTCTGTTCTGAAGAAAGTAGAGAATTGTCGAGTGAATTATAAATAAGTCCCTTTAGTTTCGAAAAATGAATTGATTAGTTTTTTTTTCTTTCAAAAAATAATTATTTAATTTCTATATTTTTAAATTTACTTATAAGTTATTTCTTTTCAGTTTTTTCCTCAATTTATTTTGATTGTGTTTTAAAAAATAGAAAAAATATATATGTAAAAAAATGAAAGGATTGATGAGAAAAATAATTTTTTAAAATAAAATAATATTAAATTAAATAAGATAACATGGATCAATAGAATAATTAATTCATTTCTGAAAAATATGACTAATTTATGATTCACTTGACAATTATTTGCTTAAAAAAATGCACATTTTATGTACAAAACATGTGCCTTCACGTCGTTTACTTGCATTTGCATGATGTTGTTGTTCGTGTTCTTATATTCTCATGATCAAGAACGTATTAAAATTATTTTGAATCTGATTAATTTTCTTGTAAAAAATCGCTGCATTAGAGTTTATCCAAGAGATAACATTTTTTTATCTAACTGCAGGAAAATTCTTCAGATTGAAAACTGCTTATCGCCTGGGGTCCGGCTGTATAAGAATAATCATCGGGTATATATATAAAATAAGTTTTAAATGCTGTCTAATTAAAATTGGCACGCCTATAAATCCTTTTTTCTTTTTTTCGTTTGATTTTTATTACTCAAGTTCCAGTACCTCTCAGATGGTGATGGATAATGGCCTTGTCCAAGTCACTTTGTCTAGTCCGACCGGTGATGTCACCGGAATACAGTACCATGGAATCAATAATGCGCTTGAAACCAAGAATAGGGAAGGTAACCGAGGGTATGGCATTTACAGTTTCTTCTAATCACATCAAATCAAATGTTGTTATGATCATTTTGTAGCTTACCAATTTTTCATCCATCTTACTGCCAAAATTGATTTGAACCAAGGTACTGGGATGTTGTCTGGAATGAGCCCGGAAATCGTATAACTTACGACAGGTACTTTTTTGCAACTTGCATAAAATATTTAGAGGCTTAACAATTTAATTTATTATTATCTAATAAAGTAATTTTTTAATTTATCCTTATATTTTTAATCGAGTCAATTATATTCTTAAATATATGTTTAAGTTTTTCAATTTATATTTTTATTTAGTTTTTCAGGCTAATTCAATGAAGCAATTCACATGATTTCCACACAAGTAATTTTGATTTTCAAAATACCGTCACAAGACAGTCAAATAAAAAAATGAGTATAAATCGTGTGACTATTCCTATGATTTAGTATGAAAATCTCAATAAAAAAGATAGATTAGATCCTATTATATAAAGAAAGATTGAAATATTAATGTAAATATTTATGGGATTTGTTATTTATGTTTTCTAAACGAACCTTCATAATTTATCACTGCTCTGAAGGTTGAAAGGAACAGATTTTAAGGTTATAATGGAAGATGAAGATCAAGTAGAACTCTCATTCACAAAGACTTGGAATTTTACAAATGGTAGCTCCTCGGCTCCCCTAAATGTAGACAAAAGGTAAATATTTCATGCATTTCATTCAAATCAAAACCTAAGAAATAAATGCAGTTTCCAGACAATTTTAAGTATCAAGAGACATATGTCAGAATTTTATTGGTTCCAATTTTAAAAGAAATAAAAAATAAAAATAAAAATGACTATAAATATCAAATAATAATAATAATAAAGTATTAAATTTTTTTGCCAGTTATTTATTTATTTATTTACTTACCACTTGGATTTTTTTTTCGCACTAGCAAAATTTTCTGTTTTATTTACTTACCACTTGATTAATTTTATTTTGTTAATTTTTTTACTTGTTTTGGTATCACAAACTGATTAGCAATAACTGCAGTGATTATCTAGATCTTGTAAATCAAAAGATGGTTCAATAACATTCAATGAAAAAAAATACTTTATGGATTTATTGATTAAACATATTCCGTTGTAGTAACGTGTGTTTTTTTTTTGTGTAAGCATGATTTTTCAATTTAATTCTTCATGAAAGTTCTGATTTTATTTTCAGTTTTTTTAGTTTTCACATAAAATTTATTTCTTTCCATAGGTTTTTCGTTGCCTTTCAAAAATTAAAATAGAAAATCATCTACAAAAGTAACAAATATGAATAAATAAATAAATAAATGTAAAAAAATAGTAATAATCTAGCATAAATAAATAAATAACAATTTTTTTAGTCATTCTTTTTATTTTATGTATGCTAATGGTTTCAACTTTATAGGTATATAATGCGGCGAGGCAGCTCAGGAATTTACTTATATGCCATATTAGAACGATTAGAAGGATGGCCTGACATGGACATGGATCAAATTAGAATCGTTTTCAAGCTCCTAAATGACAAGTAAACATTCTGTGTAGTTTATAGAAATATGACTGGTTACAAGAGTAAATTATCAATTACTAGTTCAAGTTTCGAGAAACAAATTAATATGTACAATTAATTATTTAGTTTTTTAATTAATAATAATGTTTAATTTAATATTATTTTATTTTAAAAAATAATTTTTTATCAATCATTTCATATCTCTTATTTATTTTTTCTTCTATTTATTAAAATAAAAAAATAAATTAAATTATAAAAAGTTGTAAAATATAAAAATTAAATAATTAATATTTGAAAGAAAAAGAATAATTAATTCATTTTTTTCGAAATTTGGAAGACTTATTCATAATTTGCTCCTAGAAAGAGGACGAATTGAACTAATGAACATTTATTTTCTTAATTAGCAGTACGTATTTATCGCATGTGAATTAATCCAATGGTCAGGTTTCACTTCATGGCAATATCTGACGACAGGCAAAGGATCATGCCAATGCCTCGAGACCGCCTCAATGGTCAACGTCTTGCATATCCTGAAGCTGTTCTCTTGACCGATCCGACTAATCCACAGCTTAAAGGAGAGGTACTGCTTAAGATTTAGTTTGACACGTGGTTTTTGTTTTCAAATTTTTTTAAAACGAAAAAAAAAAACAAACAAACTTATCTGTATTTGTTTTTTATTTTCAAAAAACTTTAAAAAACCAACAGCCAATTATTAAATTAATATAAAATCTTTTAAAAAGCGGATGATAAAAAATATGTCAGTCGTATTAAAAAATAATATAAAATTATTTTTAGAATATCATTTAACAATTTAAATTTTGGAGTTGAGATGATCATTTGACATAATATTAGAATCTTAATAATCAAATGATCGCAAGTTAAAATCTCATCATCTTTATTTCTTTTCTAATTAATTAAACATAAACATATGCAAATTTCAAACTCAAATGATTTTCATTTGAGAGGATAAATTGGATAAATTTCAAACTCATTCTTAAGTTTTATCATTAAGTTAAATTTTTGGATTGACTTTCGTTTGAGAGGATAAGTTAGATAAATTGCAAACGATCCATCCGATTATTAAGGATGGATAAATTTCAAATGATTATCAAGGATGGATTTGAAATTTATCCAATTTATCCTCTCAAATGAAAGTCATTTGAGATGATTATTTGACATGATATCGGAACTTTAATAATCAAATGATCACGAGTTCAAATCTCATCATCTTCGTTTCTTTTCTAATTAATTAAACATAAACCTATGCAAATTTCAAACTCAAATGACTTTCATTTGAGAGGATAAATTGGATAAATTTCAAACCCATTCTTAAGTCTTATCATTAGGTTAAATTTTTGGATTGACTTTCGTTTGAGAGGATAAGTTGGATAAATTTCAAATCCATCCTTAAGTTTTACCGTTGGGTTAAATTTTTAGATCGAGATGATATTTTGACAAATGATTTTTGGTTTTATTTTTTCAATAAAAATAAAAACTCAAAATAAATAATTTTTTGAAAATAGAAACACAAAGCAAATAGCAAACCACATCAAACGATTTTTTTATTTTCTAGACAAAAAATGGATCGTAGCGAGGAGATACTTTAGTGATTAAACTTAAAACTCTTAATTTAAGATCTTGATTAAAATTACGAGAAGAATGGCATGGGATAATTTAAGAATTAGAGAAAAAGTTGCCTCACGAAAAAAAAAATTAATAAGAGCAAAATCATTGTATTTTTGGTCGAGAGACTGCTTTTGGGTCCTTTTATTACTGCAAAAATTGTGGTGACATTTTGGCTTGTTGGAAGGTGGATGACAAGTACCAATATTCATGTGACAACAAAAACAACAGAGTTCATGGTTGGATCTCACACGATCCACCTGTGGGATTTTGGATGATTACACCAAGCGATGAGTTCCGTGCTGGTGGCCCCATCAAACAAGACCTCACATCTCATGTTGGCCCCACCGTCCTCTCTGTAAGTTTGACGTCCCTAAAATTTATTCATTTATGGCTCCGTTTAACGGCGTAAAACAACTTTTATAGAAAAATAAGTTATCTTTTAAAAATATTTTCTACTGTTTGATATTACATTAAAAAATTATTAAAAATATATTTCAGTATTTATTTGATAAAAAAATTAAAATATAAAAATAACATGTGATTATTATATCAACAAGTTTTGAAAAAACTTCAAAAATACATATTCATAATTTCACAATACAAGATACATCTAGAAAAATTTAATAAATTTTCATAAATACTGATTCTAAAATTTTAATGCAAAAAATAAATTGTACTTTTTTAACTATTAAACTAATTCATCAAAATCACTTAGGATAAGATCAAGTTAATATTCATATTTAGTTAAAAAAAATATCTAAGTAATCCTAGCATTGTTATTTTTGGTAACTCAATTAAAAATTCTTTTTTTCCTTAGAAATTGAATGAATAATTTAGTCTAAAAAATAGTTTTATAAATTATTAGTTGTCATTTGTAAATAATGATTTATTTGGTTTCAAAATATTAATGTTGGAATAATTTATTCGCTATAATTATCAACAAAATTTTACAACCGATTAAAATTATAAATTATTGATTTAGTTGCAAATGAATAGTGTTGAAAAAATAGTGTATTTATTAATGAATTAATTAATTTTAATTTTTTTTAACAAAAATTACAGTCTTGTAATAATTATTTTCAATCGATTAAGTATAGTTTAGGTGATGTTTGAGATAATAATAAAAAATAAAGATAAATTATTGAAATATTTATTACAAAAATAATTTTAAGGTGTAAGAAAGGTTTTTAAGAATATTTAATGTATCTATAAATTAAAAAATCAAATATTAGTAGAAATAGAGAAAAATAATTAAATAATTAATAATAGTTGATAAGGAATAATTAAAGTTAATTTCATATATTTTAAATAAAAAAAAGATAGAGAAAAAATTGTTAAAATATGTTGAGAGAAAGGTAAGTAACGTGAAAACTAGATAGCTCGTGAGAAGGAAAATATTGTTCTCTTTTTTAAATGGGAAAACATTTTCTCATAAATACTCTATCATTTTCCGTTGACTTTTTTCTTAAATGCGAAATAAATACTGAAAAATAAGAACTTGTTTTCTCTCAAATAAACACAACCTATACACGGCTTGCAGTTCAATATATTTTTATATAATAATTTATTTTTTTAATATATTTAATTTAATTGAGTCAATTTTATAAAATAAATTTTTAATTTATTTTTTAAAAGATTTTTAGACCAAATCATCGAACTATTTCATGATATACACATGCTTATTTTAGTAACTAAACTCGATAATTTCTAAACGGTTAAATTGTTATGGGAGATTCAGGATATAGTTTATATTATAAGAAAATAAAGATGATAAGACTTAAACTCGTAACCATTTGATCAATCAAGTTTTAGCATCATATCAAAGTATCATCTCATTTAAAAACTTAAACTCGTTTGATAAGGCTTAGGATATGATTTGTATTATTTTTTAACAAATATTTAACGTATATTTAAAAATAAAATTATATGGACAGATAAAAAAATTTATCATATTATATAGAATATATTAAGTCATAAAAGCTTTATATTTCCCGCGCTTCATGAGTTATTTTATCATGCAGATGTTTACCAGCACCCATTACAGCGGGAAGGACTTGAATACAAAATATAGAAATGGAAAGCCATGGAAAAAAGTTGTGGGACCTGTATTTGTCTATCTCAACTCCATTTCCTCCCTTGAGGATCCTACAAAAACACTATGGGAAGATGCTAAGGATCAGGTGTGATTACTATATATTTGTAGTTTGAATTTAGGTAATTGGATTTTTATGATTTGATCCGTTAGACAGTAGAGATTTCGTCGTGGATAGTTAATCTAATTATCTATTAATTTTGAATTTTAAAGATGAATGGTATATGTGTCAGCTTTCTATTAGTTTTAATTTAAAAAATAAAAACAAAAAAACTATATTAAAAAATTAAAAACAATAAAGAAGAAATTGTTAAAATAAATTGCAAAATTTTTATTTATTATAACTAGATTTTTTTTCTAATGATTTTTATTTACGTTGGATTTTTTAATTTTATTTTGAAGGACAAAAAATAAAATAAAATAAAGATGATTAATTTTTTGTTAATTTTTATTAATTTATGCTGGATTTGTTATTATTTTTTTATAATTTTTATTGATTTACCACAAAAAAAATGTTTTTTTTTAAAAAAGTGTTACTTTACTTTTTACTTCATCAATGATGGATAAAATTATGTATTTACTGATAAAACATACTTGATTCAATTTGTGTATTTTTTTCCTTAAACATCATTTTTAATTTATTTTTTTCTCGACATTTTTGATTTTGTGTTTGAGATTTTATAATTTTTACTTAAAATTTATTTCAGTTTTTATGTTTTTACTTGCCTTTCAGAAAAAAAGAAAAAAAAATTAAAGTTAACAAAAAAATTTAATCATTTTTTTTCTTTTTTTAACTTTTTAAAATAAAATAAGAAAAAAGTACTAACGTAAATAATAAAGTTTGAAAAATTAATTACTATTACTATTACTATTACTATATAACTAAAGTAAAATGACCATTTGAATAGTGATGAATACTGTTTATTACTGTAGTTTGTTTTTTTTTTTTTTTAATTTTCAAGTTATTTTATTTTAATTCCTAAAAATTTAAAATAAACATTTTAATCCCTTAACTCATGCACTACACATGCCTTTTCTTCTTTCTATTTTTATTTTTTATTTTTTTCCATCAATTTATATTTTTTTATTTAATTAGGTGTTAAAAATTTAAAAATTTAATTTTTTCTTTGCTTTTTTAAGTATTTTTTGTTAATTTTTTTTTATAAAAAAACGCAATCACTATTCATTAACCTTGGGTGTCCCATTTTTTTTTTAGTGTTTTTTGTTAATTATTTTTATTATTTAAAATTTATTACTTTAATTTGTTATTTTTTTTTAAATTCTCATCCAATTAACTTAGAATTATATTTATTGACAGTTTTGATTTATTTTTCTATATGTATAGATTTTGGAATAAATTTTTAAAACATGTGTTCACCTTTGATTTTATATATTTTTATAGATTCACAATATAAAACAAATTATCAAATTAAAACAATTATCAATGAAATGATTTTCTAAACAATCATTTATATTTTATCCAACTCGCGACAGTAAGCGCGGCAAAAAAACTAGTTCTTGCTATAAATAAATAAAAAGTCATCAATTTTTTTAATTTTTCTTTTTCTAAAATAAAAATCAACACAAAACTGTTCCCCTTCTTTTTTAAAAGCCAAAGTTAACGAAAAATTAAATTGACTATGGAAAACGGGACATCTATAGTCCAACGGATCAAACCATAAGAATATAATTATACAAATTAAAAACACAGGAGTGTCTTTATAAAAAAATCATACCACAAAAACTTCTACTGTTATTATATACTAGTGGTAAAAATTAATCCTCCAATTCTGCAATATCATCAATTCACCCCCTTGATATATATATTTTTTTGTATGCTTCAAAAAGCAGATGTCTATAGAAACCAAGAGTTGGCCTTACAGTTTTCCTCAGTCAGAAGATTTCCCAAGCTCGGATAAACGAGGAAGTGTTGATGGTCAATTACTAGTTGATGACAAGTAATGAAACATCTATCTACTTGTACATTAATGCTATTTTTCTGAGTAAATTACATATTAATCCCTTTAGTTTTGCATAATAAATAAAATAGCACCTCTTGTTTTAAAAATTAATTAATTAGTCTTTTGACCATGATTAATTTAATATTATATTGTTTCAAAAAATATATTTTCTTCTTATAATCTTTCTATATATTTTTTATTTTTTTATTTATCAAAACAATATAAATTAAAAAAGAATGAAAAGAATCAATTAATAAATAGATTTAAAATATATAAATACTAATTAATTAGTTATTAAAATTATAGAAACTATTTAATTCCTTTTTGAAAACTAAAAGAATTAATTTATAAATTAATCAAAAATTATATATATATACACACACACCCTTTGGTATGTTTTGGAACGTGAAATAGCAATTTAATGGCAGCTCCATTGTCTAGGTACATTAGCGACGGACTAATGTGGGCAAGCTATGCTTATGTGGGATTGGCTGCACCAGGCGGCGTGGGTTCATGGCAAACAGATGCCAAGGTTCTTCTTTTTCATGGGACTTTTTTTTAGTATATCATTATTTAGTTACCCAAAGGCCAAATGTTCAAAAAAATTTCATAATTTTAAGTCATTTAATAATAAATTTTTTAATTTTTAATTTTTAATTTCAAATTGATTTTTTCTCTAATTATTATTTTTATTTGAAATTAGATTCTCATTAATCTCAACGTATATCTATAATTCATTAGTAGCTAAAAACATATTAAAACTTATAGGTATTTTATTTTTTTCTTTAAAATTTGTTTCTTTTTTCCTAAATCATAAGAATTAAAAAATTTAAAATATTTTAGAATGAAAGAAACAAGTTTTGAAATAAAAAAAATATCCATAAATTTTTACATTTTTCTCACTGTTGATAAAGTTAAAAAATCAATTATATATAAGTCATGTATATTTATACTTTTTAATTGTTGATGAAGTTAAAAAGTCAATCATGTGCAAGTTATATATTTCTAGAGTTGATGAAAACCTAATAAAAACATCCAATTTTAAATGACAAATAATTAATAGAATGTTTAATCCGAAATTAAAAGTTGAGAAACTAATTATTAAATGAATTAAAATTCTGGAGGAGAGATTTAGGCCATATTACTTTTTTTTTTTTTAAAAAATGGAGATTTTATTTAATGCTTCTCTTTTTCTTTTTTCTTTGATTGACTTCAGGTGTATCAGTTCTGGACCGAAGCCAACGAGGAGGGTCATTTCTCAATTGAAAACATTAGGGTTGGGCACTATAATTTGTATGCCTGGGTTCCTGGCATTGTTGGCGATTGTAGATATGATGCTATTATCAACATTCAACCAGGTAACATGACCAAAAAAACCAACTTCACAAAAAAAACCAACAAGAAGTAACATAAAATCTTGGGTTGTGTTGAATCAACACTTCATCTCCCAAAAAAAAAAAAAATAATAAAAAAAAATCCATGATTAGGAAAGAAGAACGCTCCTTGTTAGATTTTTGAGACGAAGACCCTGAAAGGTCTACGAAATCTTGGGCTAATTTTATATAGAATTTTAATAATACACAAGAAGTAATTAGTGACATATACAATAGTTACTTCATAGATCCACTTTGAGGAGAGAAATAGACACATTAAATTACATCCGGACCTACTAAAAGTGATAAGAAGATTTCTATATTCGCTTAATTTTTTTTTTAATGTCTATCTCTTTTCTTAAAATGAGTTTATGAAGTAACTATCGTATATATAACTAATTACTCCTTGTATATTATAAAATTTCTCAATTTGATCGACTCATTAGGTCTTTTTATTATAATTTTAGTTGTCAACGTTATAAACATGGACACTATCTCTTATATTTGTAACTGATTGAAAATTTTAATAAAAACTCTTAGTGTAACCATAGAATAGACACATTATCAAATTACGTAAATTTTGTATCATATTATTACTATCATACTTCTATTTTATTTTTTGCTTGATTAGTTTCCTAACAATAAACATCTACGTTTGTACATAACTATGTGACCTCTGCTAAGCTGTATTATTATATACTCAGGAGATGATATCAAATTGGGCGTCCTTGTGTATGAGCCGCCAAGAAATGGTCCAACTCTTTGGGAAATAGGAATCCCCGATCGTACTGCTGCTGAATTCTTTGTGCCCGACCCAGATCCGAGCCTCGTGAACAAACTATACATCAACAAATCAACAGACAAGTACCTAATAATCATAAACCTTGTCATCAACAATTTCTCATTTTTCTGTTATAAGTTTACCGAAGTATTGTTTTGCTTACATTAATTACTTTTACATGAACAGGTTTAGGCAGTATGGATTATGGGAAAGGTACACTGATTTGTATCCTGAGCATGACCTCGTTTACACTATTGGCGTTAGTAATTATCCTCAACATTGGTTTTTTGCTCAAGTTACCAGGTATATTTATCATTCATCTCTATTTATTTAGCTTCTTCTCACCCATAATAATTAACAGTTTAATGGTTTAATTTACCCTAAACTATCGAAGTTATGATAAAATAAAATTTATACTATTAATTTAAACTATTTGAACTTCAAATAATTAATTTTTGGACAAATTTTATCTTTTTATGTTATGTCTGACCACATGTTTAAAACAATAATATAGTTTCAAGAATATCAGTTTTTCTTCTTCTTCTTCTTCTTTTTTTTAATAAAAAAACTAAAAGTTAATTTGAAAAAAAAAGTATTTACTAATAGTTAAGCTTTTAAGAAAGTTTAGATGATTTTATTGCTTATGGATTTGATTTTTATTGATAGATAATTAATGACGTAAAATAGATCTATCTAGTAAAAAAAAAAAACTATAATGCTTAAAACGATATTATTTTAAGTATTTCGGTTAACGATCAATATTTTAACTCGTTAGATATAATGAAAAAAGATCAAATTTGTCCAAAAATGAATAATTTGAGATATAAATAGCCGAAATTAATAGTATAGATTTTATTTTATCACAACTTTAATAGTTTGAGGGTATATTATGCAATTAAATCCATAATTACCTTGCAAAGAGTAGTTGGTTCCATAGATATTGTTGCATTGTTCAGGAATATGGGAAATCATACATATCAAGCGACAACATGGCAGATTAAATTTGAGATAGAAAATATTGTCCGAACTGGAAATTACACCCTCCAATTGGCTTTGGCATCAGCTACTGCTTCCGAACTACAGGTACCTACTCCCATCAGTTATTCATCAACTTGTTAACAAGAACAATAAGTCTTTTTTCAATGAAAGATCAACAAATTATCACAATAATCTCAACACATAATGGAGGCAATGGATAGTGAACCACGAAAATTGGGAGTAAATAAGTCAATTTTTTCTCACGTAATAGTCCAAGTCTCCACCATGTTCAAATGTTTCAATTAGGGATGTTTCGATTAAAAAATTTGTCTATGATCAAAAAAATTAATCAAAATGACAGATTAAAGATTTAAACATTATTCAGAAACATAATATATCCAATTAAAAATATAAAAACAGATTGAAGATCTATTAGTATTGACTTATGAGAATGTGTTAATATGTGTTCATAGGTTCGAATCAACGACAAAAGAGCGAAACGACCTCATTTTACAACAGGACTAATAGGAAGGGACAATGCAATTGCAAGACATGGAATTTATGGCTTGTATTGGTTTTATAGCATTAATGTGCCAAGCCATCTACTTTGCAGAGGAAACAACACAATATATCTCACTCAGCCAAGATGTACATCCCCTTTTCAAGGAATCATGTATGATTACATTCGTTTAGAAGGACCTCCAGAAACAGGATAAGTATGGAACGATTTTGCACATATTTTCAAATTACAGATTTATGAAGTATTTGGACTCCATCAACCTATAAAGCAAGTAATTTAAATCATGAAATAATCTTCACCCTTTCTTAGCTAGCTTTGCCAAATTTAAGGAGTGGAAATCGTGAAACCCTAAACCTCCATCTCCTTTACTTTACACAGCTTGGACCACTTTAGCCAATATATTTTCCTCTCTTCTTGTTTTTCCCCTCATCAAAATTGAGCAATAATAACCTCCAATCCATTGCATAAACCAATAAGGAGCAAGAAACAACTCATTGCAGAAACCAATAGGGAGCAAGAAACAACTCATCCTATAGGTGCAGATCGATTGCAGCACAGCTTTGATTAAGACCTCCGTCCCCATAATCGACAATGTTTTCTCCAAACTCGATCTCGAATCATGGAGAAAAACCTGGTTCTTAGATTTCTCAATAACCACAGGGAGTCCCAAATACTTGTCATGACTCAGTTTTCTTACTTTCATCCTCTCCTGGATGAAAGATTGAAAAGATTGGGGTACATTTTGGCTAAAAAGAGTTCAGACTTGTCAAAATTTATTTTTTGATCTGAAATTTCCTCTTAGCATTGTAAAGTCCGAATGTCAGCTTTTGTTTCCTGCATAGAAACATGAGAAAAGAGCAGACTATTGTCAGTGAAGAGAGCCGTTATATGGACGGTGCCCATCTAGAAATTCTAGTCCCTTGAATCATCATTTTTGCCTCTGCTTGTCTCAACAAGCCAGAAAAACCTTCAAACGGACTCAACGTAACTCCTTTCCTTGCATTCCCCAAGTTTGTCAGCGTTTGCAGCATCGCCTGAGCGTTGAAAGACTTGAGAGTCCATAACTTTCTGTTGGGAATTTAATCCCACTCTGGGAAAGCGGTACTGGCTATGTGCCCCTTCTTCAGTAACTATTAAAGATCTCAACTCATCCTTTCAATCTACCTTCTCCATTACTAAAAGCACTTCCAGCTAGAAAACTGGCAATCCACCTTCTACACCAGTTTGGGGTGAAGTGAGAGAAGAGGGATTGGTATGGCATTATTTTAATAGAGGCTCAAAACGACAAAATTACTTCTACTTCATGTGAGATATTATTGTTCACAACCTTTCAAACTTACCTAAGGCAGCCTAAAACAACAGGCTTGGGTTTGCACTAATATCGTCTTCTTCCTTCGTGGTCTCACTATTCACACAGTTTATTTCCAGGATTAAACCACATTCTATAATGAGACCATCCAATTTAGAAACGCACATGTATCACAATCATATAATCACAACATATCAACATTTTTCAGTTCCAAGCATAATTATACAAGCAATTTGCTAAAGTGACCAAACTGGTGATTCCATATTTCTTCACATACAAATGACCTGAACACCTAAAGCCAATCAAAATTATATAAACAAATCTTTCAAATAACCACATCATTTTAATTCCAAATTTACAATACCAAGCATCAAGATCTAAAGTTTTGTTCTGGGAAACATATATATCCAACATGGAAAACAACATAAACACACACATATACATAATACGCACACAAACACACCGAACAACAAGATCTAAAGTTCTGTTTTTTCTTTAATAAATAGATAAAAACAGGTTTCACTCGATCAATAATCTAGATATGTAAAAATCTGTAATTGATCTAGATTACAAAGCCAAATCTGCATCCTAGGCACCGCTAACTGGTAAAACACCCTCTAATATGGCCAATGATTAAATTACCGGGTAATTTGTAACATTATGTATATAACAGAAGCAGAGATTCTTTTGATTTTTGCTGATGCATTGATAAAGTTCTTTAGTTTCAACTCTTCAATTTGAGCAAGTTTAACTAAACCTGTAAAATATCATGCTAACTAAAATTTCTAGTCTTTTTTGTTCTTTTGGTGATTACAGTTTAAAGATTTAACGCCTCACGTTCAGGAAGTAAATAAGAAAAATAATATCCTCTGTAGTTCAAAATATACACCTTAGATTCATATAAAGCAAGCATAATTGAAGACACCATGGCAAATTCACTAGATCAATGTAATCTTCCCCACTATTTCCGTAGCTAAGTACAATTTCTTATATGTTTAGTTCCATTAAAAAGGACCATAAAAGTTACATAGGAACAATACAACTAAAGTACAGAAAATCAGGAAAATTAACATAACAAATGACCTAACGACCTAAAGCCAATCAAAATTATACAAAAAATTCTTTCAAATAATCACATCATTTTGATTACAAATTTACAATACCAAACATCAAGATCTAAAGTTCTGTTCTGGAAAACATATATATCCCTGTTCTTTTCATTTGCAAAAGATCCAAAAACCTAGAAAAAAGAGAAGTAAACAAAAAAAAATCAGCAGCATCACTTCCATATTTAGTTCCTTTCAGTTTGCAAAAGTGTGGGAGGCGTCCGCCCGCATGCAGACATGCACCATGACAGATAACCTTGAAATGAGGAAGTGATTCAAATATTTCTTATTTGGTTGAAGCAGAGGAGTTTAATTAGAATGATTAAAATTTACGTAAGTTCTCTGACAAATTGTGAGAAAACTTTAATAACTTTCATCATTTAAATCTACTAAACCACATACTAACAGACATAAATCTGAAGGTATCGATGTATAACCCGCAAGAGCCAAATGCTAGTCCCAAACAACTAACAACCACACAAACAAAAAGCAAGTAATTGTTGGCTAATTCCAGGCTTCGAGAAGACAAATAATAACTTATATGAAACAATTATGTCACCTTATTCCCTTGATGACTTCACAAAAGCCAAGCAACTATTTGAGAACAAGACCATCATCTACCACCAAGGCTGTGGTGTCCACATCTGCAGAGAATCCTTTGCTTCTCATCTCACTAATAAGTTGCACTGCCCTTGGATCCTTGTGCTGGAGAAGTCCTTGGATAAAAACATTATAAGAACAATTATCTGGTGGGCAGCCATCCTCTTCCATTTTTTCTGAAAGCTTTGTATGCTTCATCTATCAATCCCTCTCTGCAAAGTCCCTTGATCATCGTAGTCCAACCCGAACATCAGGCTGCAGGCCTTTGATAGAGAGTTCTGAAAACAGCTCTGTTGCATCTTTAAGCTTCCCAGATTTGCACATGGCATCGATTAAGATATCGTAGATCACCAAATCTGGCTTCAAGTAACTATTTTGCATTTCTCAAAATAGTCCCAAAGCCTGATCAAGATACCCTTGTTTGCTTAAGCCATCAAGCAAAATTGCACAAGTTATTAAATCTGGGGAGTGGCCCTGGGCATGCATATCCTTGGAAAGCTCTTTTGCTTCCAAAATTCTCCCTGCTTGCAACAAGCCACTCATAAGAGTGCTGTAACTAACAATGTCTGGAATTATGCCTCGATTAATCATTTCATCAAAAAGCTGCTTCGCATCATCTATCCTTTTGGTCTTACAGTATCCATTGATTAGAATGTTATAACTAAAAACATCAGGTGAACAACCTGCGCTTATCATCACATCCAACACTTTTCTCGCTTCAACAACTTGCCTCCGCAAACAGTATCCATCCATCAATGAATTATAAGTAAAAATATCAAGCTCCACACCTCTTTCTGTCATTTTGTTGAAGGTAACTATATCTGGCATCATTTTCAGACCAATCATTTCAGTGAACAATGCCAAAGCCTCCTTCCATTGGCCGGAATTGCATAAGCCCTCAATTAAGGAGGTGTAGGTGATAACATCCGGCTCAATTCCTTTAGCTTTTATCTCAGAGAACATATCCAAAGCCTCATTGACTAGTTTATCCTTGCATAGGCTATCAATAATTGTAGTGTATTCACAACATCCGGCCCGTAGCTTGCCATTTTCTTGAGAAATCTAACGGCCACAGTGGTTTGTCCATTCTTACATAAACCTTTTATAATCGTATTATAAGTATGTAGATCATGCTGATATCCTCTTGCCGCCATCTCACTAAACAATTTCACAGCTTGAGAAATTTTACCCTCTATACAAAGCCCATTAATTAAGGTATTAAACATTATAATATCAGGTTCAAAACCAAATTTAATGATTTTGGCCACGACAGAGAAGCCATAATCAACATGATGTAAGTGGCAAAAGCAATTAATCAAGATGCTAAAAGTAAAAACATTATGAGAAAGTCCTGCTATTTCCATTTGTTTGGACAAACAAACCACAGTCTCATAATGTCTTATTCTGACAATTGCAGACAATAATTTACTGAATTCGACAATAGAAGGCCGAGGATGCAAATGAAGCATGTGATTGAAGGCAGACATAACATCATTAATATTCCTAAATGAGCAAGAACTACCCTTTTTGTCTTTACCGTGTCTGTAAATACTTGTTCTGCTGGAAGTATGAAGACAGCAGCAAATGGGGTTGTCATTGTTGTTGCAGAGTAATAAGGAGGGTTTAAGAATCATACCAATATTTTTAATTTGACTTCGTTCAAAACAAAACCCAAGAAAGGCTGAAGAAGCTGGAGATGAAGAAGAAGAAGTAGCGAGCAAAATGCTTATCCGTTTGATTGCCATCGACTTTACTATTTCTCTTCGCTTTCAATGACTCTCATCTCTCTTCAGGAATCTCCATTGAAACTACAAGAAGCTCTCTCTCTATCTCTGTGTTTTGCCTCTTTGTGGTCTGTCTGGTTGGTTTTGGTGAAAATTGACCCAAACGTTTCGACTTGAAGAGTTTCAATTCTCCCCCTTCGTTGGGCGAATAAGTTTTAAATTAGTCCCTCTAGGTTCAATAACTACTTTATTACTCTCTAATTTTTTTTTTTTTGTAATCTAACCCTATTCTTTGCTTTCATTTTATTTTTATTTTTTTTTCCCTTTATAAATAGAAAAAAAGAAAAAAAAAGAAAAGATTTATGAGAAAATACGGCTATTTTGGTGAAAAAAATAATATTAAATTAATTACAATCAACTTCGGTTAAAAAATTAATTAGTTTTTGAAATAAGATAGACTAGTTAATTCATTTTGTAAAACTAAAGAGGCTAATTCATAATTCATTAATCTTTGATCATTTTAATACTATTTCAATTTCTTTTTTTTTTTTTTGAGAGCTTTTGAAAACATAAAAAAATTTTTTTTTTTAAATTGATTGGATTAGATTCGCATTCGGATAAATTATGATTAAGATAAACATATAATTTGTAACATTATATATATATATATATATATATATATATATATAGAAAAGAGTAGTCAAGGCAAAATCGTTTTCATTATTTCTAATGCATTGGTAAGGTTATTTAGTTTCTATTTAAAAAACATCACCTAAATAGATAATAAATTAAGTGTAGTGAAGAGAATATTTTCAAGAGGATGTTTATTCCATATTGGAAATGAAAGAAAAGAAGATGCAATTTATAAGTAGACCTATAAAGAACTCAAATTGAAAACTTTCAAATGAAATCGCTTAGCACTACAATTCCTTGATTTTGTTTTTGTTTACAAGTTAATGGCATCCATAGGAAAGCTTATCCGATACCAACTATAAAACCTCATCACAACCATCACCACCATTGTAGTTGTTTAGTAATCGGGAATAGAGTGGTAGGAATGAGAATGAAAGTTTTATTCCCACATTAGTAACTGTTTGGTTAAAGGGAATAAAATGGGAATGGAAATGAAGAGTGGGAATGGAATGAAAATTTACACATAACTTTATTCCTACATAAGATGTAGAAATAAAAAACAAGGAATGAGAATGAATTTTTATTCAAAATAATAATATATTTGGTAACACCTACATAACTTCATTCAGATTCGTTGACTGATTAGCAAGATCATCGTGTTGGATATGTATAACACCTTATATTACGATTCTTTATCCACATCAGTCAGAGAAACCTCACCCTCGAGTTTTGAATTGCCAAAGCAGAAAACTGGAAATTTTGGTAACATCTTTGCCCCAACACAACATCCTTGAAATAGACACCAAGACCTCCTTTTTGTAGATGGCAGCATTGCTCATAGTATGACATGTTTGCTTTCATTTGCATCCTCGATATAATCAATAATGAACCCCATATGCTCTCTGCTAGTACAAGTTTCGCCTCTCTACCCTCAAAGTCAGGCTTATCTTGTTCCTTTTTTTTTTTTTTTTTCAGCTTCATCGAGCGTAAAACTTAGCTCTTTATGCTCTGTCTTAACTTGATTAGAGGCCGATTTCTCTTATCTTATGCTTTCATTGGCATTCTCAACCTGGAATCCCTTGCTTTCTTGTTTAACCTTTTCTCTGAGAAGAAACAATGAATGTTCTCATCATCAGAAGTTTACCTTTTTGTCTGCTATTTACACCAATTTGAAGATTCTGGTTTCTAACTTTCCTCTTCTGAACTTTCAGCATCCCTTTCAATTGTTTGCACTTGCTTTTTAGGACCTTTAGGTTGCTGGTCTTGTTTCACGTTGCCGTACAAGCTGATGACTTCTCTGCATAACTTTCAACATGTAGAACTTACTAAAATTAGTTTGAATATGATTATTTTTTATGTAAAGAATCGTTGCATTAGAGTTTCTCCAAGTTCTTGATCATGAGTATACAAAAACATTATGAACAACATCGTGCAAATGCTAGTAAGAGAAAAACTTGAAAGTTCCTCTGTTTTAAGGCAGTGCCTCTGCCCATGTGAAATGTGAAATGTGAAGAAAAGCAAGCGAAAAGGTAGCGTCCTATATACCTAGAAGCAGCAGCGAGCGTCACCAAGAAGAAGAACAAAATCAACAATGTTAGCCGCCCAGCAAGAGAAGCACCCACCTTCTCCATTTTGAAGAACAACAAATCCTACAAATTAAGCAATTAACTGTACAAAAAAAAAAAAAAAAACTGACTCTTCCAACAAATTAAAGAATTAAACAATGAAGCAAAAAATGAGGTAACAAATAAATACTAACAAATCAAAATCATGCATAAACGTTTATAAAATCGTTCAAAAAAAAAAGAAAAAAAGTTCAGATACAATGCCAAGTGAATGGCCTTTTAATATTAGTATGGGAGAAAAAAGAAAGATTTCTACTTTTGCTTATTCTATATTAGCTCAATACCCGCGGGCCTTGCTGCGGATAAATTTATCATAGCTATATTTTAATATTTTAAATAATTTTAAAATATAAATATAAAATAAAAATTAATTAACACTCATTATAAAAAAATTGTTTAATTTAATATATATATAATTGAATTTAAATATTTCTTAGGAATACTTTTTATTTTGAAAGATTAAAAATATATGCAATTAATTATTTATTTTTTAAAAATCCAATTAGAAGGAGGTGTTTAATCAATTTATATTAGAAGGATATTTAATTTTAGTTCATGAATTATTTCTAAAAATAGAAAAAGTAACCATTGATGATGGAAAAAAAGTTCTTTTAATTAAAAAATAATTAATGAAAAAACCCAAACCCGAAAAAAATATGATAGGGATCTTTTGATAATATTAATTAAAATTAATAACTGTTTTATATAAATTAATAACTTCAAGGATCAAAGTGTAAAATCCTAATAAATTGACAAAAAATCACTTACTTTTTTGGAAAAACAACATTTTTACTGTAGCAGAGGCTTAGCTACAGTAAAACCTTATTTGCTTTTAGTATATACTAGTGGGGTACCCGTGCTACGCTGCGGTCGGGTACCCGTTTTATATAGATGATCAAATATGTTCCCACAACATATTGCAGGTGAAGCACCATTATACGTTTCGTATATTTGATATATTTTTTTATTTTCAGATAGTTTTGACACAGAGTTAATTATGTTCATAAGAAATTAGTTTAAATTTATTTGCTCGATCATGTTTTGCCTATACATTGTGCTTTAACCTGTGCTAATCTTTGTAATAAGTGAAAGAGAGATTTATTTAGCAATGATCATTGGATGATTATGTTCAAAATGTATATATACAATTGCAGGAAGGCTAGTGATGGAACCACTTATGTACATAATATATGCATAATAAACCTAGATCAAACGTTAAGAATGCTTGAAACAATCTTAAAAGAGAATTAAGTACCTTTTTTTATGTTTAAAGCAAAAATCTTGGACCATTGTCTGCAAAAGGACATGAGCTTTTTAGTTTTTATTTAAATCCAAAACGGCAGAATACTTGTTCCAAATACCACAGAACCCTCCACCCTGAAAAAAAAAAAAAAAAAAAACACCCTTTGGATAGTCTCATTATAGCATCAATCATAATATACTTGTTCCAAGAATTATGGAATGTCTTCAGCTCTTGTCGATGCTTGGATTGCACCTCTTTACAAAGTAAATGAAGCAACACCTATCAGAAAATAACATTAACATGCTTGAGTAATCTAAAACTGGAAAAGAAAAAGGAATCGTAAAAGGGTTATAGCTGAAGCAAATTGTCTACACAATTTGAGTAAAAACATGTGATCTGATGTAGCATGCTCCAAAAAAAGTCATAATGATGTTGTAATAAGTTGTCATTGGTTGTTTCCTCTAGGATACTTATATGGATCGACATGTCCTAGGTGTTTTTTTCAATCTTTACTATTCACAACCCGAACTCCTCTAGTTCAACCAAAGGTTTCTCTTTTTTTCTGCCATGCAGATTTGTATCTTAGATTCAGGTGATTTGTTTCTAATTAAATGAGAAAACAATGCATATATTTGCTCCTCCAAAGTTGTGATTTCATAAGAATTTGTATATTCAAAAAAATAATTTTTGACTTTGAGAAGCATAAATTTGAACATTTATTATGATTAAACATGCTTATAAATTAATTTTTATAAAAATTTTAAAACAAATAACTGGTCCTATTGTCATGATTTGACTTGTGTTTTATTCATAAAGCAAAGAGCAATATTTTTTTTTAATTACCTCAAAATCAATAAATAGACGGTTAAAGCTGGTTGATTGGCCATTGTTTGCGGCTATTCATACTCGGTAAGTACAGAATCAAACTGAATCTCCATAACCATACAATCGAGTAGTGATGACTTCATGCAAGATTTGTAAAAATAAATAAATAAATAATTGAACGATTTGAAGACTGATGGTACTCAGGTTCTTATTCTAAGAAATATTTTGTTGTCACTGAATAAATATGCATATATTGCTTTTTGAATAAATCTAAATCTATAAAAAGAGCATCTATTGTTTATAACTTATTAGCAGCAAATGAAAAAAGAAAGAAGGAAAATTAAAAGGGCGATCCAACATTTCCCTTCATGACTTCTATTCATACCTATGGCATATGAGGAGTAATCTGACATTCTTTAGATAGATCACAATTTCCTTTTATGCCACCCCTTTGAGCACAACTAAACCTAGGACATGCTGAAAACAACAACTAAGCCCATTGGTAAACATTCCTATGTAAGATCATACCCATGCATTCATACAAAAGTGGTAAATTGTGGGTCATGTGGTTTTCATTCTAATTTGGATTCACCATCAAGTCATCAATCTGTAATTTGGTCATATGGAAACTGCTTTTGTCTTGGCATTTAATATTGTACAATAATTATGATTTAAAGTTAAAGCTAAAAGCTTGTAAATTAAAACTATTGTTGTGTATGCAAGTGGTCTACAATAGCACATCATCTTCCATGGAGCACCAATAACAAAAATCAAGATTTTTTGGAATACTCATTTAAAAAAAAAAAAAAGCTTATCCAAAAAAGAATCAATCTTGTCACCCACAGACCAAGAACTAACCTTAGTATACTTGCTAACCCACCACAGTTGCTTGCTGCTGCTAACTTGAACAATCTGATGAATATTCCTTATGATCAAGAGCAATCTAATAAACCAAATGAAGCATTTCAAAAATCTGTTGGAATATTGAAATTGGCATAGAAAAACTTATCTTTCTTTTCATTGAAAAAATGAATTAATACCCTAAAATGAATATATATATTTTTTTATCTTTTTTCTACTCGATTGGCGTTTGCAGCTTGACTTCCCAAGATTTTTTGAGACTACTTGAATCTCTGCTCATTTACAAAAACAATAATATGAAATAATAAAAAATATATGAAGATCTTAAGAAAACTTGTAGCAACATACTAAATAAACACCAAACGCATCAACTAACACAAAATATAACAGAAAACATCAATCTTTTATCAAAATACCAAAAAATTAATTAGCTAAAAAGAACCTAAAGTTTTTATTATAATAATTATAGATTGATACCCGCGCATCACCGCGGGAAATTTTTCTTTTTTTTTTTCCAAGAGAAGTCTTCGTATTTTAAACTGTCAAGTGCGAGGGAAAAATAGGAGGCGATTCGACAATACTTTAGGTGTACAAATACAAAAGCTTTACCAAGAACTTCTTAAATCAAATTCGTGTCAAGTTGAAAGCCATCTCAGAGCATTTAAAAATGAAATTCCTTAAATATTAGCTTACATGGTGCATTGTCCTGCTAACATACTTGGTGGGTTTTTCTCACTCCACACCTCAGAGACTGGAAAGTCTTTGGAGTAATTTCTTAAATAGGAAGATAACTAATATTAAATTTAATATTTTTCCTTTCATATTTCCTACACTATCTCCTTAGAGTTGGCCCTGACATAAGCTGATGAAATATCCTGAAGAGGAAAACAGAGTCAAAAACTTCAAACAACAACATCCCAGGATGCCGCGCATGAAATCTCTTCCATTTTTAATTGCTCCAAAAACTAACTGGAAAAATCAGATAAAAATGGTCAGAATACAAAAAAAAAAAAAAAAAGCAGCGAAGCGAGTCAACCAAACAATGATATACGATCCTCTTATTAAAAAAAAGATTGAGTTGCACACATACAATTTGGTAAAAACGTGACCTAACGCTGTAAAACAGAGGACAAAAGCTCTTACAATAAGAATGCGATTAAAGAAGAAATGAATGCAGAGTATCCAAAGGTCAGAAACATTGTTTCTTTACATGGAAAGCGAAGAAGAATAATCAGCCATGGAATCTCAGCTCTATTAACCTTAGAGAATTCTTGTTCAAGCTAATTGTATTGCAATGCATATTTACTTGCGCAAGCAACATACAACCTCATTTTGTTTCTGCTAAAATTGAGGGCTATAAAATTATAAGATAACAATAAAATGTATATCCATATCAGAGATTTTATACCATATACTGAAACGGAAGAAAGGGCGATAATGAGACACTTGGTCTTTCATTTTCATTTACCTTTGCATCTTATGTCCTCTTTATGGCTCTGGCTCTGGCTGGCTTTTCTCACAATCCCATCCTTAAATATTCCTTACTAATCCAGCTCACGGGAAAAAAAAAGTGCAATTGTTTATCATTTCTTCTCAGGAATCTTCATAAAAAGTTCCTCGATAATGTTATCCACTTTGCTTTTGCCTAGGCTCTTTTGGTTCCACTTCGGAAAACTTGCGACCATTATCATTCTTTTCGTCCTTTTTGGGTCCATCATTTCAGTCACATAGCCTACTTTCTTTAATTCCCTTTTCTTTTCTGCCGAGAAGGCTAAAAATTCCAACACATTGCAGTGTCAATCCCATTTAACACACCATAATGCTTGCAGAATTACAAAATACCATATTGGAAGATACAGAGAATCATAAAGCCATGCCAAAACTTTCACATCTACATTCTTAATGTTCAATCAGACATTAGCTCCAGCACCATTATGCTATAATATAAAACAAAATGCAGTATACTTATTTGACACAGTTCCTATCGCTAATAAGTGATCCGAAGTACAGTTCATTTTATTATGCTGGAGAAATAAACACCTAAAAGAAAATAAATGTTAAGTCATGCATTAGTTATAATTAAAAAAGTGAAACGTACTTATCACAATGCGTTATCAAAGTGGTCGCCAACAATATGGAGCAGAGATTCCTTAAGATATGTTGGGGAGAGTGTACTGGAAAATGAAAGGAAAGTTAGTTTCTTGGAAACAAAATAGATGTAAAGGACAATGCTAGAGTATTAATGAAATAAGTTCACATCTATGCTTGTAAATGTCACATAGTACCACAATATGTATCATGGAAATAAACAAACCCACATCTAAAATAATTCATGCTAGAGTTAAATTTAAATAAGGTTCTTCACACCTAGACTTTATCCAAATTTCAACTATTTCAACTCAAATGAATCCATTCATTTCACGAATCATAACTTTTAAAATATAGATTTTGCCACTTGGTATTCACTTATATGGTCCGAACATGGATCACAATTTGATTAGTTCCAAGGTATTAGGTTGGGTTGTCACACTGGCAGCAACCGTACAGCATCAAGAAATTATAATCATCAATTCAGCAGTTGGATAACACCCAAAAGGCAAAAATGCAACTGTTTACGTAGCTTGTTCATGGAATTATTTGCCAAAAAAAAAAAAAAAAAAAAAATGAAAACCCTGAAACATAAAACCATGTTCTGATCTCGTGCAACATACAAAGCGAAGCCATAAACTTGACACAATATTTTTCTTATTCAGAAGCAAAACAAAAACTTAAAGAAAATTATTGAAGTCAATTTGAATTCTAGCTCTTTTTGAACAAATAGGAAAGGATTTATTAAAAAAATGTAGAGCTAACACCAATGTATATCCTAGAACTATAATTTGCTGAAGTTCAACACACAATTACCACTATAGGCTCATCAATTTGAGGCAACAGGAGAATGACAAATAAAAAAAAGCATGAGAAAATTTAGATTAGGAAAAAAAAATTTCTTACCAAGATCAAACCATACTTTCAAGGTTCACTGACAGTAGAAATAGACCAAAATCAAGTTTAAAGTATCATGTTCTTCTGTAAATCAGAGAAAAAAAAATTAAATTAGCCCTTGTAATGAATTCAATAAACCTTAAATATTTGATAGATTTATAATCAAATAATAGAATTTTTAAACTCCAAAAATATATCAAACTAACCTAAAAATAAAAAAATTTAATATGTAATCAGTGGAATCGGCATGAATAAACTGAGAAATGGAAGTAAAATTAATTACCATGTTAATTCAATTAACTAAAACAAATAGTGCTGGAACATTGCAGATAATGCTGCTCCATCGGGTATAAGCGCAGCATCACATGGACTCTCCACAACCTAAAACAATCAATTTAATTAATCAACATCAACCAATGAGTTTTTGATACTATAATTCATACTACAATTAATTAACAATAATAAGAATTTAGAAAAAAAAATAGAGAGAAAAAATTGGCATCAAATTTACCTTAGGCACAGCTCCAGGTTGAACCTTATTCAGAAAATTGCAGAGAATCATTCCACCGTTTGTTGAACCAACATAATTATTTATCACTATCGTACGATGGGAGTTGATTGATCTCTTTAGTGCAACTTGACCACAGCAAGTCCAACTTGCAATCCAAACAACAAACTAATTATGAAATAGAGCACTAAGTACGAACTCATTATTCTTACTTGAAATGGGGATTAATTTCGTAACATGGCAGTTTTCTAGTCAACATGATAATTACATTACTGTTAGAGGTGGATAGTCTTGACTTGTAAATGCAGATTAAACAAAAAGCAAAGGGCAATCAAAGTCTATAATGGAGGACTTCAATCGTTTGGTAAAAGAAAGTTCAACTATGAGTCAACTAATTATTTCTTAATGTCCTTTTGAACTCAATAAATTGAGATGAGTACTGTTAAAGCAGAGAGCTAATTTTAAGGTTACCAATGCCCTTATAATCACTATGCAATCGTATGGACCATGCAACTCATTAAAACTGAACTGCCATCATCAGTAGCTAAAATAATGTGTTTTCCACTAAAATTGCATGAAATTTGTTATAATTACTCTCATTATAATTACTATTCACTCACATAAAAATTTGTTGGGCAAATCTTTAGCTGCTACCACTCCTACCATCTTTCCCAACAACCCCGCAGCTTCGTACCTTCTTGACGCTAACAAAAAGAAATCTCAACAAAATTAAAACTTCTCAAAGAAAATTCCTCCAAAAAAGAATTATTCTGTTGAAATGGAAAATAAAAATTACCGGCTTCTTTAGCTTTCCTGGACTCCAAATCAAGGCCTTGGAATCTATCATCATGTTGTTGCAGTACATCCTCAACTACCGTCGCCACCGAAAACGACAATGCTCCTCCTTCACCGGCCATCTCGTTGGAAATTGCCGTTACGTAGTGCATGATTTACCTCCTCCTCACAATTTTTTGAACAGGACACTTGCCTCCTTCTTGTGTTCATCTGAGGAAGATTTGTATTTTGATCATATTCTTCGTCTGTTGATGTTGCGTGGTGATGGGTGCTGACGCCGGCGTTGGGTGTTGTGGCGACGGCAGCAGTTGCAGCAATAGTTTTAGGTGAAAGGAGAATGATAGAAGATGGAGGCTATAAAATAAAATCATATAGCATGATTTAATGGCTGAGATTGTTAGGGTTTTTTGGATGGATGGTAGCGAATCTTGGTTAATGATGTGCGATGAGATGATTTTTTCTTAGTTGGTGAAGTTATGAAGTTTGACGGTGGATAAATATCAAGTTAGCTGGAATACCTGTAAAAAAAAGGTTCTCATTTAGGATGAAAGGATTCTTCAATGTCTAAATTAGCATTTGAAGAGAGATGATGGCTTGAGAATATAGTAGTGTAGCAATACAAGTATATAAGAGATGATAAATAGCGGTTGCTAGTTTAGAGATTCAGAGCCAACTGATGTCTAAATTAGCTGGAATACCTGAAACCTTAGGCTTTTTTGCTTCTTTAGATAGCGCAGGACTTCATCAAGTTGCATGAAGAGAGGGGTGTAATTCGTTCTCTTATTGCCAACAGTTTTCGATATCCACATGGGAGATGGATGTCTTTTGACGTTAACAAGTTACTGTTGAGAGAGTATGCTGGCTTCATATTCCGTATTGAGATTGCCATAGACGAAAAATTTTATAATAATAAAAATATTTGAACGTAATTGAAAATTTTCTTATTATTTTTAATGAGTATCAATATAATTTTTTTTTATATGTCTATTTTTCTTCTCAAAATAAATTTAAATAATAACTATTATATATACCATTAATTACTATTTATGTATTATAAATTTTTTTAATATAGATAAAAATTAACTACTGAACATGTCATTATCTCTGTCCTTGCACGTTCTTGTTTAACAGATGTGTTATCTGTCTTTTTTAATTTTTGCGACTGGACTAGTATATTTGGACTTGTTGTCCAAGGTAAAGGCTGTTTTGGTGTGCTCGTAGGGATAGTTTAACGAGGTTTGTTTTTCCGTTTACGTCCTAAATAGAGTCTCGTTTCGTAACATTCATTCCGACAAAATCTCTTACTTTCGCAAGAATTATATAATGACATGTGCCATTCAATTAGTCAAGACTTTCATTTTGCCAAACAGAAAATCTACAAGTTTCAGGTCACCATCTACAGCTGCCTTGGCCATCAACTTGTTGACACCTTCCTGAATTTAGCAAATCAAGATCGCCCTGTGGATTGATGAACTGAATATATGACCTTTTGTTTTTCTTTGTTTCTTTGACAGCAAACTATTAGCCCCGTGATCTATACAGCTCCAATTTTCCACCTCTTTCCTTGTTCCTTATTTACTCCGCTCTTCTTACTTTGACTTTGAATTGTTTTCTTCCCATTCAAGCATTTAATTATATTATCAAGAAGACTTTTTTTGGCTATTGGACAAGAAAATGTTCAACCCCAACAAATTAACATCATGGTGGAGTGCATCAGTATTTATCTTCTACGAAATTCTATTAATTAATTGTTGATGACAACATTATTAATTTGGCGATTACCATGGCAACTTCACGAATGAAAAAAACAAAAAGATTTCATAAAAACAATAGTTTTTGGTTATATCATAAAAGAGAGACATTATTCAAATTTATCACCAACGATTTATTATCAAATATTTTTAAGTGTCAAACTAATGAGTTTTATGCAATTCAGATTTTTTAATTTAGATCCTAAACTTTTTTTTCTATTCAATTTAAGAATTTTATTTTTATGTTGTTATTGTTTTAAACCCCGGCTAATGACAGACTTGCTACATGTGCACTCTAGCTAATGATTACTTGTCATGTCATTAATTTAATCACTCAATTTGAATGCACCATGACACGTGACAAGCCGTATTGGTAAAAACTTACCACATGTGTTTACGTGATATAATAGAATTCTTAAATTAAAAAAAAAAAAACTTAAGATCCCAATAAAAAAAATTCGAATTGTATAGAGCTTTAATATGTGCAAAACCCTCAAACTAATTAAGTGTAATGTTTTAAGTTATGTATAAATGTCCCAATGAAAGTAAATTAACCATTATAAGTTATACATAAAATTATCATAACATTTAAATCAGTATTCTAAATTGTTTTAGAGTAATATAAAACTATTCTTTAAACTTTATTCAACAACTTAAACTTTTAGATTAAAATCATTATTTAATGTGGTAGTATAACTTTGCTAATTAAATAATAACGAATTTAAATCTTATTATTATCTTTTTTTGAATAAATAAGTTAGAATGTAATATAAAACTATTTTTGAAGTCTCATTCAATCATTTAAACTTTTAAATTTTAATAATTCTTTAACGTAAATTACAGATAAACCCCAGCAATACAGGGCGGTAAGTATTCACTAATTATATGCAAATAAAAGATTGATATTTGTTTGGGATAGGTATTGATGTTATTTTATTGACATCAATAATTGTACAACTATTTATTGAAATCTTAACCCAAAGCATAAAACATGTTACTCGATTTCCATTGGATTGTATAATATCTTAATCTTGTTGTTTAAGATCATTATTCATCAGTACTAGTCATTTACTAGTTTGCTAGAATTTCCCTTCAAGTTGACCCGGTGGTTCCGGCGGTCGGCCAACAGATTCTTAAAGGAGAGATCATGGATTAATTCCTTCCTACGAAGTTTCTTAATTAATTTCGATATAAAATAAATATTAAACTTGGCTGTCAACGCTTATAATTAGAAAGATAATTCCTACCTAGCTTGGACCATACTGCTTTATATTAGTTTTGTTTAGGCTGCCATTTTCATACAATTCCTAGCTAGCTGCTACTACTGCATGTTCTTTCTCTTTCTCTATCGTCATGCTCACCTCTTTCTGCCACTTACCAAGTATGCTTTGTTGCTTCTACCTTTCCTTCCTTCTTCCTCTTCTTGTTCTTCCCTCTACTAATTCAATTTATTTTGAAATATCTCAATTTGACGAAACCAACGTAAATTATCAAGGTGATGCAGTGTCTTCTGGTGGAAGTATTGAATTCAACATGGTTAATTATATAAACCGTGTTGGTTGGGCAACCTATCCTGAAAGGGTGCGGCTCTGGGACTCCAGTTCAGGAAAGGTTTCTGATTTCACATCTCATTTCACCTTCACCATCGATACCCTTGGTGCACCGAATTATGGTCATGGACTTGCTTTCTTCCTCGCTCCTGTTGGTTTCGAAATCCCACCTAATTCTGCTGGAGGCTTTTTAGGCCTATTTAACACTACAACCATGAAACCCTCTCAGAATCAAATTGTTTCAGTGGAGTTTGACTCTTTTCCAAATCCAGAATGGGATCCAAAAGTTGAGCATGTAGGGATCAACAACAACTCGATTGCTTCAGCTGTATATACACCTTGGAATGCTAGCTTTCACAGTGAAGATACTGCTGACGCGTGGATTACCTATAATTCTACCAATAGAAATTTGAGTGTGTTTTGGACTTACAAGACAACCTCAAATCCTCAAGAGAATTCTAGTCTGTTTTACATAATCGATCTTAGTAAGTTTTTGCCTGAGTGGGTCACTGTTGGCTTCTCAGCTGCTACAGGTCAGAACGTCGAACAGCATAGGCTTCTATCTTGGGAGTTCAATTCAACTTTGAATGTTAAGGATACGAATGGTAAGAGTTCAAAGAGGAGCAGAATTATAATTGGTGTCAGTGTTTCGGTACTTGTTCTGGCAGCCGGGGCGATCACAGCATCCGTGATTTTGTGGCGGAGGAAACAAATTAAGACAAGAAAAAGATCAGCAGAGACAATGACCGCGACATCGATTAATGAAGACCTTGAAAGAGGAGCAGGACCAAGAAGGTTTTCTTATGCTGATCTAGTTTCAGCTACAAACAACTTCTCAGGTCAGAGGAAGCTAGGTGAAGGAGGGTTTGGTGCTGTTTATAGGGGATACTTGAATGACATGAACATGGCAGTTGCAGTAAAGAAAATTTCAAAGGGTTCTAGACAAGGTAAAAAGAGTACATCACTGAGGTGAAGACCATTAGCCAGCTGAGACACCGGAATCTGGTGCAACTCATAGGCTGGTGCCATGATAAAGGCGAGTTTATGGTGGTGTACGAGTTCATGCCAAATGGTAGCCTTGATTCGCACCTCTTTGGCAAGAAGAAGAGCAGTCCTCTAAGCTGGGCGGTGAGATACAAGATATCTCAAGGCCTAGCCTCGGCATTGCTTTATCTTCATGAAGAGTGGGAGCAGTGTGTTGTGCATCGAGATATCAAATCAAGTAACATAATGCTAGATTCTAGTTTTAACGTCAAGCTTGGTGACTTTGGATTGGCTAGGCTCATGGAACATGACGAACTTGGTCCCAAAACAACTGGGTTAGCAGGAACTTTCGGTTACTTGGCTCCAGAATACATAAGCACAGGAAGGGCTAGTAAAGAGTCTGATATGTATAGCTTTGGAGTGGTGGCCTTAGAAATTGCTAGTGGAAGAAAGGCAAACGACCCCATTGATAAAAAATCTGATATGAGCTTGGTTGAGTGGATTTGGGATCTTTATGGATGCCAAAATCTTAGTTTGGCCATTGACAAAAGACTTGATCTTACGAATTTTGATGATGAGATCAAACAAGCAGAGCGTTTGATGATTGTTGGATTATGGTGTGCCCACCCTGGCCACAATTTGAGGCCGTCGATAAGACAAGCAATTCATGTCTTAAATTTTGAAGCTGCAATACCAAATCTGCCTGCAAAGATGCCTGTCCCTGTGTTTCATGCGCCTCTGCCCTCCTTTAGTTCTTCTGACCCTGCTTCAATAACTAATACAAGCCTTGACGCAGGGCGTTAAGTGCTCTTTCTGTCCGCCTTAATACTTACTGATCGATCATGCAGATTTCTACTGCTATGCTAAGCCTTTGTGTCATTTCAGATATCATGTAATTAACTTGTGCCTCTGTGCATGATTGGAAAAGTTACACAAGTCTTGTTATTCGGTCTGACGCATATAGATTATCCAAAGAGTTTGAATTTTCTGTTTGCATAGAGATTCGAAATTGAAATCATTTGTTTAAGGAATTAGAATCTCTTCCCTTCAGAACAATCTTTGCAAGTAAAGACTTTTTTTTCTTTTAATTTAAATGCATTTTAAAAAGTAATTTCAAACGTACCCGAAACGCGTTAGATACAGGGCTCTTTTGTTTTTCATGGCATCACTAGTTTTTGACTTTTTTTTTTCCTTACCTTGTTGGACTTTTAACAGTACCTATATGAATTGACTTTTCTAATAGTATCTGACCCGAAAGTTCGCATATACCAGACAGGTCAAAAATTAAAACTGGCAACCCACCGCCCCGTTCCCCACCACCACCACCACCAACAAGCGGCTGGCCACAGGAGAAAGGCTTAGTTATCCATCATGTTAAGGCTACAATATGGAAAAGCTAGGTACCTTTCTGTTATCATTCATGACGAAGGCACCAATACCAACAGTATGGGAGGCGTTTGCAGGAAGAGTATCGGGAGTTTCAGGAATCCAATACACTAACATCACGTAATCTAGTTCTGCATGGTGGTACCTAAATCCTTCCTAGCGCTTTATGAGATTTATGCATCACACCATTAAAAAAGAACTATATACAATATTAAAAGTTTTATTTAAAGAAATTTAACCTCTTTTTTATTATGGAATTTATGCATTACACTATATGAATAGATGTATGAGTATTGTAACTCAAATATATTATGTGTATAATCAAACTACTCTATACTTATTTTTCTCGTTAAACCTAGTTCTTGGGATTTGCAGTCCCTATATAGATGATTTTATTCATTTATATCTCGCACCATTAACATTATCATGCTAAAACATGACGGCATCATTGTATTTTTAATACAATAGAAAACATTGAATATGATCATATTGAAGTGAATAGAGACATTTTTCGATTTCTAGTTTTTTTACAAATTTGATATCATTGTATCTCATCTATATAATAGGAATGTCAATATTTAGTTAGAGATTTAAATTTCTCAAAATATCAACAATAGGAGTGTAATGGTATTGCCTTATTAGATAATATCAATTAAAGCACGATGACATTATTTGATAAGTGAAATTAGCGACACTCCTATTGTATAATTAAGATACAATAAGAGTGTAATGATATTGTCTTATTAGACAATGGGACTCCTATTGTATCTTAATTATACAATAGGAGTGTCTCTAATTTCAGTTATTAGATCATATCATCAAAATATTATCGTACTTTAATTGTACAATAGGAGTGTCACTAATTCAATCAATTCTCTTAATATTTTTGTCAAATATTCCATAAGCATCATTATACCTTTTGTATAATAAGAATGCTTTTATCAAATATTTCATAAGTATCATTATACCTTAAGGTGCTCGTTTGGTAATCGGGAATAGAGTGATGGGAATGGAAATGGAAGTTTTATTCACACATTGTAGCATGTTTGGTTAAAAGGAATGAAGTGGGAATGGAAATGAAGAGTGGGAATGGGAATGAAAATTTACACACAACTTCATTCCCACATAAAATGTGAGAATAAAAAACGAGGAATTGGAATGAATTTTTTTTCAAAATAATAATATATTTTATTTATTTATTATCTATTAACTACTTTTGCCACTATCGCCACAACTACTACCACCACCACTATCATAACCACAAACACCACCAAGCACTATCTTCATCACCACCACCACTATCACAACCACAACCATCACCACCATCATAACTACAACCACCACCACAACCATAACCACTACTAACATCATCACAATCATTACTACCACTACAACCATCATTATCACAATCACAACTATCATCACTACCGTAATCATTATCGCCACCACCACCACTACTAGAACCGCCACAATCACTACCATCACCTTTATTATTTTTATAACTATTATAGTTTAATAAAATTATTTTTTAATCATTATTTATATTTATATACAAAATCAGATATTAAAAAATTTAAATTGCATTCCGATTCCTTATTAGTATTCCAAACATAGTATTGGAATACAAATACCATTCCGATTCCTTAATTTTCATTCCGATTCCCGCATTCTCATTCCCATCACTTTATTCCCGATTACCAAACAACATCTTAGTATAATAGGAATACTTTTATAAATATTTTCAATAGCATCACATTACAAATTTACATGTGGCAAAAAAAAAAAAAGAACAATCAAACATTATGAGAAAAATTATGATAATTTATCTTGAATTACAATATAATTTTCTCAAACAAAATTTTAATGCAATAGCATTTTTTTATGCCCTCGTTATTCATATAATAAATAATTTTCTTACTACGATCTGTAGATAAGATGATGACATGCATTATTCTATTATTTCATCATCAACATTCATAATTGATTCTTGTGGCTACACAATCAGTAAGATATATTTTTTAAAATAAGATAATATATAAATTTTTGATTTTCACATAGAGAATAATAAATAAAAGCCCTTTATTAAATTATGTACCCTGCTAGTTTATCTTACTAATAATCTTCTAATAAGATGATTATTTCCATAATTTTTTTATATTCCCACAATTGGATATGATTGTTAAACATAAATTGTAAAGACAAATTCAAAAGTAGTCACATAAAAATAATTGACATTTAAAATACAATTAATTTTAATTAAATTAATATATGATCTTTTCAAGTCTTAATCAAAAAATTATGTGAACAAATATTAATTTACAAACATTCACTAACAAGAATTTATATGACAATTCATATTTCCCCCTCCGTTTTTTCTTTATTTTGAGTCATGATTTATAGATTTAAAAACTCAAGTATTGACCAATAAATATTCATACAAGAGTAAAACATTGCTTACAAATAGAGGTATCAACATAATTTCATAATTGGAAATGAATCTTAACTATATAGAATAATAAAAAAAAACTTTGATAATTTGACATTTAAAATAGTTACTTGATTTTTTTATAGGACTTATCGTATTGTAAATATTGTTGGAGATTTGAAATAATTTTTATTGACCAAGCTTTCATTGCCTCCAATGCCACATAAATTTGATTTTCTTGACTTCATATCCATCATGATCAACATATCCATATAAAAATATTGGATATATTTCCTTTGGTGGCTCTCATTTATCTCGATAACTTGACATTAGCATAAAAAATAGTTTCAATATCGGTAATTACAATTGATCAATATATATAAATTTATAAATCAATTATAATTTTTTTTATCAACCATAAAATTCACAAAAATAAAATCAATATTATGGTTAATATCACAAATATTAATTTTCAAAGCTATCAATATTCTTGATCTTCAATAATAATATTCGATAGGCAACCATAAGTTATAAAAATATAACGGATCAATATGCAAATTATCTCATTAGCAGATATGGTAGTAAGGGTCTTTTCAAGATCAATACAACCAAATAATATGTCAGCAAGATAAAAAACGTTTCTAGTACTTTCTTTATGTGTAATTAAAAACACCAATAAAAAAATCACTATTTTTTTTTGGGAACGAGGGTGGTACCTCGTAGTGTAGTAATATGAAAGTGGAAAACTACAAGGGGGATAAAGAAGCCTAAACCCCTAAAAAAACATTATAGTACAATTTCGAAAATAAGAATGTAGAGAAGTTTCTCGAAATAAGAATGCGAGAGAAGTTTCTTGAAAGCGATCTATAGGGAACAGGAAAGTTCACTCGTAAGCATATTTTATGGAAATCCCCGAAAGCATATTATAGGATAGTTCCCCGAAAGTGGGATAAACATGATTGGGACGATCTATGAAAAAAGGTTATAGGGAAGTTTCCTAACTTAGATTATAGGAACGATTCTTGAAATCGAATACATGTTACCGATTAAAATCGAAGAGAAAAACCAATCTTAAGTAACTCGAAAGGTGAATAGGCCAAGTCTATCATTTGATATAGCCTAGCGACATTAAGTTGGTAAACCATTAGGTGCAAATATCACTTCATTGGTTTTATGTTGTAATGCCCAATCCGCTAGCCTATCCGTCGCTCTATTGCCTTCTCTATGGGTATGCTCGTAATCTTATATCTAAATTGACATAATTTCAAAGCTCTATGTATATATAATTTAAATACCAAGGGATAGCTTGAGAATGAGATAAGTTCCCCAATATTAGAGAAGAATCGACCTCCAAAATTTTTTATTGGATAAAAATTTCCCTACATATTTTAATACCTTCCAATACTACTAAAACTTTTCCTTTGTTATTAGATCTAGGACTAAAATATTTTAAGAAAGCCATTACCATATTGTCATAATCATCATGTAATATGCCCCCTGCTACACAGGTAACCCCTAAAGGCACCATCTATATGCGAGCTTGAGAATCCCTAAAGGAGGAGGATGCCGCCCGATCCATTGGCCTCTTGTAGGCATAGAAGCTCGTATTGGAGCTCCTAAAATGTTGAGACAAACACTATCATGAAAAGATGTTGGAGACTTAGGCACAAACAACATGGTTAGCTCATTAATCCAAGTGTAGCACTTTTTATTTTATTTGAGCCACATTCATCCTAATATCCACAAATATAGCTTTGTTTCTAAAAGGTTAGATCTCTCAAATTACATAGTTGAAGGTAATCATATGAGTAAAAGTCTTTTATGATAGACATTTACCTTTGGATAGCTAAGAGGAAAGCAAGGTCTTGAGTGAATCCGATCTTGGTGAAATATCCAGTATCCCACCAAAAAAACTCTAAAGCTCGCATTGCTATTTCATTATAAAGAAATAAGTTATCCCTTATCTCTATTTTAGCATTACCGTAGTAGTGACATCTTGATGCAAAGGAGATCCCACATGATTGAATATTAATATCCACTATAATAGCATTATGCAGGACTTTCCAAATCAAGACTCCAACCTTTTTGGGAATCCATTTGTTTTATAAACTTCTTCACCACTCGGATTTTAGGTCAACCACTCTTGCACCTCATAGAACTCTTTAGTATCAAAACTGCTAAACTGAAAATCCATACAACATAGTTTGTTTGTAGTAGTCTTATCTAGGTGTAGTAGCTCCAATTCATTTCGAACTAACGATGAAGGTAGATTGAGCAACACATGATCCTTTTTAGCTCGAGTTATTGAAATTTATAGGTTTGTTGTGGAGTCGAAAAGAGTGGTCATTGTCCATTTTTCTCGCTATAGTCGAATGTTTCCTGAACGTACCACCCATATGGACTGTCTAAAAGAGAGTTTATTTGAGATAATAGGGATTGCCAAGCCAATGAGCCCGTGTAACACTTAACATATGAAAAGTTAGCAAGATCCTTATATTTGGCCATTATAAAAGTACTTTATAGGGAGTTGCTAGAGAGATATGCCTAAGCCAATTTCCACTTCATAACCTTCATGACTTCTCCTAAATCTTTAACTCCTAAACCTCCTTCTTACAAAGGAAAGGAAGTTTGTTTCCAACTCATCTAGTGATGTCTCGTTCTCCCTCCATTGTTCCAAAAAAAGTTTGATATA